AGTTCTCCTGGGTTGCCGCGGATGAATTACATGCGGACGAACTGGTACCCGCATTCCACGCTCGATACCCTTTGAAACCTGGACCTTGATCACAAAAAAAAAAAAAAAAATCATTTTATTCCTTTTCCCGTTTCCGCCGCGCTCCGCCGAAGTTTACTTCGTGTGTTTAGAGGGTAAACACAATGATAGTAAATTGAGTGTTTATCTCTCTCTCTTATTTGCTTATTATGGTTTCTTTAATCACAGTTTTCACTTAGTTTCCATTTACACTTACACTACTTATACTAAACTAATTTATTTCTTACGCCGCCTCGCGGCCCATTCGCCTTCCGACTTCAAAATTGCGTTGAACAGTTATTTATATACAAAAGTCCAAAAAACAAAACAAGATTATACAGGAGGCAGAGGACTACAAGAAGTTACAAGAAGGGCCGCAGGGCCGATGTCCGATGTCCGTGACTCTACTACTCTACTAACTCCTTCTCTTTTCCTTTGTCAGAGGTCACCGTCTTCGCCGTCGTCGGCGCCGGTGCCTCCCCCTCTCCTCCTTCCTCTACCTCCATCTCTCCTCTTTCCTCCTCTACTTCTCCTTCTCCATCTTCTTCCATACCTTGCTGCACTTCTTTTTCCTCCTCCTCTTCTTCGTCACTCTCCCTCACAACCCTCCGCCGCTTCAGCGGACGCCGCCGCTCGGTAGTTCCCCTCGACGGTCCAGCCGTCGCCGATCCTCCTCCCATTCCCATCATTGCCATTCTCGTCTCCATGGCTATTAGGCGGGCATGGTCGTCTTCTTGCCTCCTCAACAGTTGGCGGAGGTATTGGTGGGTTTTCGAGTCCGCCTCTCGTAGCGCCCGGCCGTCCGCCAGACTCTGAGCCATTTGGCTCTCCAAGACGGCAATTCGTTCGCCGGAACCGCCTTCCCGTTGTTTCGAGGTTGTGGGGCGCCCCGAGTAGGAACACCTCACCTTGGCATCGTGACAGGGCTTACAAATAATCGAACTCCTCTTGCCTGCCTGCATTTGGCAAGGGAGTTTTTTGGTCTTGCACCGTTCGCAAGGTGCGCGGTCTTCGTCGTCGTCATCGTCGTCCCCGTCATCGCCGTCGTCGGGATCTCCGCCCACCGGCTAGAAACAAAAGCGTTAGTAAGGGGAGTGGAACCACAAAACCTTGACTCACCTGGGCATTTGCCTTCCCTTTTCCTTTCGCCGCTCGCCGAAGTTCCACCGTAGGCCTCCTTGGGGAAGCAGACACTTCACTTGGAGAAGTCTCCCTCTGACTTCTGGCGGTCGCCGCCTCGGCCAACAGCCTCCTCCGTTCCAAAACCTCTTCTTCTTGCTGACGAGCCCGAATGGCCCGCTCTCGCGCCTCCTGCGCCGCTCGCTCTCGGACTGCTGCCGCCCTTGCAGCCTTTTCCTCCGCGGCCTTCTTCGCCGCTGCCGCCGCCTTCCTCGCCCTTACTCTTTCTACCCTTTCCTGCGCCTTGCGGATTATGTCGTCCTCGTCCTCTTCCTCCAAACCTTCCTCGTCATGGGCGGTAAGGTCGATGGGTGGCGGTGGGGCGGGTCGTGACCTCGAAGGGCCGGCGGTAGTAGAGACGGTAGTGGTGGTAGTGCGACTAGTCATTGTTCGAACTTAGAAGTTTTGGGAACTTGGGTCTTATCGGCGAAACTATGGGCCTTTTATATGGCAAAATTGCGCACGGACCAGCGAAAATTTTCCTTCAAATTGTACTTGGTGTACGGTGTACCGAAAATTTTCACGGATGACTAACGCCAATTCCCGGTACTAACGGCGTTTGAAAATTTTCCTGCTGACTGATAGGCCAAATTCTCGATGCCGACGGCCATTAAAATTTTTCTTTGGTGACTAACCAACTCCCGGTATTAATGGCTTTCGAGGGCTCAAGCCTAAGAGGGGGATACTGTCAAGTCCATGCCGCGGGCCTCCATTCCGCCGCTCGGTACTCCGAAGATCTGCTCTTTATTGTAATCTCTCTCCTATTGTTCTTTCTCGCTACACATATCCTTTCGTTCTAGTCTCTCATTATTGTCTTTTACTCTTTCGTTCTAGTCTCTCCTTATTGTCTTTTACTCTACCCTGCAGGTACTACTCGTATAGCTCCTAGTAGTTAGTCTAGCGCTCCGCACCGATGCGCCGTTCCGTAGATATAAATACTGCCGGTACGCTACTGTAGTTCCTCAGTTTAATTATCAACTTAGATCAACTTAGATTCCCTCCTTTACTCTGTGCTCCTCTAAGTCTTCAGGCTCACTGCCTTGAAGTACTCTCTACCCTACCTTAGGACTTATACATCCTCTGGTTCGCTCCTCGTCACCGGCGATACCGCCGCTCCGACCTGGCTGCTACTTAGCTCCTCTCTCTCTACCCTCGCTCTCCGGGGACTAACGGCGTAACGGCGGTGTTGTTAATAACTTCACTACTGTCCCACTCGTCTTCCGCACTTAGGCACCTTGTAGCTTTGGCACGGTTACACGGTGTACATGATCTTAACACAGGTGGTGAATACTACGGATGTTGTGAGTATGCTATATGTAGGTAGGCAATATGGGGCTCACCTCAGTTGGATGTAAAAACAACTGAGGGAGCCCTTGTCCGCCATCCACAGGTGGCTGATAAACTGTATGGTAGTGTGTATGTAATCGGACGGAGGCAAAATCTGTAGACTGTGCATACACCGGGTGGAGGTAGAGTCTAACAAGGTGCAGGCTCAAAATCATCAATGTAAGTAAAATAGGTGTTTGCTTGCTTGCTACTCAATTGTTGTAACTTGTTGCTTAAGGTTGCTTATCACTCTCTGTGGTCTCTGTTTAGGGCCATCGCTGGCATAGGAGGGAGGTCTTTAGTCAAACTGTCATGGCAATAGTGAGGTTCTTCCCATTATAGGTGGTATGTCGCCAACTGAGCCAAGAAAAAGTGGACAGTAATAACTTCAAGGACAAATGAATTTTTGAGCAAGGCCAAACGAATCCTTGGGTCACATGCTGAGTACGCCTCCAGAATTCCCACTGAGAATTGTCTTGCTCTTTTTTATTGGATTTCAGCTTGTCCCACAGGATTTTGAGCTACTGGTCAAACTAATGTGCCAACGGCTCAGGATATTACAAGTAGTAAAAGGACCACAGGCATGTTTACCTGCGATTCCGCTTCCTCAAAGGTAACGTCTTCCAATGAAACCTTCTGAGAATGTGCATGCACCCAGCCCAAACCTACTCCGACTTCGTCCCCCTTCTCCCTCCACTCTCTTTCCAATCTATATATCCCTCCTTTTTCTAATTACTCTCCTACGCCCCTACTAGCTGAGCCCCCATTCACCCCCTGAGAGCGATTGGTTGGATATCGAGATGCCAAGGCAATCTTCTTTCTTCTTTTTGATTCATCCTTCTCCTTTGCTTGCAATTTGACATGTAATCTCCTCAAGCTTATCGCAAGCTGGATATAACATCTGCGAGCATGTTATTCAAATGCAATAGCATATATATTCGCCCATTCCATGGAACGTACATGAACATTTGCTCGAAGGAGGTCAACTCCCAATTTCCTCCATAATTGATCTTTTGCCTCTATCTCAAATCTGCATATATACCCCCTCCAAGCCTGACTTGACTATTGAATAACCTTACTACTGTGTAGATACGTAGTATACTGCTCGGAATAATCGACTGTGTTTCCTGCAGCATCACCGTTCGTTTGTATCATTTGGGCATAGAGCTCCGTGTACCGCTTGGGCATGTCTTCTATCGCACGTAGCTCCGTTAATTCCTTGAGCACACTGTGAATCCAGTCCATGTTGTAGTGGTCCACCGGAACATGGAGCACTTTCCTGAGAACGATATCCAACTGTACAGTCGACGCGAAAACAGTATCCATCAGGACTTCTCCTTTGAATTCAGCAGTGACCTTGCTTGCAATAAGTCTGGAAGGATCACTATTAATTGGGCTCGGGACAGCTGTAAAACCATGTTCCGTGCCAATGTAGAGAGTCCACTTTTCCCTAGGGTCTACACTGTTTTCGTAAAGAGGAATGATCTTGGTCTTTGATCCACCGTCTGCCTCATACACGAGCTCGCGCTTGAGTTGGATGGCTGTACCCTCACACCAATTAGTCTTGATTATGCCCTATACAACTGTGACCACTCACCCCCCATTTTCAACACCCTGTTATACAATGTTGTCCATTCTTCGGGTATTCTTTCCAGCATTTTCTTCATCTTCAGTTGCTCGAACACAACATTAAAGCAATCTACAGGCCAATTCTGGGCTTCGATTTTGCGGAAGTCTTCCAGGAGTGTGGGCAAACTGCTTCGGTGGGGAACGGTTGCAAGAATCGTTCCTTGAGGGTAATATCTCTGGTTTTCAAACTCGATCACGTTGAGTACGAATTTTCCAGTAATCTCCTGAGGCTCTATCACCAAGGAATGCGTAGGGGGAAACGTGAGGGTCCAATCGCGTCCTGGTAAATGATGAGAGTTCTGGTTCTCATTCCTCGTGGGTTTTCTATACTTTAATATTATATGGGATTCGCCACGGTCACGACTTTGAAGATGACCCATGGCGGCGGGATCATGCAGCGGAAAGCCTACGCCACCGAGAAGAAAAGTCGAAAGCAGGAGAAAAACCGTAAAAAGATGTGCAGTCGAGAAGGAAAGCATGTGCAGTAATGTCGTGGTGCAAGAAAAAAGCAAGCGTATGTCTTCAAATCTTGATTTAATTCGACGACTCATCGAATGGAAGAACAGTACCGTACCGACAATTTTTGTTGATGAGTTGACGTTTTCGGGATTGAGAAAGATTTGGGACAGCTTGATTTATACTATTTCAGGCCAACACTAAATTCAACCAATCGAGACATACCAGCGATGTAAACTTGGCCCGCAAGTGTACCTCCAGCGCCTTCCTAAGCTGGGAAATGTGTTTTTGAAGGAGATGGAGACAAGATTGGGAATAGCCTGGGAATAGTAAGTCGTGAGTCGACGTTAACGACGTTTGTTTGTATTTGTCTGTTTCGCCGACGATGCCCCGTGAAGGAGATCAAAGCACAGTTCTTGATGATAGCCACTATGAAACGAAAGAAAATGGCTCTCCGATTGAAACTTACCGACGCAAAACAAGCTTGGTATAATAACAGGGCTATCAAACACAGGACACACAAGAAAAAGAAACAGGTTCTGATTTGCCAGACATAGAAGCTGCCAGAGAATCATGGCCATGTACATATGTATGAAGTTGACTTCCACTTGCCCTCTTGGAGCGGTTTCACCTTTGACAACCATCCCGTCGACTCAATCACTGATCATCATCAGTATATCAACAAGACGTTCTAGGCGCGAATGGGAACTTCAATCTTCCATTCGTACCATAGATCCCATATCCTGGTTCCATATTGTCCGAATAGATATGCGCGAACCACCCAACGCCCCCTCCGGGTACGGTTTTGAAGTAAGTGCATTTTGAGTCCAGCAGAGTGTAGTAATCCTAATAAATGCGAAAAAATTGTCAAAACTGCATGCACATACAGGTCGGCACTAGGCTACTCACATGCTCGTTCTGCACATTGGCTACAGCATATGGACTGTTTGGCTCTACACCGGAATAGTTTTTTGATGGCCAGCCATTCTGTATTTAAATGAGCATCCATTTGAGATAAAGGTCATTGAATTACATGCCTCACTCAAATATATCTTTTTCCCATACACATTGTCAACAAACCTACGACACAAGTAGTAAATTCACCTATGTAGCACACCGGACAAGCGACTTAAATAAGCGGACTCACCAATCTAAATCATCCAAAACCAGGGGCCACGAATTGTTTGCTAAACGGGAAGGAAGAAACAACTTAAGCGACCTTGCCAGAACACAAGGGGCAGATGGACAAAACTCACCAATCGAAGCTTGTTGAGAAAAATACGGCAACATATGGGCATCGACAAAATCAATGGCCTGTATGACCTCTGGTGCACCATTGTTTTCCTTGAGCCGATACTTGCCCGTCAACATTTCGGCAAAGCATAGGACAGGAACATACTTGGTAACTATAGCTGTAGCAACGGAAGTTTGTAGAAGTTTGTTCAGGAATCTGTAACATTACATGTGGACGGTAGACAGACTTACGCCATATCAGAAACTGTAACTGGAATCCCGAGATCGTCCAATTGCGCTTTGGCATCCCACACCTGATCCGCAAGATCCTGCGGCGAAAGCACTCCATCGTATAGTGGTTCTGAACCGAACTGTACCACGCGAGTAACAAAGGGCGCTTTCAGATTAGAATGCAATGTTGCAAAAAGAGCGTCACGACGAGTCATCCATTCGTCGCTTCCGTCGAAGCCAAACTAGTAGGATTGGTGTAAGCCGAAGTTGAGTCGAAGAATAGGAAGTTGGTAGAAAGTAATGAGAATAAGCAAAGCCTCAAGGCCCTCACCCATATTAATGCATGAACACCTATGCCGCTGGCATTGAATTGAAGAATGAGGGGGTCATTCAAGTACTAGCCAAGTAATTCGAACATACGCAGTCCAGGCAGCTTCAATGATATCGTCACTACAATTTTATTCCGATGAGCATGGGTTTATGAATTAGGTATCAACGTCCCAGAAAAAAACGCACTAGAACCCATCGTTGTCACAAGCACCATACAGCCGGATGTAACGGCCCTCGAACTGCTTGCGAATGTTCTTGAAGTCAGTTTCAAGTTCCCCCAGGGTCTGACCTGCTCATTCGCGAACGCGGGTCAGTTTACTTTGAAACGTTCAAAGGAAGAACAGTCGAAGTGGAAGAGGGAAATAACCTGAAGGAACAATGACTTACACGCCGTAACTTCATAACTGAACCCGACAAAGCCATATTCAGTGTCCATGTCACACCACCACCCATCAGTCGAGCTTGGGACGGTGGATGGCATGGTGAACCCGTTAGCTGGAAAGCAGTTCGATGTTGTGATTCCCGTAGACGCATTGATAGAAACCCCGGCATTGTCGTTGACCTTGGATCGAGGACTTCCATACACCCGAGGAGCTTGTAACAAAATGAGGAGGGGGACCACGACGACGGCGGTGTGCTTAAAAGAAGAAGAACGCATCTTGAATACGATACCCTTCAAATGTGAAAGGCGAGGAGGTACAACGTCTTTTCTGTCTTCTGTAGTAAGGTTATATAAGGTAGGTCGGATTATGTGTTCCGTGGGTGCATTCGAATTCGAATTCGCATTGCAGGCTGAGGAGGTGTACCTGTGTATCCCTTTCCTTTTCCAAAGAAACATCTTGAAACTTGGAACCTCTGCAAAATCTGTTTGAACGCTAACGCCAACTTCGTTGGCAGAACGAGATCCTGGCACGCAACTGCTTCAGCAGCCAATACTTCCACATTTGTGATTCAAGTCGATTTGAACATCTGTCTACTGTGGTTGATATATATCGAACTAGTGCCAGAAGAGTGGCTTTTTCGGGAATAGTGCGACCGATTTCCAAAGCAGGACTTCTACTTACTCCTAGGTGGATATTTCGTTAACGTTCGGTAAATAAACTGCTCATATGATCAGCAGTCGATTGAAACATACCTCCCTTTTCACCAACTGTCTGTAATCCTTGAACATGTTTGGTCCCTGCGGTCTTTGAAGTCTGCTACATCACATTCCGCGAAATTCAAGGGTCGCGGGGGTCAAGGACGCTCAAGGACTGAGTAAAGATTGAAAAGGAACACTGTTTGAATATCAGACATTCCGTAGTGAACTTTCAGCGCACTAAAACAGAGTTTGGCAAGTTGATTTTATTTGTGCTTGGTTCAAGCTGGAGATACAAAAAGCCTACAGGCATCTGGTGGGTCAATCATAAACTCATAGCACGAGAATTAAACAGAGACAGGTAAACCCATTGCTCGTAGTCCGATTGGCGAGAGAAAGTCGGCCGACTTCGCAATACCGATGAAGTCTTGTGTGCTCTTAGGGAAATCTGGTGGGCTGACCCCCTGCACAAAAGATTCCTTCTGTTTCTCGACATATGCTTTGTTCATGGGCGTAGTTGGCATCGCGGGGATATACATTACTGATCAACGCTTCAGAGCGCGAGGAATTCAGAAAGGGAAAAGTGCACACCTGCTGAATCCTCCTGGCCTGTATGTTCTGGCTCGACTGAATGTACAACATCGCAGTGCCAAAATACTGCATCTCCAGGCATAACTTTTGGTACAGAGGTCATAGTCTTGTCAAGCATTAGATGAGGGTGTGTTCCTGGGGTGGGGCGAGGGCCTGTGAATCCTCCATCTCTAGGTATGATTCCAGGAAAATCCGCATATGTGATGTCTGAAATAATTTTTTAGGGGACTAGCATCAGTGGGACTGTTTGAATGCTTCACTATATTCCCAGTTCTTGACATCAAGGATATCCTTCGAATCGACTGACACCAGAGGATGGAAGAAAGGGCGTAGAATGATATACGCATTGGACAAAACTACATCGGGGAATACTTTCAAAGTCCCTTGGTGCGGTTCGGTCTCACTGACATATTTTCATTAATGTTGTAACTTCGAAGTCTGCATTTCGACATACCTCATTGCGAGCCAGCCTTGAAACGTTCTGAACACGGTGGCCTACAAGTATAAGAATATCATTATGAAGGGAAGAGCCTGAGGATCTCACTTGATTTGGACGACGGTACAGGGACGAGCGCGCGTTTAGGCGACCGGAAAGAGCGTAGGGATCGTGTTTCCGCCACTCTCCGGACAGAATGTCATCAAAGCACGTTCGAAATGCCGAGTCCTGCCAACGTTCTATGGCACCCCCTACATGATTTCGGGTTTTCTAATCAAACTTCGAACACGTTCATCTGCAGACTTGATGCGTACCATCAATATGCGGTGGATGGGCATCCCATTGCACACCCGGATGTCTGATACGGAATCTATCGGCATAGGTGAGAGGTGTTGAAAGGTCTACTCCATCCAAAGGCTCATTCCCCGAGTCCCGATAGAGGTTGTTGAGCCAAGCAGAAGCAGCTAGTAGATTGGGATGCGAGCGTGCCTGTACTTGAGGTTTTGTCCAGCTATCGAAAGGTTTAGCGGAGATATAGGTCTTCCACTGGTATAGTCAAACGCACTAGAGCTCGAAGAATTGTTTATCGCCTTCCGGGAAGCCTGCGGAGGGAGACATCAAATTCGACGTCGTTGCTATCGCTATCTACATGTGCGCACCTCTCACAGTTGGATTAGCCTTGACAAAGTCTTTCAGTGAATCTTGCCAGGCCCGGGCTTCGGCGTCGTCTACGACATCTTTAATTACCACTGTTCCAATCCGACGAATCTCCTCCACTTTCTCCGAGGGGAGAGAAGACAGCTCGGCGAATTTGACCTGTGGAATGTACTACGGAGATTGTGAGCGAGCAACCTTTACGATACCAAAACAAACAAGGTACCTCTGATCCTTTAGCAGACAGCGTCTCAGCGACCTTTACCAACTCGCTGATAATTTCTGCCCAAGCTTGAGTAGCGCGTGCCTGGAAGTCAGGATAACTTTCCGCAATTTGACGCTTGATATCCAGGAAGTGTTCGGTGTACGGGGCGGCCATAGTGGGGTTTTATGTCTCCGCGAGGCGAAACCGTCTTCTTTTTATAGGAGAGACAGATGTGAAATTGAGCTGTCATAAGACCTTACTGTAGTTCGAGATCCACCACGAAAATAGGATGAAAAAGGTCATAGGATTGGTCAAATTAGATTAGATAACTGTATTCAAGATTGCTCAACAGATCAGTATTATATGTGCAAATAAGATAGCAACGTAGATGGAGAGCGACCACAGACGAACAGACAACACTGATCGTCATTATTCTTCTTCTTCGAAGTATTCCTCTTCGTCAGCCACAGATGCTTCTTGATACTAAAAACAGGGTGAAAAAGTTGAGCGTGTACGATCTATACCCGATTGAGAAGAACCACCTGTTGGTATTCAGCACTACAGGAAAAAAATAGAATCGAACATGAGTATTCGTCGTGTGAACATTAGATAGAAGAAAGAAAGACGTTTAACGTACATGAGGTCCTGAGTGTTGCTTTCAGCTTCGGAAAACTCCATAGGATCCATTCCTTCTCCAGTGTACCTGTATGAAGAGATAAGCGAAGGCAGAGTGTGGTGTTCTCGGAAACTATCTACCAATGTAGGAAAGCACCTCGTTTGTACATGGCCGAAAACTGTATCCAAGTTAGTTTTAACCAAACAGAAGAATGTATGACATACCGCCCCGAGTGTCCTTGTGAAAAGCTCTTGGACGGCAGTTGAGTTTGATAAAGCAGTAGCGGCCTAGAAAGGGAGAAAGTTTCCACCAAGGGGGGCTATTATCAGTCTCAGAAACACCTACCAATTTTTGTCCAGCAGGGGGTACGGAAACTAAAGATACCGATACGTTATCTGGAATCCATCTAGGATTTCGTCAGGTCTTGATTATCATGAAAGGCCGAGGCAAATTGGCCACTCACTCGACGAAGTGTTGTGAGTTCCGCATTTGGAGGTCATGTACCGCAACCTCAAAGTCGCAGCTTAGACAAATATTATACAACCAATCGGAATGGACAAGCTCACTTCAGCTTCGCGAGAGGCGACTTTTCCGCGGAAGATAGTAGCAGCGGTCAAATAACGGCTGAGTGGAATTAGACTGTCAAGTGGCCAGTCATCAAGAAAACACGGAACGTACCCGAATCGGGGATCACAGGCTACCAGGAGATTTTTACGATCAAATAAGCTAATGAAGATAATGAGCTTCGACTAGAGGGACATCTCAATGTGAGATGTTTATGCGTACGCTTGGGTGAGTTCAGGAATCGAAAGACCCTGGTAAGCTTGAGAGGCGTTACTGTAGAACGGCGCATAGCTGGGCATTAAGAAGTGAAGCTAAGCCTGCCATCAGAAACCCGGTGAAAGATTACTGGAGAGAGGAATGGACCATACACGTGGGAAGGGGATAAGGTTCATTCCAAGTTTGCGCAGATCGCTGAGGAACAAAAAGGATGGTAAATTCGCAACGTAGAAATATAGGAAATATGCACAAACCCGTTCAATTGACCAGGGAAACGAAGACTTGTGCTAACTCCGCACATAACCTTCGCTACCAGCTGATAAGACCATGAGCTGCAGATTGAAACACGATTAGATGTTGCGGCACACCTCGTTAAGGTCGGGGAAAGCGGGACTCTTGATTTTGAGAGTGCCTGAGGTGATATTATATCTGCGCAAAAGTAGGTCATCAACTCTCATCCGAGTGGCCAGTTCTGAACCCACAATGCCTCGTTGTCGATACAGATAGTCAAGTCACTAGTGTCGAGAAGTTGGTGCACGGACAACATCGCGTTGTAGGGTTCGACGACAGTTTCCGATACCTATTAGGCAATCTGAATGTGCATTAGTGGTGGATATAGGGAGCGCGACCTGCCTTCGGTGACGGAAGGATGGAGAAGGTGGCGAGCATCCGATCTGGGTATTCCTGCGCGAGTACCCTAGGTTTAGCAATACGCCGTCGTCTTTACTGCTTTAGGAGTACTTCACGTAATTTGGAAAGCAACAAACTTCCCATACCGGAACCTGTTCCACCCCCGAGCGAATGTATCAGTTGAAAGCCTTGCAACGCGTCGCATGCTTCCCCTTGTTTTCTAATCGTGTCCTACAAAGTGCCTTGCGTCAGCAGAGGGTTATTTTGAGATAGAATGGCGCGTACTAGGAGAGAGTCAATTAACTCAGCACCTATTTTGACACGTCAGGGTCTGCTCAGCTCGGTCTGTACTTGCGATGTTTACCTTCGGTATAGACTAGTGAGGCTGTCAGTTTTCTAAACGTAAACGTACTTCGAGTAATCACCCACATCCTTTTGCCCAATTGTTCCCTGCTCCAGGATCACCGGTGACATATGTATCTGGCCGAAAAAGACCACCAATTGGACCGCTGCGAAGCTAAGGGACCGCGAACATTAGTCGACGCTAAAAATGAAAGATATTTCAGGGTCTGACGCACGCGATTGCACACACCCGCCTCGAGGTCAATTTGCGTGCTTCTTGGTACATATCTTTGTACGCCTCCAGATTCAATTTCGGTGAAGTACACGCCAACCTATTTCCTTCTGGTTAGAGGTACAAGCCACTGGATTTTGAGTAGATAAACCTACACGCTGAAGCTGTAATGGATCCGACCCTTTGTATGCCTGTGAAGTTGTTTTCCTTCAATAATGAACGCTGATCTCGACATCTATCGCATCCGGCGCACCCCATTATAGTCGAGACCATGTTCTGCTAGAAGCATCTTCCAGAAAGTTTCCCCCACTTGGTTTCCGGCCTGTCATTGCGTCGAAATGGAAGATCGATAGGTGGACACGATGTCGAAAATTTTGAGCTAGCTGACCTGACCGACCTAGAGAATTTAAGTCAGTGATGAGGAGCAGGAGAGAGAGGAAAGTGAGGAGCAGACTTGTAAGTTGATAATTTCTCGTGAAGGCATGGTGTATCAAGAAGAAAGAAAGAGTGTTGGTTCTAGAACAAGTAATGACGCGGGTACGCGTTTAATAAAATGACTGATAAGATAAACTAAGCGCCCGACTTTCTTCTCATCACCATCACCATGTCTTCATCTCGAGCACTCAACGCGATCCTTCCGCAGATTGAGAAATCACCCTATGAGGCTCACCAAAAGGCTCGAACGTTCGCCTCTCGTTATGTTAAATCGTCCCAATACGACGTCGCCATCGATGTTCTCTTCCAAAGCTCGAGAGAACTGCTGAAAACGGGCCAGCCAGGAAGTGGGATTGATCTTGCTGGATTCTTGCTGGAAGTGTATGATACGAAGGGGGAAAATGTTACCGAAGAAAGTAGAGGTGAGTTATTGGAAGACAGTGTCGAGATATGCGTAATAATAACTGACACGATCGTAGGAAGATTGACACAGCTTATTGCTCTGACGGGCTCTGAAGGCGCATGGCGGAAGACGCTGATAGACAAATCTCTAGCGTATGTCCCCCTCCTGAGATCCGTTGTATCATTCTTTGTTCTAATCATCTCAGGGTAAAGTTGGTCGGCAAAACATGGGCCTTGTCCTGCTGGTGATCAAGCATTGCATCACTACATAGGAGAGCTATTATACAAAGGTACATGCTCTCATAAGGCCTCTGGAAACTCATATCTAACTATATCATGACATAGAGGGCTCCTTCGACACCGCCGAGCGGCATTTCCTTGCCTCTGGGTCGCGAGATAGCGCAAGATTACTAGCAGAGATGTTCATCCAGTGGGCTACACCAACTAACACATTTGGGCTGTTTGCATTACGTGGAACAATACCGTACGTATCATGCACATCGCTCACCACTTTCCGTACATAAATGTTCTGGTGTAGGTATCTGCAAAATGGCAATATACTTGCAGCACGAACGTTTATCAAACATTATGTCTCCGCTTCTGTTCTCCCTCGCTCGACTGTCGGGTCCACTCTTCCTGTTGGAACTTCCGGGGACGAAATCATCGTCGCCCAGGATACGTTCATCAACTTTGCTCAACTGGCAGTGGTGACGTGTCAGCGTGCCAACGGAGAGCGAAACAAGGTCATGCGAGAGAGCTGGGTTCGCCTTTGTGGCACATACCAGAGCCGAGGAGGGGTTCTTGCACAGCCGGAGGTGAGGAGGGTAAGTTGGTTATATCGTTTCTCAGCGTTATTACTCCATTCTTACTATGTCGTACGTAGGCTTTACAAGATATCGCGACACTTTACTTTGCGATTCCGCCTCCTAGAAGTCAAGCAGGAAACCCGTTGGGAGATATGATGTCCTCGTTGTTTGGTGGAGCTCCCTCAGCTCAGCCAGTGAGGCGTGTTCTGACACCTGCAACTGCAGCGACTGGGTTAGATTGAGGATTGACGTGTATTGAACATTGAACATTTAGCGCATCACATTCCATAGTGCCCATACTTCCAGGAGAGAATACGACTCGGATGTGCGCGAATTACATAATAGCAGAGAATAGCAGTAGTACCAATAGGACCAAATAGTACCTGGGCGCTTATTGAGACAACAATAACGGGATTGAGCTTTTTGTTGTCCGGACAAGGACCTATCGCGACACAATGGCTGGCTGTATAAAAGCAACGGCGCGACGACAGTTTCTGTCAAAATTTACTCTTGACTCTTTCTGCAGTTCTCCATTTCCTCTATTCCTCTCAAGTCCACCGGCTGGCGTTAGACTTCCTTCTCTAGAGGCTCCCTGTGGATTTCCGACTCTTCTTCAAGTCTTTTAGCAACGACACGCTCTTTACGGCCTTTCACATACACCAATTACAGATCAAATAGCTTGAAGCTATTGAACGCACAACTCTCAGTAATCTGAACAAATTATCATGATCTCGTCGGCACTTTTCATCTTTACGACTTGCCTGTTTCAACAGGTTGCTTCTCATGCTTGTGAGCATCGATCCGGAATTTTTCCAATGTTCATAAACTAACTCATGACTCATAGCCCTATTTCATCCCAGCATGTGGGGGTTCAATGTCACAGAACAAACGTTCCCTTACGATAATCGGTGCGAATCTATATCCCTTCGAATTGTCCTCGACCTAACAACATCATTGTCAGGCCTGTAGCCCCTCTCACGAACTACACTTTTGACGAGTGGTGGTTCCACGGTCACCTCGATTTCCCCCCTCATCCTTCCGACGTCTTCCAACTTCCTGCTGGGGGTGCAGCTACAACCGAAATTTCTTGCGACAAAGGCGCTACCTCATTCTTCGCCTCGTCTCCTGGCGGAGATGTCCGTCAAGGTGACAATGTCTGCCCAAACCAACCTATAGCCGAATTCCATACTACGGGTTTCGATGATCTCAAAGGTTGCGCGCTTGCTATTGCGTACAAGAGTAACGCGAGCGAGGTTGTCCCGGAGGATTTCACGGTGTTCAGTGTCAACCAGACGTGTGTATGGACGAGGTTCACGGACTTTCAAGTCCCGGAAAGGATGCCTGAGTGTCCGAATGGGATGTGTACTTGTGCGTGGTTTTGGATACATTCAGTGAGTCTATTCGACCTTGTTGCGGCTTGGGATGAGCTCTAACTTATTTTCTCCTAGGCCGACAGCGGAGGTGAACAAAGTCAGTCAATAGTGTTACTTTCATACCATTTTGCTTTCTCAACGTTTCTTTGTCTACGTACGCAGATTACATGACAAGCTTCCAATGTAACATCACCGGTGCAACGTCTACCGTTCCACTTGCGAAACCTCAAGTCCCTCGTCGCTGTGGCGCGGATCCGGAATTCGGCAAAGAACTTGCGTCTCTTTCAAACTGTACATACGGCGCCAAACAACCACTGTACTGGTTCCAGGCAGAAAATAACACCGTCAGTCCTTCCTTCACGCAGACGAGGATAGTGACTGATTCATCCTTTATTCAATAGATGTTTGAAGGTGCTCACGCACCACCGTTCTATACCGATCTGTACAATTTCGTTGATGGACCTCAGAACGATATTTTTGAAGACTCGTATCTCCAGATCCCGATTCCGTCTCCTGTCGCCGCCTTTCCTGTTTTAAACCAAACAGTATCAGTTGGCGTCAATGTTCCCTTTGCTTCATCCGGCAGTAACTCCTCCACTATTGACCCCAGCTCTGAGAGCAACACAAACAGCGGAAGTACAGACCTGGAGGCTGGTGCTTGGTGTGTATCTGCTCCTTTCCTCCTTGTACCTTTGAACAAGTCACTGACAGTTCAATCTCAATATATGTAGTATCAACCTGAACACGAATACATCAAATACCAAGCGAAGCGTTGCAACGTATAAATCGGAAGGTTGGAAGCGAAGTAGGATCGCGGCTCACCTGCATCGACGCCGTGAGCGAGGAATGTCCATTAACCGAAGTGGGAGTTTGGCTTGGGCTTTGTTTGGGTGGAATAAAATGTGATTTGGAAAACAGGTCATTCTGTTCAGCGGACTGGTTTCCTAGTGTGTATCCATATAATCTTGGTCTTATACAATTTGTATCGTTGGCATTAAAATCTTCATGCATCATAGCTCGCGCAGTTTTTCAATTCATTGCCAACTTTGTGGTTTGTCAATGTTTTATTCTTACCTCTACATGCTTCATGCTCCCTATGTACATAGACTGAATCGGGATCCTGTTCCAGAATGAGAATCAAAACCAAATCTTGTAGGCGAGTTTCTCCAGTTCTCCGTCGAATCGATGCGATGCAGTACCTAAAGGGGACATCTCGTTATCATCCGTCATGAGATGTGACCCGCATGGTCTTTCCTCTTGGTCTCAATTGCACTCCGTCGCGTTTCCAGTGGTCCGTCGCTCTCTCTTTTTCTAGAGTTTCAAACCAAAGATCCTGATTGTACATCGAAGATTGATTGGTCTTGCAAGCGATTAGCATATATGTATAACCAAGGCTGCGTTGTTTTTCACCAGTCGCCTGGCGCGTTTCTTCCCACATTCCACATACCATCGTCTTTCAAAATCGGAGTTGAGCTCCCAAAAAATAACCTTTACACCTCTTAACTCTTGACACACTTCTACGCCATCCCACCACCATGATCTTTCCTAACAAATTCCCCTTCATTCTGCTTGTTATGACGACCAGCCTTTGTTGCATGCGGCTGCTCTTATCCGTTCATGCTTCTCCTCTTGGCACTACCTTGAAAGATCGAGCTCAGCTCAATGGCGGTCGAATCTTTTTGGGTTACTATTATGCATGGAAGGCAAGGCTTCATTATTAACTTACCATGATGATCATTCTAATCGTTGTACATAGGAAACACTTGCCACGGAAATCCGAAAACATGATGGATTCAATGTACTGGTCGATCATAGCCTTCCGATATCCATACAACCCTCCTGCGTCTTCGAGGATACTCATCCCCGCCAAATGTATTTATCTGTTAATCCCTGCTGTATCTCCTTGTATTCAATAAAATCTGGATTTCTGTTTCAGAAGAAACCAATATGCGCTGGTGAGTAAACATTTCACAAAGCTCCTTATTCAATACTCACTATATAAGTATAACTAGCTTCAGATCACAGTGGATCAAATCAAATTTTTAGAGCTGGATCAGGTACGTATCTCGATCCAAGCATTTCGCCGCTGCTGGTGTTGCTCTTTGATACGCGTAGCACGACAGCTCATCATCGTTCCCATATCAGTTATATAGCTCAACGTATCTTGTGACGGAACGAGAGAGGAAGTCGTTCATTGGCTCAAGGGGAAAGAATCCAGAAAAGACCATCATCGTATCACCCAACCCGGTCATTACAAAAGATCCAAAGTTCCTGGACGACCTTGTTATCGTTTTTCCGGCTAGTCTTCTCCTTCCCTATGCCGAGATTTATCACAAGAAATATCTAAATCCTCTCCAAATCGATGCTCAGTTGGGTGAGTATGCGCTGCAATGCTTTGAATTAATGTTGACTTTTCTCACCAAAAATCAAGTCAATTCGGAGAAATTCGTAGACTGGCGGGATTGGCCCAAGAGAATCATTGATCTCCCTCCCGATCTTGAACCACGCCCTCGCCCATAAACATGAGCCCGGTGTTTTGCGAAACGGTGTACCCTCGATTTGATCTTCCCATCGGGTGATATACTGGACCACAACAAAGAAGGGCATTGTCATTTCATGTATCGCTGTACGAGTAGTCAATAGCGCCAATTTGAACGACGAGCCAAGTATTTGCGTGAGGGTCACAGGTACAGCCTGGTACAGCTAACAGGATATGCAGTGCAAGGTACCCTTTTAATCATTCAAGATATTGCAATGAATATCAGGGAAATAAAATAGTTCTGAGTACAATATGCTACGAGCTTGATGAAATGGTGAAGACTTTTTGCATCTCCGCCGTCCTTCCGACAGTTAACGGAGGGACTTCGATAACAGTTCGTCTGGGTCACCAACTGACTAGTACGGACCGTAACGCCCATGTTTTCCCTGATTCCTGGTGCTGGACCCTAGGAACTTGTTTTCTTGTAACAAACTGACCAACACACTTTCTACATCATTATCACCGCCATTCTCAACCATCACCGGAATGTCGTTCTGCTTCGAAGTTTTAACCAGAGCCCTGATGAGAGACTGGAAGTAATGTCCTCTCGCATTCCTAGCTGTTGAGTCGTGGCTTAATCCGTTGGAACCCACAAATTTTTCAAATTGCCAATGCTTGGATCTTCGCTTCGGCATTTCAAAAGACAATTTTACCGATCTTCTTCATGGTACCTTTGTCAGTCTCGGGCGCCGTGCCCACTTCTTTTACCTGACATTTCTTTTCATCGTCAGCACTGAAACACATAGAACCAATGTAGAGCCGGGCATAGTCGCCATCATACCACAAGTTGATATCATTGTAAGCTCGTCGTTATATCCAGTATCAGGCTCTGTCAATATTGAACTTGCTTGCAAGAATGGGTGGCATAACTTTAGATTGCAATCACTCCCCGAGCGTTCATATTCTCGATGTAGTATGACTCGACATACCCTCAGAACTGTGGCGTTGACTCTCTGAACTGTTCGGCCACCGAAAGGCGCCACCCGAATGGCATTTACGCACCCAGAAAACACCAAAACCCAAAACTTGCCAACATCTTCACTCATCTCTCCATGTCCCAATCACTCACTTCATCTCAGTGTTATACTAACGGTATCGATCTATCATGGGTTTGGCATACCACACAGAGTCAGATGGTAGTCAGAAGACAGGAACTGCAAAGGGAGGGATTAGATAAGTGACATGTGTTTCGAACAGTCATCAAGCTGATTAATATGGTGTGTAACGGTTTCCCTGCTTCTTCCTTGTCTTTCCTAGGAACTCGTTATCGTTATCTCGCAACAAACTTTCCAGCACCATCTTCACATCATTGCCATTCTCACCCGTCACTGGAATGGAGTTCCGCTTCGAAGTATCGACCAATTTTTTGATGACAGACATGAAGTAATGTCCCCTCGCGGTCTGAGGCTTTTTCGGATTCATACTTTTGAATCCACAAGTCTGTAAAATTGCAAAGACTTGGCTCTTCACATCAGCACTTGGAAAGACAACTGTGCCAACTTTCCTCATGATACCCTCGTTGGTCCCGGGAACCATGGACACTTTTACCTGACGTTCCATTTGATCATTGACACTGAAAAACATAGAACCAATGTAGAGTCGGGCATCTTCACCATCATACCAGAGATTGATATCATTTGAGGAAGCTCCAGCTGGAAGCACAGGGCCTGGTGTGCTTAGAAATGCAGGATCTACGGTCAATGGATGAGCAGGGGTCGAAGTGGCGGAGGGATTCGCGGCGGCCAATGAGGAGGATGCCAAAGGACTAGCGATGACACAAAAACTGAGGAGATGAATAAGGACAAGACATATGGACGAGAGTCTTGAGGAAGCTAGTGGTGACATATTAGCATGTACTATAATATGAATAAGCACAAGTCTGTTGAGTTACGACTGCAACATACAGAGATGAGTCCCCGGATTACCGTAGTATTAGTGAGTAGTTGAGCGAGAAAAGGTGCAAGGATGTGCACTGCAATGAAATATATGTGAAAACCCAATTATAATGACCATAGAGATCCTACCAGAATTGATGATTCGCAATAGATATGACCAGCAAATCTATCTTGAGATACAAGTCGAAACCTGAGTAGCATGAACATTCAGACACATTATGGAACAGAAGAAAACGGGGAGTGAACACACCAGCGATGTGATGGAGGAAAAAGAAAGGCAAGATTTAGGATCGTTGGCTCAAGATAAACATTGCGTGAGATGCAGTGCCAGTTTCAACTCCGCGATAGGCAGGGACTAAAAAGGGCCATGTGCAATGATGCGTCGGGGGAAAATGTGCAATTGTTACCGTTCATGAGGATATTGAGGCCCAAGGTTGAACTTGAGTACAGTCAACTCCCTCTTAACCCATACCCCTCCGTCGAGGTCCAGAGGTATGGGTTATAAGGGAGTATGGGTATAGGGAGAGTGCTATTTTCTCAGCCCAAAAATGCTCGGAAATGCTTTGAAATATGTTATTTGGTATCTGGGGATTAATTACAACCCATAACGAAGCATGTAAACTACTTTCGGTGGAAATAATCAGTAATTTCAGTATTTGCCAGAGTGCGGTCTGCCTCGAAACGTGTTTGATGTCCAAAGGATCCCAAAATCCTCTCCAGCTTTCGTGCATATTGCTCGTCCGTGCCATCGATGAATTGTTGTAACGTCGTGACTGCCTGAAGAGCCTCGCGGCGGCTAGGACGTTTATATACTGGACCGTCATCATCTACATCATCATCTCCACCATTAATGACAGTATCTTCTTCGGCCGCACGCGCATGCAGAACCGCTTTGCAGATCTCCTTGTCAGTGCTCTCATCAGCAGTGACCATGATCTTCTCCCTTTCGGGGTTTAATAACGAGTCGATAGTCATGCGGTTACTGCGCTGTAGGACGCCGGTCTCCTCAAGGAGATCAAGAGTATCTTCGACATTCTTCTCTGCGCATGCAATAGGATCATCAGCAGAAGAGTCTTCGGTGATCAGAGATGAGATGGGAACAGAGACATTTGTGGGAACCGAAGATGGAAGGGAATCCGAATCAGGAAGAATTCCGGCTTTCTGCCAGCAATGAATAATGGTTGTGGTATTGACCTCGCGCCATGCTGCTTCTGCAAGACGCATGGCCTCAAGCTGGTTGATATCGTAAATGTTCATAGGAGAAATGCCGGAATCATAGCGATCGATTGAACGTTCAATGTATTTTTGACGATAGTGAGCCTTGAAGCAGCGAATTATTCCTGAGTCCATGGGCTGCACATGAGCGGTGAGGTTCGCTCTGAAGTTTTCGACTGCGATATTTTGGACCTTCAGGAGGAACATGACCTGAGAAATTATCCTGAAGCAGTAAGATGTTCCTATGCTGCCTCGCTAACTCACAGTCCCATTCCAAAAGCCAATCCTGGTACAGCTCCATTGTCATCCAAGCCTTTGCATTGTTTCGATATCGAAATCCCAGCTGTTCTCCTGTTTTATTGCCAAATGCTCGAGGCTTCTTGGCTTTTCCAATGATGAATGCAGGTTTCTTCTCTGAGCCATCGGCATTGGCAGTGAATGCGTAAGTCAAGCGTACTTTGCTGCCTTTTACGCCGGAATGCTGTTTATCAGCAAGCCCACGATCAGGAGGCAGTCTATCCAAATGGTGAGTCTTACTGATTTATGCAAGTACAAAGCTTACCCATAGAAAAGGCCAGTTTCGTCCATGTTGAAGATGTCACGCAATGGGTATCCGTACTTCTTGAGAAGCTCTCTCAACCTCGCACGTTCTGCATCAACGACTGTAGGGTCAGCAGATGCTGCTTCACCATGCTGCTTGAATTCCTTCAATCCATTTCGCGCCTTGAACCGACTCAGCCAACCCTCACTGAGATTGAGTCGTTCGTCTTCAGGTATACCAACCAAGTCAGCAAACTGTGTCCATTTCTGACGCAGAACCTCTCCTGTAAGAAGAAGGCCATCACCCATAGCCTTCAAAACCCACAGGCTAAGCATCTCCGTGACTTCTGGATGCTGGGTTTGGCGCATGCGTTTGGCACCTCTCAATACACCTCCTGATTTCACATACTCTTCCCACCATTTCGCCTCATTTTTTACCCAACTCGAAACGAGGGGTTGGTTCAATTTGAGGTTTGGATAGATGGGCTCAAAGTGACGTGCTGTTTTTGACTGGTTCTTACCATTGGCATGGTACCAATTGATGATTTCGATTCGCTGTGCAACAGTAGCGTTTTCCTTTTTTGTGAAGACTGGTTTCTCCAGTACTTGAGCCTGACTTTTTACAGTCGCCGTAGGATCAGGCTCTCTGGCCTTTGGACCTGCATATATCAGGTGTGAATATTTGAAACCTTACCGGAAAATGAACTTACGCTTTCGTTTGTTTCCTGCAACTTTAGGTGCACTTATGACTAGTTTCGTGAGACGCATTAAAATACTTTGCTTTTTCTCGTCTAGCCGTTCCAAGCCGCGTTCATAGTCTGATGCATTTTCCAAATCATTTATCAGCTGTTCCTCCTCAACGAGGTTACCTTCTTTGTCCAACCACTGCTCATCTTCATTGGATATTTTCTCCTTCTTCGCAAGTTTAGATTTCAGGATGTTGTGTCTCTCTTCGTACTGCTTTCTGAGCTTGGCCAGGCCCTCTTTCAAAGCTGCCAGAGGATGATGCGCCATGTCGAATACAAGAACGTGTAGATTTCGAAGTGAAAATGGTTCAGGGGCTGTTTGTTTTTGCCCTATTTTCCTCTCATAGAAAATGTTTAAAAAATTCAATTAATCTCGATAAAAATCTTCCTGAAACAAGGGACCCTTGAGCGACTGAAAACTAAGCAGGAAAGACTAGGGAAGACTATGGAGTGGCGCCCGATGATAATCATCAAGGGTATGGGTTATGGGTAAAAATATGGTAGGGATCTCCTAAAAATATGTATGGGTTATGGGGTATGGGAGAGTTATGGGTTTTGCATGGCACTTCCCTGCAAACAAGGTCGGTGATCCGAAAAATCTATGGGGTATAAGGGAGTATGGGTTTATAGGGGTATGGGTTAAGAGGGAGTCGACTGTACTTACAAGGATATGATCCCATATACATAGCCTGGGAGTTGGGAGTTGTGCAAGGCTATGTAATAGCAGATTGAGTACAGCATGGATGTCTGGATATAGTTGAAGAAGGTCGAACATCGTGCAGCGAAATTTGGTAATCGACATCGTACCACATGTTTGAAATATAATCAGTGATTTAATCCTTGATGATAGCTCTGAATGGATCCTCAGTCTGCGATGGTCACATACCAGGCAAGCGTCTACTGTCATTCCACTTGACCGGGGCACGTATAGCACATAATAATCCTCAGCTCCTCTGGATATATAATTTGGCGTTCCACGATCTTAGAACTTGAAGAAGAATTTATCTCGCAATAGAGAGGACTTCAACGTAAAAAATGCAGTATTCGATTCTGGGTAGTACAGCATCAGAGGGTGTTTCTCATTCATCTGGGTATTTCCTGGTATTTTACCCAACATATCTCTTTATGCTGACGTCTCAATAAACAGGAATGGGTAATTCGAGGCTACGTGCTACCACTGATGGAAATTCATTGCTAAAACTGAATTTTGCCTACTGCCTCATCCTCGTAGGTGTTCTCCACTAGGAATCCAAACTCAATCACTTCATCTGGCAGACATTTCCCATTCAGCTCCACCAAAAGGTGATTCTATCTCCACAGGATCCAATGGCTAGAACAATGGCCATATCAACCTCTTCCTCGAGCAACAGGAACACAAAACTCACAAAGGATAGACCAAATAATGCACTGGTCTTGTCGCACCCACAGCTTGATTTATAGTATGTTGTCGTTGAATCATATATGGCCTGGATACAGGATGTCCATCATCGGCATATCTTCGCCCTCTGCGCGGACCTCATCCTCGCTCTCCAATACAACACCGAAGTTAGTTTCCTCAGAAACGACGAAGTTGGGACTTCCAAGGGGACTATATAGATTATACTTTTAGTATTCTCCATTCTTTGTTACTGTCTGTGCTAAACATATGATAGTTGGCAATACACATTATCATTGGGCAGTGTGTCCTATTGGGTAAATTCCTTCGAAGATTTCATAACCTGCAATCATTGTACTCCCCGCACCATCACCTTTCATATCAATCAATTTGGTATAGAGGTTGAAAAAATGCGGAGGTACATCTTTTATCACCCCTCTTTCCTTCAGGCGTGCAAGTACGCGACGAATCCAGTCCATATTCAGATAATATCCCACCTCAAGCTCGCGCACCTCCTGGAGTATACTGTCCAAGTGCATTTTCGAGGTAAAAATGGTATCCACCAGAATCCCGCCTTTGAACTCTTCGTTGGTCTCAATGAATTTTGATGGTTTACCAGGACTCGAATGAGCTGCAAAGCCATGTTTCGTACCAATATAGATGGTCCACTTCTCTGTAGGGTCGACATGGTTATCGAAAAGAGGAACGATTTGACTTCCAATCTCACGCTTGAGCTGGATCGCTACATTTTCATGTCCGCTCAATGTCAATCATAAACCTGCAGAATATACATTTACTCACCCCCCATTTCCAGGTTTTCATTATACAACTTCGTCCAATCTTCGGGTACCCTCGTCATCAACTCTTTCTCCTTCAATTTCTCGAAGATGAGATTGAAGCAATCAACAGGCCACAATTGGCCGGGTAACTTTTGTAACTCTTTGGTAAGGGCAGGCAGATCTCGTCTTGAACTGTCAATGTGAAATGTCCCCAGAGACGTTCCGACATAGTACCTCTTTTCGGAGAGGATATCTATTTTGAAAACATCGTGTTCTATTTCTTGTTTCACATCAAAGCCATAAGCATTCAACCAGAAGGACCAATATCGTGCAGGGAGAGGATAGAACGCTGATGGCTCTTGATACCTTAGCCCAACACGTACATCCGAGCCGCCTAAAAGTTGTTCAGTCTGGATATACATATGGTGGACAAGGATACATACGACGTTCAAAATGAGTTTTTGTATCGAAAGTGCCGGGAAGACTGAACGGGTAGCATATCCCACCAAGAAGGGTAGAAAGTAGGATGAGTACCAAGAATGCATGCGAAAAGGAAAATTTGGAAGGCATGATGTAAGGAGGGATGTATGATGGCGTGTTTTCTGTTGAAGCCCATCAGCGCATTGAATTTGGCCTTTCGAGTAATAGAGTATATAGGTAACATACTGGCAGATGGTATGCGCGTAGATGACTTGACTGGTGTTAGGACGGAAAGAATTAAGATACCGGATGGCGGCTTAGATTAGATTTCAAGGTCAATATCCAAACGACCACAGTCAATCGATACTAACCAGCGGGGCAAGTTTGACCAGCAAATACTATATGCCACCAATGCGCAATTAGGTTGGTCAACGTATCGTCAAGCAGAAGACAAGAGGTGAATAAATCGTGAGCAAAGGTTAGTGAAACTATTGGCAGTGGCTGAGAGAAAATACTGAGGGAAGGAAGGAAGGAAAAAGTTCGCGTCTGTCCTTTTCATATGCCGATCTAGTGGTAACCCCGCTTACCCCACACGAATTCTACTCAATGATTAGATGTTAGCCGCTAAAATCCTTTCGGACCACAAGTTCGTGACTGCGTCAATTATGCCAGAAAAAATGCCTAGAAACAGGAAAGAAATCGTAAAGGAAATCTTTCAAATTCTCAAGTATGCACTTGCAGTACATTACAAATGCATTGGAAAAAGATGTTGAAGGCATTGTCTCAAGTTGAGCTCGGAGTTGAACTAGTAAGTACTGAGACCATTGTCGATATGTCTCGCTGTTCTCATTATCCTCGCCGTCAATGTTGTCGGTAGCCCAATTGGATCTCCCGTTTCGGCTCTGGTCAACCGTCAGTCCCTCTATCACATCGACCTCTGCTCATCCATTGGCCACCAACTCCCCCTGGGAGTTGCGTGCTGCGGTCATGCCAGCTAAAATAACGGATGAGGTCTACTTTTGGATCGATGGTGATGACGCCGAACTTTATATTGGCTCTACACGGTTCGGCCTCGATAATGAGAAGGAACGTCTGGTGCCCAAAGAGATTGGTATACCCCAGACTGGCACCAAGAAGATCGGCCAAGTCATCTACCCGAGCGTAAATGTCAAAGAACAGGTCTTGCAGATTTTAGGAAAATGCGGGATCAAGATAACTCCAAAAGCACATCCCGTTCGACTTTGTAGGGGAAATTACTTCCAGAATATCATTCGAAAATTGGTGAAAGTCTCAGCGCTTAACTCTTTCGAAGTGAAGGATGAGAATGGTGGGGATGATTTGGAAATGACGTTTACCAGTTTCTTGCGAAATACAGGGTTTCTAGGAACCCCGAAGAAGAAGAAGACTCCTCTGAGGGAGCCAAATCGTCACCACCCTTACTAGCACCCTACGAATCGTGATGATGGACCTTCTTGCTCCTAGTGCTATTTTTCCTAGTGACAAACAACATGAATGTAATAGGTCAACCTGTGAAAATATCGTAGCAACTATGGTACAAGGGTTTCATCGAATCCTTCAGTAGTTGACATGCTTCAACCTTGCTCACCTCCCCAGTCGCTTCAAAAGCGTGCCCTGGAGCTTTTTTTGCTTATAAACTTGCTTGCAGACTATGTACTGATAGTTTATCAGGATTGCTACGGTACGTGCAGTCACTCATGATGCCCGCACTCCGATGCTCCCTATTTTTGTCGTTCTCGAGACTTTTGTCAAAATATCATAAATAATCTACTTCACCTTCTCGCTATCTTCGTCCGTTGTGGCGAGTCCAATAGAATCATTCACCGGCTTGGACCCCGTTCCCCTTCAATCACTTCTCCTCCGTTCGCCTTGCCCACAAGGACAATTCCTGCATTGTTAGGTAATCAGCCATCCAGCGCTGTAAACGATAGAGCCAACTCGGAGCCAACGTCACGGTATGGGTTGACAGCCCGAATGCTCGAGGATAAAGCTTCCTCCGAGTCATTGAAGGAGCGGTTCCATCAACTTGCGGGCTGATGGCATACCCGTCTAATCGGCGCTACCTCTCTGGGTCTGAGCTACCAGGTCGAATGTCTATGAGAGGACGCTGGACGAGGTCCACGTACCGAAAAAGCAAATGCTGATATGACAGAGTCCAAGTCTTGAATACACTCGCTCGTAGGATATTTCCATGCTATCAGCATTGAATGTATGGTCGAGAATTCGAATGGAGCCTCCACCGTAGAAGATCGTGATGAGATCAAACCCTCTCCGAAGCGAAGAGGGAACAAATAGAATGAGGACGAGGACGGTGGTCGTTTCGAGCCGTCCTAGTAGCTAATTATTACTAGGTCCTTCGGATCCGATATACTGTTTGGATCTGCTCCGAGTCTTTCGATAATGTTAATGTGTTCATGTATTCATGATCAGGAGGGATTCTCTTATACCACACATGTGCAGGCGGTTCTTGCGTTGACGAGAGACCACCGTGACAGCTATTCGCAGACCGAGCAGAACTTTGAATCTCTCATGCCAAACAGCCAGCTTCGTTCAAGTCCTCATGGCTGGGCGTTAAAATTGTTCTACGCGGCTGGGTAGTCGGAATAACAAAAGACGAATTGACTCGGAGTGTTCTAACTTCTTGAGGCCTTGACTTTGATAATATGTGCTTCAGATGACCCGGATAACGAATGTCATTTGAGGGTTTCGGTGGCTATTATGATGTTATTGGTGGAGTGTTGACAGGGATTTTGTCTGCGGGGATGTGGATCGGGTTTGAAGTCAGTGGATATGGTGTAAAATTATCGAAGAAGCAACGATGGAGAATGAAGAAATAATGACGGAAAACAAAGTCCAAATTTAGGTATATGCACTCGAGATAAACCTAGGGATGTGGCATGTGAGGCGGGTTGGGGACTTTTAGTCTTCTTGAGCGTCTGGGTGATCGATGAAGAGACTAGAGCGTGCGGCCAAGACCGACTAGTGATAATCGATGACATTGATTTGAGCGTAGAGGGTATAGTGCAGATAGAACATCTGACAAGGTAGTATGAAGGAAGTGCAAGTGGAAAAATATTGAATCTTTGCAAGATCTTCAAGACTTCACATTCAGACGTTCATATGCGTTCAAGATGAACAGGCTGAACGCTGCAGTAGGTCCACGAGGGAGATGTTGAGTGAGTTGATGAGAGTAACATAGTCTGTTTGTGTTTGTATAGCACATCCATCGTTCCTGCCAATGAAGTGAACTCTACTAATAAATCGATAATCGATGAAAAACAAGCTGGTCTCGAGATTTCAGCCAGTGCTCAGCCATACACTCCAGGCGCTCGTTTATTGGATGATTATTGGATGATAACTGAAATGAATACGGGGGGAGGCTCGATCGAATCCAGCTAGTTTTCTGGGGGCAAGGTATGTCTTCTTTTTTCGAATAATAACGATGTTCAAACCTCAAACCCAGGTACTTGGTGGATTTTCTAAAAGAGAGGTATATATACCTAGACATTTCCGAGTTCAAGCAAGTTGATAACTGAAATCGCTACAATTCGAAATGACACGTTGCGAAACTCGACCTCCTCCGCCTTGCGCTATTCCCAAACCACCACCCGCATGCCCGCCGGTTGCTTTGCCGCCTGTAACTAGCCCACCTGTCGCTCGTCCACCTGTCACAGGTCCGCCCGCTGCCAACCCGCCTGGGGCAAGACCTCCGGTGACTAATCCGCCTGGATCTCGCCCTCCAACTACAAGTCCCCCGAGCTCTAATCTACCTCTCGTTCTCCGGGAATGTAACATCAAAGTATGGATTGTCGATGTCCATTCCTGGGTAACTTTATCTCAACAATTCCAAAATCCAAGCTCTTCCGTAGCGACTCATGTTACGTATACTTTCAGTATGCTCGCGGGAGCTGCTATATATGGATTCCAGATTGTCCGACAAGATGGTACAAAGGTCGATGGCGTAGTCAAACAAAAGGACGAGGCTCAGAAAGAAATGGACATTGCAGTCAGCGAAGGACTTACTGCTGCGTTGGGACAAGAAGTCACGAAAGATGGTTAGTGTTTTTTCTCTATCTCTTCTTCATAATCTCAAAGGAATTCTTAGTGTTCTCAATCGGAATCGGAAATGTCGCTGGGAACGAAACCATCACTATTAATCTGTCTTACATGAGTCCTCTTATCGACGACGAGGATCGTAATCAGCTTCGTTTCACGCTCCCGCGTTCGTACATGGAGCGCTATGGCCGACGTCCTGCCGGAGTCACAAATTCTCGTCTCGATCATGAGAACGTGCCATTTACCATGGACGTCCTCATCCAACAAAGAGGCACCATCCGCTCTGTCAGTTCTCCCTCTGGATACAACTTCACCTTTGGCCTAGGTCGACCTCCCAACATCAGTCCCTCTCCCGGAATTCCCGACTCCAATATCGCCACCGCCACGATCCGTCGTGGTGCCACTTCGTCTGCCCGTGCTCGAGATGTCATGCTTATCATCACTGCCGACCGTCTCGATAATCCACGTGCATTCATCGAGACGCACCCGTCTCCGAATCATACGACGGCTGCGATTGGGCTTACGCTAGTACCTCATTTTGGTAATTCCAATTATTGCCCAGAGATGGAGTATATTGTGCTCGTTGATCGCAGTGGGAGTATGCAGGGCGTGAAGATGGAGATGACGCGTCAGGCTTTGATTGTTCTCCTCCAGGGATTACCTTCGCGTGGGTCGTTCTTCAATATCTTCTCTTATGGTACGAGAGCCACGTCGCTGTGGCCGACGAGTAGAGCCTATGACCAGGCAACAGTCAATGAAGCCAGACGACACTTAGAGTAAGCTGATTCCTTATGTTTCTTGCACTATAACTGATATACGATTCCTCTGTAGCTCCATGCAAGCAAACTATGGCGGAACCGAGATCCCCAATGCCCTCGATGCGGTCTTTGCCTCTCTTCCCTCTCGCCTTACTCGTCCAGTTTCTATCTTCCTCCTCACAGATGGCGGAGTCTGGGGCTCCCTCCTTATCCAATGTGTTACCAAGATTGAATCCACCATCGCCTCCAGATCCTCCGACAAGTCCTTCCTCCGTGTTTACACCATCGGTATCGGAGACGGTGTTTCCACCGAAACGTGTGATCGAATTGCACGAGCAGGAGCTGGAACGTCGACGTACATCGTTTCGGACAACGAGCAGTACATCGGGAAATGTACGAGATTGGTACGCGCTGCGAGGACTCCCCCGATTGTGGATATTGAGGTTACGTGGGTCACGCCGAAAGAGAATGCTTCGCATGATGCAACTGGACAGGTTATAGATCTGTTTGACGCAGAGGTCTCTTACGATGATGAAGAGTGTGGCGGAGTCGGTCCACTTGCACCGATCTTGCAAGCTCCGGATCCTGTACCGAGTTTCTACCGCTCGACAAGGACACAGGTGTACGCGATTGTACCTGATAGCATTGCTGTCACGAAAGAGATCAAGATTTCTGGGCGGATCCCGGTTACTGGTGCTTCTGTTGCGTTAACAATTCCTGTACAGCGCTTTTCGCCATTCGCGCCGTTCCCTGCTTCTCCGGGGGGTATTGGTACGGGAACCGCGTTCCTGCATACCCTTGCCGCAAAGGCGCTTATTCAAGATCGGGAGGATTGGGAAGACAGTGGAAGCGGACCAGCAGGAAAACCCTCCGTAGCGTCGTTGAAAGAAGATATCACTAGACTTGGGATCGATTATAAACTCACCAGTCGCTATACGAGTTTGATTGCCGTTGATCGGAGGAATCAAGACGTTCTTGGGATGGGGTATTATTCTGCCCCTGGCGCGAAGAAGCCGAAGAAGAATATCGTTGCAGAGCGGGAGGGAAGCTTTATCCCCAGTTTCCAAGCAAGGTCTTTGGCGCATGCCACTTTCTCGTCCACTCCGGGAGGAATTGGCAGGGCTGGCGCGGACACTGCTACTGAAGCTCTGATCATCCTCGCAAGGTTACAGAATTTCGATGGAAGCTTTGATGAGTCGTCGTCCAAATTCGACATTGAGGGGTTGTATGCCGAGTTGGGAGTTGACCTCGGGACCGGGACAGAAACAGAGACAGAAATAAAATCTATCGTCGACAAATTTGTGTCAGGTACCGAGAGTGAAAAAGGCCAGGTGGTGTATATTACCCTCCTCGCTTGGGCATTTATGGCTGTTCAAAGCAAGAGCAATGCAAAGGCTGGAGAAGCATTTTACGATGTCAAGGATAAGGCGGATGTGTGGTTGAAAGAAAACTTGAAGGGATCAGGCGCAGCGGGAAGTGATGTGGACGTCGACGAGCTCAAACGACAGTTCTTGGACAAAGTGGCTAGTCTGGGTCATGGAGGCGAGACTTATGGACATGGAGAATTTGATGAATATGTTGACTCGGATGAGGATGATTTTGATTTTGATTTGAGTTTGGATTTAGAAGAAGAAGGGGGTTTCGCATTGGGAGGAGAGGGCGTAGGGTTGGTTGAGGTTGTGAATTGAAGTGGTGATTGTATATGGGGTTAATTTCTTTTTGAATTTTTTCCCTTCCGCGCCTCTTTATGTTCATCGTTATGATTTCCTTCTCCCTGTCGTTGTCCCCACGTCTCTCCGCCTGTCTTGCCTGTAAAGTTGTTTTTGTCAGTTGTGTTGAATGTAAATCTCAAATGTGGTTTGTCTTCTACCTGAATCGAAGTTTGTGGGGTGGGGTGGTTGTAGAACAAGTTACCCATTATGACGCTTTATATATCTGTTTGAACCTGGATTTGCTCAGTGGATTCACGGGTAAAGATTTCAATATTTCAATTCCACATTCAACAACTAGATTCAACTCTTCACCTGTGAAGCTGATTATAAACATCACCTAACGGAACATTAGTGGGATCATATGAATTCACAACTAACAACATATTTTTCATATTGATACAAAAGGAACGACGAAAAGTCTTCACATACATAGAACTTCTTCTTATCTGTTATGTACTTACTAGGATTTGACATTCATTCCCAAGGGTCAGAATTTCATTGCCTTATGTGCTAATAATTGATTAATTACTAGTATCTACACTTGTGCAGCTGTGCTGGCGAGGGTGTTTCCATATTCTCTATCCTGTAGCTCAACATCTGCACCCTGCTCAATTAAGAATTCAACAATTTCTGGTTCTTCCGAATGCAATGCTGCTTTGAGTGCATTCCCAAATTGCCCTCCTTGAGCATTGACATCTGCACCCATTTCCACCAAAAACTTTATATTGTCCAAGTTGCCTTTATATGATGCAGCTTGAAGTGCATTCCCAAATTGACCTCCCTGAGCATTGATATTTGAACCTTGTTCTACCAGGAATTTCACAATATTCAAGTCATCGGAATGAGATGCTGCTTGTAGTGCATTTCCAAATCTTCCACCCTGAGCATCAATATCTGCCCCATTTCCTAATAAGAATTCTATAACATCCAGATGGCTCAAATATGAAGCTGCTTGCAGTGCAAACCCATATGTACCTCCCTCTGCATTGACATCTGCCCCATTTGCAACTAAGAATCTGACAATTTCTAAATTATGTGCTCCTGCTTGAAGTGCATTTCCACATTCCCCTCCCTGAGCATTGACATCTGCACAATTTTCTACAAGGAATTTGACAACTTGTGAGTTACCTTCAAATGATGCTGCTTGAAGTGCATTTCCATATTGACCTCCTTGAGCATTAACATTTGCACCATGTTTCACCAAATATTTGACAATTTCTAAGTCTCCTGACAATGATGCTGCTTGCAGTGCATTCCCATATTGGCCCCCATGAATATTGACATTGATCCCCCCTTCCACAAAGTATTTTACAACCTCAAAGTCTCCTGACAATGATGCAGCTTGCAATGGATTGCCATAAATCCCCCCCTGGATATTGGCATCTGCCCCCTGTTCTGCCAAAAATTTGATAATCTTCAAGTTGCCTTTTGCTGATGCTGCTTGTAGTGCATTTCCATATCTCCCTCCTTGTGCATTCACATCTGCACCTCTTTTTACCAAAAGAATAACAGTTTCTAACTCATCCCATAGTGACACTGCTTGCAATGCATTGCCATACATTCCTCCCTCAGCATTAATCTTTGCCCCCTTTTGAACTAGAAATTTCACAATGTGCATGTGTTTGTAAGATGCTGCAACTTGCAGTGCATTTCCGTATTTCCCTCCCTGAGCATTAACATGAGCCCCCTTATCCACCAACACCTCAACTACATCAATGTGACCTTTTTGTGCAGCTTGATATAGTGCTGTGTCCTTCCAATCATTGTCTTGAATTACTTTGAGATTGCACCTTTGTTGAATGTCAATCATTATTCTTACTACCATGGATTTATTGGAAGATATGGCATGAGTCCATGCATTGTCTGGCAAGGTAATGGGTAATTTCCTCCAACTCATTTCCTTTGCCATGTAATCAACCCATAATAATGTTACTTGTGGCCATAGCTTGTAATCATCAATGTCCTTTTTGTTAAGTTTCCACACAGTATTCCACATGAGTTGTGTAATGGGAACTGAATATTGCTTGAGTTGATGGATATATAACTCCACTTCTTGATTTTCTGCAAACATGCCATGAATAGCCTGCACAACAACTCTTTGAATGGAAAGGTTTGACTGGAATGACTGCAACCAGAAGAAAATATCTGCAGCAATACGGTGTTGCTTTTTTATATCCTGTAGATGCTGATTTTCAACTTCTTTCAGAGGGCCTTTGAAAAATGTTGGAAATTTTCGCCCAACGGAATCTTGTTTGACACTGGAACCACTGTTTATTTCATCTTGCTCGTGTTCCTTTCCAAAATCTAGCAATTTGACTCCTGTCCATAAAAACAACCAATGCCCCATTTTTACAGTGGAAATTACATTTCCTATGGCTATGAAAAATAGGGGAATTCTGTATGGACAGTCAAGCCAAATTGAGGGAAGTAAAATGCTCCCAAAATACATTGTGAATGCCATAACTGTAATGGTCACCACAATCCAACTCAAGGAGGTGTGCAACTCTGCAGCAAACAATGACAGGCCTATAAGGAACAAGGCAAGAGATGCATGCAAGATGAGTGGTAAAGTTCCAATTATCTCAGGAACCTGCCATTTCTCAAACCCTGCAATTCTATACTGGCGGATCAATGCTTTTTCTTTGGCATTTCCAAATGACATTGAGCTATAAGCTTGTAACCACTGTTTAACCAAAACTGATAAAAGAGCAGTGGCAAGAGCAAGTGACAGACTTGCAAAGAACAAGCCATTGATCCAAATATCATTAGTTCCAGGTGATGCATCATCAGGATTCAGTGTAGTTGAAGGGATAGCATTGATTGCAGTGAGGTTTCCAGCAGCTCTAAGGAGCTGGACCTGTTCCACTAGCAATGTTGCAGTGGTTTGGGAATAGTTTGGCTGGAATGCAGTTATAGTGACAGTGACAAAGGTTGTCACAACGCCAGAGAAGAGTGCTGCCTAATAGGTCAAACATAGAAATGAAGAACTGGGGAATCAGGATTTTTGAATACACTTACAAATACCAGCAAAGAATCAATAGTGTCTTTAAATCCTCCAAGCATTTCATCATCATAGTGCTCAGCTTCATCCAGATACACTTTCCAAAAACGGGCATTTTCCTTCACCTCCTCACCCAAGGGGTCAGATGGATATTTCTTCTCATAGTCATATGTGTGGGTTTCTAGAGAAATCAATGTTCAATTCCAGAGGGCAAAAAAATTATTGTATTGATTCTTTTTTGCATTCCTTACCAGAGTACATAGCAGACTGATGAGATGCAAGACCTAGGACACTACTAGGAGGGTTTTCCTTTCTTAGAGACATAGGAGAAAAAGGAATATTGTGTGATGTGGGGGGAATAGTTCTCAGACCCGCATATGTAGTCCGTTTTTATAGCTGTACAGATTAAGGATGGATCATGTCATTAATCATCAAATTCAAAAGCCTCGTGTTTATATATACTTAGTTCGACAGCTAGAATTTTAATTTGACAAAATGATTTTGCTCAAAACCCAGGTTATTTTCTGTTATTTTCTGCACATTTCGATAGAATCGAGCTCTGTTCACGACAGATGATTCTTCAGGTAGGCTACGCTCTGTTCCGAACTCGTATTCCATCTATGACAGCGGAGGATAGAGAACGAAGTGAATTACTCACATCATGACAGCTAGCATTGCTCTTCACCACGGACTGTCCAGAGCTGCTTTCAGGTAGAATGAAGGTTTTGTTAGAGAAAACAATGTCGGTTTTCCGAATGCCCAGTCATGATTGTTTTGACCAGACTGCGTTAATAATTGGCCTCCATGGAATAGCCTATAGGATAGGACAAGCCCCCCTTGCCTGCCAGTGACGAATAGCAGAGAATCCGAAAGTGAGTGCGTCGCGGTCGTTTTAGAGGTCAAACCCAAACAGCCAGGCAGTCAATACGTGCCAGACCAGGCACATCCTTGTGGTGGACATTTCATGCGCGGAGGAATTCTCCTAAGCCTTCAGAGGAGAATGCGAGTTTAAATCGGTCGCCGCTGAGCATCAAAGTCCGAGGACCACCTGTAATACATGGTGAAGATACGGCCAATCGTAGATGGCAAGGGGTCGCACTCAGGTGGAAGGAAGACCGAGTCGGAGTGGGCTAAGCATTGGTGGATGCAAATTTTTGGGCGGACTGTTCGATCGGGATTCAAGTAGGCTACGTTGTCCACATTCAATCCTGAATATAGGTTACTGAAAAACAGCAACATTGCCAACAGACCTATAACTATGCCCACTATCCTTGAAGATGCATCCTGATAACTGGCTTATATTCTACCCTTTTGCAAGTTCCTCATTGACCACCTTCATTCTCGGTACTCGCTATAGCTGTGTTCCTCTCTTCATCGACAGTGAATTCGTCGAACGATGAGGAAGCTAGAAAGAGATGATTTAACGCCGTCAGTCTGAAGCGCCTAACCAGTTCAATTGAAGGATCCATTTTGATTTGGACTTGTCTCTCCTAAAATCACTTTGTATAACACAATGATACATCCACAAGACACAAGTGAGCAGAATTCAAAAGGTTCATCATATTTGAATCAAGTTCGTTCAGTTGGTAGATTGAATAAATTCGAAAGCTGCTCATGATTCTCTCAAAAAACAGTCCCATCACTGACCAATTCCAACGGTGGGCCTCCTCCCTTCTCGCCTCTCTTTGTCTGAGCAATCTCCCTCCCGCCTTTCCACGTCGCAGATTCTAGAACCTGGGCAAGAGATAGATCGGAGGCAGAGAGGTTGAGAGAGGTGCGGAGAGCGGTGGCTATGCGGTCACTAGTAGAGAGAGTGTGTGTAGAGAGAACGTATATAAGGAATGATGTTGGAATCAGACAAGCATAGATTGCTCACAGCATCACAACCGTCATCGCCCGCCATTCCACCACCGCTGGGTCGTCTGGAGCTGCTTTAGGTAGACCAGATGTTTCGTCAATGGGGAGAGCATTTGGTTTGAGTGTGAGGACGCCGAGGTCAATGAGGAGACCACCTACATCCCAGAATACTCAGAATGATATTGTAGAGGGAGAAAAGACCAGAGCAAGACCGTACCATTTCGATATTCCGGAAGCCCTGTCATATCTTCCAGTCCAACAAACTCCCACTTCATCGTATGCGTGATCGCTTCGACGAGACTGTATGTCAACCACTGAGTTAGTTTATGGAACGGGACGAGATCATCGCCTTCGCTGAACGATGTTGATTTTAGGGCTTCGCAAGGCCAGACATCACCTAATGATACTCCACCGAGTTTCGTTCTAGACGCGGGCCAAATCGGGTTCAATCCGTCGATGAGAACGTTCCAAAGTGCAGCGAGTGGGACGAGACGGGTGCCGGACTCGGTAATTCTGGATTCCCTTTCGAGGAAGTCTGTCGGATGTCAGATATATACAAGTAATACTGCGGTGAGTCATGGAATCTTAGAAAATTACATACCAAGCATATTTCCCGGTCTCCCTTCCTCTCCGAAAAACTCTGGGCTCGATTTCAGCGCGGTACTGAGATTACGGAGCAGAGAAGTGCGTCCTTCGAGTCCGACAATGGGGTTTGTCTCAGAGACTTGCATGTGTTGAGCGACGGAGGTGGTAGTTATTTTTGAAAGGCCAGTTGCTGGATCGGGGGGAATAGTTGGGTGGATGGAATAAGGATATGAGAAATCCATTAGCATCGATCACTAACGTACCATCGACTCTACATTTTTGTCCATCCTCTCCAGAAAACAGTCCATCCTCAAACATATGCAAACTGCATATCGCCAATCCTTCCGATCTGCTGTATTTCCCTTCAGTATTCTTCTCGTGATAAACCCAATCTTTCCCAGCGCCAGCATCCAACAGCACAGAAACGACGAACAAGTCCACGAGCCGTTTACTGCTTTCTTTCTTCGCATTTTCACCCGTACCGAGTTCAGTTGTCCATTTGTTTAGGAGACGTTCGACACGGTTGAGTCCGAGGTCAAAGTGGCGCCAGCGGCCGTGGGGTGGGATCTAAGTGAATAGGCAAAGAAAACGATGAGATAGATTTGACCAAAGGGCTATATAGAGATGATATGGAACGTTAACGAAGACTCACTCTACTGTAATCCGTCCCGAAATCGCGCTACAAACACCTTCTATCAGCTCGCCTTCCTTTCTGAGACCAAGACTCACAGCAATTATGCTTCCACAATACTCGACCACGTCCTTTTCTTTTCCCTCATGATAATCAAAATACTCTAACTTGCCCTGTTGAGCAAGCTCAAAGACACGAGTGCAGCGTTCACGAATTGACGGAAGAGTGCGAAGGTATGCGGCTTTTGATTGGAGAGATAATTCATTTGGTACGAGAAGTGACATTTCGAGTCAATTTTAGTAGTTCAAGGTGAGATGTAGAGCAAAAAAAAGAGAAAGAAGGAAAGAAGGAAACGGAAGAAAGTAGACAAGCTGCGTTTATAGGAAGAATCGTTAACGGCGGGTTCGGATTTCGGATAACGGGCCGACAGCGACGATCACGGCCGCCTTCCGCGGAACACATCCGTCATCCGTCGAGCTTTTTTCTTTCCACTAGACGTGCTCAATTAAAGTTACTATATATAGTAACTTTTGACATTGTTTACAGCTGATTCCGAAAGTCTAGGATGAAACCAGCCTCTGTCAAGCCCATGCCTCGGGCCTCCATGTCGCCGTTCGGTATCCCGAAGATCTACCTTTTATTGTAATCTCTTCCTTATTGTTCTTTCTCGCTACACATACCCATTCACTCTAGTTCCTTCTTATTGTCTTTTACTTTACCCTGCAGGACTACACGTATAACTCCTAGTAGTTAGTCTGGCGCTCCGCACCGTTGCGCCGCTCCGTAGATATAAATACTGCTTGTACGCTACTGTAGTTCCTCAGTTTAATTATTAACTTAGATCAACTTAGATCTCCCTTCTCAACTTAGCTCCTCTCTAAGTCTTCAGGCTCAACGCCTTGAAGTACTCTCTCTACAGCCTTTGGACTTATAAGTTCTTTGGCCCGCTCCTCGTCACCGGCGATACCGCCGCTCCGACTTGGCTGCTTCTCAGTTCCTCCCTTCTCTACTCTCGATCTCCGGGGACTAACGGCGTAACGGCGGTGTTGTTAATAACTTCACTACTGTCCCACTCGTCTTCCGCACTTAGACACCCTGTGGCTCTGGCACGGTTACACGGTGTACATGATCTTAACAGTATAATTAAACTCAATCCGTTAACGTCGTACTGACATATCATTTTTTATGCCTCCGAAAACTTGAGCTCAATCTAGAGCTAACTCCGAAGAAAACACTTTCTTCACTACAGCCCAATCATTTGCCCCATTCTCTGACTCTATCTCTGCAATTGGTCAACCACGTCGCCGTAATCGCGGTTTCGGTCCAGCTACAGTCCCTACTACGTCGACTCTTCCTGAAGCCATGGAAGAGGAACAACAATTCGAATACAGTACCTTGTACACTGGTGACGGACAACCTGTCCAAGTCCTGACCCCTCGCCGTGGACAACCCCCCGTGGTCGCTCCGGCTCGGGGCCGGTCTACTACTCGAATTGATTCTCCAATCCTCCAAGCCATAGCCCGCCGAACGGGGAAACAACCCCAACGTCGCGCTGCTTCTGAATCTCCTCGTAACCCACCTCCTCACTTCGATTTGGACACTGGTGATCACGATGATCAAGACCCTCCTGTCGACCCCGACGATCCGGGCGCCGACAACAATCATGACGATCTGGATGACGACTCCGGCGGTTTACCGCGTGGTGAACCTGGTGACCCCAGTGGACCTGGTGGACCTGGTGGTCCCGGCGGTCCCGGCGGTCCTGGTGGACCTGGTGGACCTCGTACTCCCATATCTCCTGACATCCCCAACGAGCAACGTGCTATGTTGGAACTCCTCTCGGGGTTCAAGGGTTCCATTGAGACCCTTGGTACCGTCCTCGCCGCTCTCGGCCGTCCTTCTGACAGCTCTGAATCCAAGAGCAAGGTCAAGGAGCCAGAGGTATTCGACGGGTCGGATCCCCGAAAACTCAAGACGTTCTTCGTCAATCTCGCCCTGGTCTTCAATGACCGTCCCAAGTATTTCACCGACCAACGGAAGGTGAACTACACCCTTTCCTATCTCAGTGGGTCAGCCAAAGAATGGTTTGTCCCTGATATCCTCGATCCGGATCTCGACTCGCTGCCGGCCTGGACATCCTCCTTCAAGGCCCTTGTAAAGGAGCTTCAGGATAATTTCGGCGTTTACGACGCCCAAGGCGAGGCCGAAGATTCTCTCGGTAACCTGAAGATGAAGGAAACTGAGAACATCCGGAAATACAATATCCGGTTCAACACCCTGGCTGCTAGTACCAACTGGGATTCTGCTGCCCTGAAATGGGCTTATGGACGAGGCTTAGCTGAACGCATTAAGGACAAAATGGCGCGTTTGCCCGAACCGGCGACGCTCGCCGATTACCGTCAAGAGGTTCTTCGTATTGACAATCGTTATTGGAAACGCGAGGAAACTAGAAAGCATGAGGCTGGTAAGCCTTTTGTTGCTCGGAACCCGAAGAAGGGTTCCTCGGACTTCAAGACTGGTTCTGCTGACCAGCATAACAATTCTCAGCCTTCTGGCTCTACGGCACCGTTCACGCCGAAGCCTAAACCCTTCTCTGGTGGTAAGCCTAACAACAATGGTAAGCCCCAGAATTCTTCAAATTCCGGCCAATCCGGCGGTCAGCGCCCCGCGTTCAACCATCTTGGTGCAGATGGGAAAGTCCTTCCCTCCGAGAAGGAAAGAAGGATGAAGAACAACCTTTGTCTCTTCTGCGGTGGTAAGCATCAGATTGCTGACTGCAATAAGCGAAAGGCCCGAGAATCGAAGGGCCGTGCTGCTGAGGTTGAAGAAACCCCCGAAGCAACCGTTGAGGTTGTCGAAGAGGAATCGGAAAACTAGTCCGCAGCTCTTGTTCCCCGGTACGAAACGGGAGCTGCGTTGATCAGGTTCGTACCTCACCTGGGGAGTTATATCTCAACGCGTCCGCTCTTTCTTCTATTGAACGATCTCTTGTAATATCATTGACTACTGAATTTCCTTTATCCGATTCGGCTGCGCCGGCCGAACCTATTTCTGCTCTTCTCAAATTTCCTACTCTTGTTGATTCTGGTTCTACTGACTCTTTCATCGATACTCGTTATGTTTCTCAGAACTCTATTCCTACGACCAAAATCTCTCCTGTTAATCTTCGTCTTTTTGATGGTTCATTATCTTCTAAACCCATTACCGATATGGCGAGTATCGCCGTTTGGTTCCCTTCCGGCGAGCTGCTTCTATTACCCTTTTATGTTACACATTTAGATTCATCCTGTAAAGCAGTATTAGGTTACAGTTTCTTATCCCGCTACAATCCGTTGATTGACTGGGCATCTCGAAACATTACGTTCCGTAACACTTCACATTTTGCTTCTCCACAGACGTCTGTACCTTCTGCTATCAACCCCGTTGTTGCAAAGGTCGCTGTTCCGCTACCGGAACCTTCGCCGTCGGTTTCACCGACAATTCTGGAGACCCCTCCTGGGGACTCACCTCGCTCTCGCTCTCGCTCCCGCTCTCGGACTTTACGGGCCAAGCCCCTCTCGTCCAAATTTCCCTTTGAACCCATCTATTCTTATCCTACGGTCTCTCAATTCGCTGCTCAACTGGAAACTCCCGAGGTCGACATTGCACTCGTCAGTGCTGCAGTCTTTAACAGGGCTTGCAAGGACGCTGGTATGGAACCTATCCTACTTCGTGCTATCCACTCAGAGGTCGCGGCCCGCGCCGCCGACCGCTCTTCCACCACTCCTACTGTCCCTCCACTCCATCCTTCTATCCCAGAAGAGTACGCGGAGTTTGCAGACGTCTTCGACGAGATTGCTGCAGATTCACTTCCTGAACATAGACCTTACGACCTGAAGATTGACTTGGAAGAAGGCGCTTCGCCGCCTCTCGGCCGTATTTATCCTTTGTCTGAAAAGGAGCTAGTCGCCCTTAAAGACTTTATTGACAAACAGCTGGCTACTGGTGCCATCACCCCATCATCCTCTCCTCACGGTGCTCCGGTCCTTTTTGTCCCGAAAAAAGACGGCAAACTTCGCCTTTGCGTCGATTTCCGTGGACTCAATCGTATCACCAAAAAGGATCGTTACCCACTCCCACTCATTTCAGATCTTCTCGACGCTCCGAAAAGAGCTAAAATATACACCAAACTGGATCTCGCTCACGCTTATCATCTAGTCAGAATCGCTGAAGGTGACGAATGGAAGACCACCTTTCGGACCCGCTACGGCTCTTACGAATGGAAGGTTATGCCGTTCGGCCTTACGAACGCCCCTGCGGCTTTCCAGCGGTTTGTGAATGACATCTTCTCTGACATGCTCGATGTCTGTGTTATTGTCTATCTTGACGATATTCTAATCTACTCTGATACGCCAGAAGAACACCGAGAACACGTTAAGGAGGTTCTTCGGCGGTTACGGAAACATCGGCTTTACGCCAACCCCGACAAGTGCGAATTCAATATGGATACTGTTGAGTATTTGGGTTATATTCTTTCTCCCGACAGATTGACTATGTCCAAGGAGAAAGTTCAGACAGTTCTAGAGTGGCCGGTCCCGAGGAAGGTTAAGGACATTCAGTCCTTCTTGGGTTTCGCAAATTTCTATCGTCGTTTTATTTATAATTATAGCGATATCGTTGTGCCGATGACTTGGCTTACCCGAAAAGGCGCTCCCTGGATCTGGGACAGCAGCTGTCAAGAGGCCTTCGAAAACCTCAAAATCGCTTTTACTTCTGCGCCGATACTGGCCCATTGGGAGCCGAATCGCCCACTTATCGTGGAGACCGACGCTTCCGATTACGCCATTGCGGCTATTCTTTCCATCCAATATGCTGACGGTGAAATTCATCCTCTAGCCTTCCTTTCCAGAACGCTTCATGCGGCGGAACTCAACTACGATACACACGACAAAGAGCTACTGGCCATCTTCGAGGCCTTTAAAGCTTGGCGTCATTATCTGGAAGGTTCGGGTGATCCGGTGGACGTCGTCACCAATCACAAGAATCTTGAGTATTTCTCTACTACCAAGGTTCTTACACGCCGACAGGTCCGATGGTCAGAATTTTTACATCAATTTAATATGGTCATTCGCTTCCGACCGGGGAAACTCGGCGAGAAACCTGATTCGATAACTAGACGCTGGGACGTCTACCCTAAAGAGGGGGATATCGGCTACGCCCAAGTGAACCCTCATAACTTTCGTCCTATCTTTACTAACGAACAACTCACTGCGTCTCTTCGAGCTACCTTCCTGGAAGGCCCAGCCTTATGAGCCTCGATTATCATGGATATCGAAGCCCTACACCAAGCTATCATTCTCGCCCTTCCCGCCGATCCGAGCTCCGTTGCTGGTTTGGAACTTGCAAAAGATCCTTCCAATGAACGTTGGAGCTTAGGTAGTGACAAGCTACTACGCCTTGACGACCGTATTTATGTCCCTAATCACGGCGATCTTCGCCTTCAAGTCCTCCGCTACTTCCATGATCATCCACTTTCTGGCCATTTTGGCCAGAACCGCACTTTAGAAGCTGTACGTCGTCAATACACCTGGCCTAAGGTCAGAGACTTTGTTCGTGACTACGTTACCTCCTGCACTATCTGTGGTCGCAATAAGCCCCGCCGTCATCGGCCTTACGGCTTGTTGAAACCTCTGCCGGTTCCGGTCCGACCATGGGATTCCATCTCCATGGACTTCATTGAGCAACTGCCAATGTCGAATGGTTACACTGCTATCCTAGTCGTTGTGGATCGATCTTCCAAGCAAGCTATATTTATTCCAACTCACGACACCATTACTTCCGAACAACTAGCTGAGCTTTTTGTTATTCACGTCTTCTCTAAGCATGGTGTCCCTAATCATGTTACTTCCGATCGTGGTTCCGAATTTGTTTCGGCGTTTTTCCGGGCTCTCGGTAAAGCACTCTCTATGGAACTTCACTATACCTCTGGATACCATCCGGAAGCCGATGGGCAAACTGAGCGTGTCAATCAGACTCTCGAGCAGTACATCAGGATCTACTGTTCCTACCAACAAGATGACTGGTCGCCTTTACTCCCGATCGCCGAGTTCGCCTATAACAACGCTCCCAATGCTTCCACTGGTATTACTCCATTCTTCGCTAACAAAGGATACCACCCAAATATCACCGTTCGGCCCGAGGTCGACATGAAGTCTGATCTAGCCAGAGACTTCGTCGTCAATCTCGATGAACTCCACGTCTTCCTTCGAGAGGAAATCCTTTTAGCTCAGTCTCATTACAAGGAACAAGCTGACAGAAAAAGAATCTCGCACCCGGAGCTCCCGATCGGCTCCGAAGTATTTGTTCTTGCTAAGCATATTCGCTCTACTCATCCTACTGAAAAATTCTCTGAAAAATATCTTGGTCCCTTCAAGGTCATCAGTCGACCTGGTACTTTATCTTACGAGCTCAAGCTCCCGGACTACCTTCGCCGAATTCACCCGGTTTTCCACGTCTCACAGCTGGAGCCGGTTACGCCGAATCCTTTCCCGAATCGAACTCAATCTCCTCCACCTCCAATTGAAGTTGATGGTGAAGAGGAGTACAACGTTGCCGAAATCCTTGACTCCAAGTTGGACAGAAGGTATAAACGTTGTCCTCTACGTTACTATATTTGGTGGGCCGGTTATGAAGGTACCGACGATGAGTTCTCCTGGGTTGCTGCTGATGAATTACATGCTGATGAACTTGTACCGGCATTCCACGCCCAATACCCTCACAAGCCTGGACCTTGATCACAAAAACATCCTGTTCCTTTCCCCGTCTCCGCCGCGCTCCGCCGAAGTTTTACTTTGTGCGTTTAGAGGATAAACATGATGATAGCAAATTGAGTGTTTATCTCTTTCTTTTAATCGTGTATTCTATTCTTCGATTCACTGTTCACTTATATTTTCATTTACACTTAAGCTACTTATACTTCCAAAACTAATTATTTCTTACGCCGCTCGGCGGCCCATTCGCTTTCCGATTCAAATCGCGTTAATAATTTTATATATACAAAAGCAAAAGAAAATAAATGTAAGGAAGACAGGAGGCCACAAGAAAACTGCAAGAAATACAAGAAGGGCCGAGAGGCCGATGTCCGATGTCCGTTGCTCTACTCCTCCCTCTCCTTTCCTTTCTCCGACCGGGCCTTCTTCGGCGCCGGTTCGTCTCCCTCCTCTCCTTCTTCCACTTCCACTTCCACTTCTCCTCCCTCCTTCTCCATCTCCCCTTCAATCTCCTGCTCTTCTTCTTCATCACTGTCTACCACCCTTCGCCTTTTCTTCGATACTCCCGATGGCCCGACCTCTGGTAGTTCCGGTGGCGTCCTCCTCCTTCTAGCGGCGTCCGTGATGAGCCAGTCCAATTTGCGATTGAAGTGGCGATGGTAGGTATTCGCTTTTACCTGACCATCCCGGAGTTGTCGATTATCCGCGAGGAGCTGCGCTACCTGGCTTTCCAGTACCGCCAGGCGCTCCCCGGTCGGTTGCCCTCTGCCCTCTCGCTTGACCGTTGAAGGCCTCCCGGAATACGAACATTTGACCTTCGCGTCGTGGCAGGGTTTACAAATAATGGAGCTCCTCTTGCCAGCCTGCATCTGGCAAGAGAGTTTCTTGGTTCGGCACCGCTCGCAGGGCGCCCGGTCGTCCTCGTCGTTGTCGTCGTCACCGTCACCGCCGTCATCCGGATCCTCGTCCATGGGCTGGAAATCGGGTGGTTAGTACAAGAAGGGGGTCCAAGGTTACTGAGTACTCACCGGGGCCCTTGCCTTTCCTTTCCCCTTCTCCTTTCTGATTTCCACTACTGGCCTCCGAGGAGACCTCGAACCCTCCCCGACGGAAGAGCCACACCGACTTCGAGCTATGGCCGCCTCCGCCATCCGCTTCCTCCTCTCTTCCCTTGCAGCGGCCTGAGCCCGCTCCTCTTCCTTCGCCTTCCGGGCCGCCTCTTCTTCGGCATGTTGCTTAGCAGCTGCCGCTGCCTTTCGTTCCTTCACCCTTCGAACCTTTTCCTCTGCCCTCCTAATAATCTCCTCTTCGTCTTCATCCAAGTCTTCGTCCTCGAGGGGGTTGGGTTGGGCGGGTGTTAAAGGAATTCGACGGACCCCCGAAGGGCCGGCGGTGGAAGACGAGGTGGTGGTCTGGGTGCGACTGGTAGACATGTTGACTTAGAGAGAAGTGGGGAAAGTTAGGGCCACAGCGGCAAAACCTGGCCCTTTTTATAGGGACAAAACGGCGCACGGACCAGCGAAAATTTTTCCTCGAATTGTACTTGGTCTACGGTGCACCGGAAATTTTCTTGGATGACTAAAACAATCCCCGGCCCCAACGGCTTACGAAAATTTTCCTGCTGACTGATGGGCCAAATTTCCGATGCTGACGGCCTTTAAAATTTTTCCTTGGTGACAAATCAACTCCCGGTATTAAAGGCTTTCAAGGGCTCAAGCCTAAGAGGGGGATACTGTCAAGCCCATGCCTCGGGCCTCCATGTCGCCGTTCGGTATCCCGAAGATCTACCTTTTATTGTAATCTCTTCCTTATTGTTCTTTCTCGCTACACATACCCATTCACTCTAGTTCCTTCTTATTGTCTTTTACTTTACCCTGCAGGACTACATGTATAACTCCTAGTAGTTAGTCTGGCGCTCCGCACCGTTGCGCCGCTCCGTAGATATAAATACTGCTTGTACGCTACTGTAGTTCCTCAGTTTAATTATCAACTTAGATCAACTTAGATCTCCCTTCTCAACTTAGCTCCTCTCTAAGTCTTTAGGCTCAACGCCTTGAAGTACTCTCTCTACAGCCTTTGGACTTATAAGTTCTTTGGCCCGCTCCTCGTCACCGGCAATACTGCCGCTCCGACTTGGCTGCTTCTCAGTTCCTCCCTTCTCTACTCTCGATCTCCGGGGACTAACGGCGTAACGGCGGTGTTGTTAATAACTTCACTACTGTCCCACTCGTCTTCCGCACTTAGACACCCTGTGGCTCTGGCACGGTTACACGGTGTACATGATCTTAACAGCCTCCTCACATCGTTGGAGTACTGTTTAGCTTTGTTTGTGGAGGAGCTTAAGCGCATAATTACTAGCCTTTTTGATATACAAATCTGAGCAAGCAGCTCCGTCTTTCTTCAAGTTTCTTGCATCGAGACAGCCCTAATTTACTCCAACAATGTAATTACAACAATTTTATACATCCATCTCTGGGTTAATCTTTGTTATTTTGTCTATATCTACAAACAAGCCTAAGCAGTGCTCCAACGATGTGAGGAGGCTGATTTTGTCCTAGACTTTCGGAATCAGCTGTATCTTGTCTTTCTCCCTTTTCTCCCTCCTTCGACGTCGCCAACTTTGTATGCCCCTGCAACAGATATAGAGGTCATTCTCGACAATACGGATGATTACTCTGACTTTTCCTGCCGAAAATAGACCACATCGCCATAGGATGATCTCGAGAAAGATGTGGAAAAATTAGCAAAAATTTGTAACTTCCAGTACAGTAGTAGCGATGGTGATGGATATGGATGGGACAGGATGGGAAAGCTTTCGAACAGAGTATATATAGGTATATATGCTGTCAAAGGCTCAGGCAGGCTTTGGGAGATACTTGTGCATATCCTGCAGTGTTCTCCATTATCTTCTCATCGACACCAGTTGGTAAATGCTAGAAAAATTACTATATTTAGTAACTTTTGATGTAATATAAGTTTTTGAAAAAATCAAAATTTTTAATTGAGCACATCTACTCTCGTTAAAGCTGGACAGGCCTTGGGCGGATAATTATAGTGAATCTCGACGGTCTCTGCGCGCAAATTAGGTCCCCTCAGGGACTATTATCTATCTAATTATCTTTCCCTCAACTGTTTTGCTTGTTCTCTCTTCAAATCACAACATGTACTCCTTAGAAAACTGGATAATCCAAAATCGAATACAACCACAAAAAGAACGTTTGAAACCGAGATTTGAACGACGCCAGCAGGATTTGAACCTGCGCCCTCAAAGAGGAACAGATCTTCATAATAATTATTCTAATCTGTCGCCGTAACCACTTGGCTATAGCGCCTTATGTACACGGCTGGGTGATGTATGTAAACTTTTAAGAGGTCGACCGAAACTTAGATCATGTCACGGTATCAAGGCCAAGATCGTCTGTATATTCAATGGAAACTAAAACCAACCCATTTGTACATACAAGTCCGCAGGGACCATGATGCTTGCAGTCACCCAGTAAAATAAAATTTGTATGTAGTTTGCTTCAAGCCTCCTTCTAAACACTCGAAGGAGGTGCTTGGACAAGTCTCCAAACGGGTGTACAGTGACTAAAACCTTCTGCTAGTACGACCTTTACAACAGAATAACGTGCAAAGTCAATGTAAGTAGGGCAAGAGACCTGGGAGAAAGAAATAAAACGTACCCGATCATCAGTTGTTGTCCATGTCAGCTCGGTGCCCGCCAGTTGAATCCTAGCAAAGGAATTGACGATAAAATCAATACGAAGAAAGCGTCAATGTTTAAGATCATCTTCGCACTCACCGATAGGAAGGTAGATAAGCAGGTAGGTAGCTCTGGATTGCATTCGACCCTTCTGCCACAATCGACCACGTCGAGGTAGTGTTAAGAACGGCATGGGACCGTGTACCAACAAGAACTTGCTTCGCGACAGGCGGCCATGCTACACTGGCCTGTGAAGCACTAGCCATATTCGTCATAGTGAAGACGTTGGTCCCTGGTACGGAATTGACTCGCCACTATCGACAAACAAATAGTCCGTTGAGACATTCTATCAGTCAAACGATAACAAGACTGTATACTTACCATCTCTTCCAATCGTCCATTACTGCGTTGAGTAACAATTGGAGTACCGTCAGTCGAGTCTCCATCTCGAACAGCAGCGACCATATTGGAAGATGTATTCACTAGTCGATAAACCCCATCCCTCGGGCTGACGCCTTCACTGTGTATCTCACGACGAGCGATAAGTGGAGGAAATTCAAAGGCGACCCATACATCGAATGATTGTGGAGAAGAGCCGGATCTTCCACCCGCGATCCAGGCTATCCAACGTTAGTTTAGAGATCCTCGAGATAGGATATATATGTATCTTACCGTGCCAAGGATAATCAACCGTCCCATTATCCCTAAGGCTAGGTAGTCCATCCCTCCTCGTCCGCCATAACGGACCGTGCTCGTACATATCCGGGACAACCACACTATCCGTCTTCCCAGCCTCGGGCTTCGAAGGATCAAAGTCCCCGTCAGGAACCGTCGCCCAATGCATTCCTCCTTTTCCGGTCCCATTCACGATACACGCGTGAATTTCACAAAACGGCTCTCCCAAGTGATTATGGAATCCAGCGCTTACGCCTACGCCTGCTGTCCAGAGCTGCATATGACAGAGCTGCTCGTCTGAATCATCGTCGTATCGGACATGAAATCCGGTGAGGTTGTAGAATTCAAGATCCTACATAAATGCGTAAATTCTAGCAGCATCAAAGCTTGTACGAAAAAAACGACTTGCCTTGAATCTCCCATTCGCCCAAGGCCGATCTTCGACTTTGACCCAGGGGAACTCGAGATACCGGAGTGTAGAAGAGAAGTGCGTCGGAAGGATATTTCGAGCCTTCAGTTGGTCCATGTGAGAGTATGGTGGCTGACCAGATGTATCTGATCTGGTCATCAACAGAAAGACGGCTCCTTCATTTCGTGTATAAACATAGCCATCTTTCGCATCGACGACGGTGGAAACAACAGCAAATGTATTGGTGGCTTGGGTGCGTTCCTGCTGCGTGTTGTTTAAGTCCGTCCAAATAACTACATACGTTTAGAGTTGGGGCGATGAGAATGATGATGACATATGATGGTTCTAACATACCTCTTCCAGCGAGGACTTTGAGACCAGCGCCCCCTTGAATTTTGTACTGCGTTAACGGAGGGACGATAACAAGAGAGAGCTTGCGACTGGCTACGTCAAGGAACGCCACCTCGTCCGCAAGTCTGGTATTCTGAGGACGCGGAACACGGAAAACGACCTCATCGTTCAGTCTCTTGGCAGTGATGAGGGAGCTTGCATGTAAGATCACCGAAGGACTAGGTGACTCGAAATATCCTGGTACGGAGTAAGAGATTGTGGCGAAGTCCTAAACAATAATCACATATACAGTCAGGAATACAAATAAATTGACATACCAGAACGTTGCTCGATCTGAAATGACCCACAGCAATCCGTGCAGCTGAATCATCGGACAACTTGAACCTAGAAAACTTGCCGGATTGGAGATCCACAGCTGTAATGCAAAGTTAGCCATTAATCTAATGTCTATGTAGGAGGAAAGGAAGCTTTTAGGAATGAACGTACGTTTATAGCACCAGACACCTGTCCTCTCCCAAGATGGTGGGTTAGAGCCCATACAAGCCACCAGAAGCTCATCGACTCCATCGCCATCAATGTCTGCACATATGACATGATGGATAGAGCCCTCGTGTCTCGGGTTGAGAGAACCAAAATCGTGCAAGACGTGCCGAGTCCATTTAGCATTAGCGATCTCGCCGGGAGGGGCATTCTTTTCCTTGACGTAGACCGAGACGCGATTGCCGTGGAAGCCCTAAGTTCAAGTTGTTATCCGTTAATACTGTTACAAAAATATAGTGGCTTCATCGGTACTACTGACCTCAGCAGATCCGATATAGCCAGACGAATCAGTATCAACTTTACCGAGAGATACTGCCAACAAACAAACGTCAATACTGACCACTTTGAAAACGGTGATTCTGGCACTTACCGCATCCTGCGCCCCAGTATGGATTTTCGGGAGACGGTCCAAGCCCAGAGCCGAGGTTCTTCGACTTCCACGTCTGCCAAGTCTCATCGTACCAGATAAGGTTGATACCTTCACGTCCTGCAAGTAATATTTGATCCAAACCGCCGTTTGTGGATTTTACAACTAGAGGGGTAAACAGAGTTCATTTTTAAAAGCTTCAAAGAATCAGGAAGATGATAGTTACTATCGACATCATGTACGAGTCTGAACGAATCTGGAAAAGCGATTTCCTCGTCCCATCCTTGTTCGTTGTCTTCAGGGAACTCTGGCGCGGTATATATCACAACGGGGGCGGGGGAGACTCGATCTCCTGCTCTGACGATAATCGGGAACCCGGCGACTTGGATTCTGTCTCTGGTGGTGAAATGCCCGGCTAATTTGTCGTACCACGATTAACTCACAGATACTGCAGGGAGAGCACTATTCGTACCTTTCACGCGGTGCATACTCGGGCTCCTACCAATAAATCGTTCACGCCAATTTCCTGTTTTCGAGTTGCCTGGGTTCTGGAGCCAGACGATGCGCCCGCCGTCCATCCACAAATCGTCCATAGAGGGACCATATTCGTCCGTGATAATAACTATAGTCAATATGTTGAGTATATTGAAAAATGACACCATAATATCCTTACCGTCGTTGAAACCGTTTCCAGTGACATCCGCATAGCTAAGTAGTACAATCAATCGATCAAATGGTCGACCACGAAAAATGAAAATTTACGTTGTTCCAACAGGATAGCGCAGTCTGGCTATATCCACTTGTTCCCAGTCTTTCGATTCACTGCTGAAAAAACATGAAATTGATTCAATATCAAGTAAAACTCGGTCGTCTTTGTATCACCAAAGTCGCGACGAAGAAGAATAAACTTTTCAAAGGAAACTCACCTATTGGGAAACGGGTTCACGAACATGGAGACCACACTGATTTGCGAGCCACCGAGTCCATAAGCGATGACATTAGGAGGAGATTGACCTCCGTCGTTTTTGAAAGGAAATGCTTCGATGAAGTAGCCGTCCCCGCGAGAGGTCTGGATGGCTACTGGTTGGAACGCATGCATTTTTGCAGGATGAATTTCAAGTTTCAGAAGAAGAAAAAGAGACTGCCAAAATCTGGAGGTCTGAAGCCTCAAATTTGTAACGACTTTCTTTAAAAATCGTTCAACCACAACACGAGCCCTCCAATAGACTCCGAGTTTTCTCGTTCAAGTTCACGTCAACATCCAAGAATATGATCTTGTCAGAGAATGATGAACGCTCAAACTCATGGTCGTCGTCCACCAGACTCCATAATACCTGTGTCCTTGTGTCCTGTATCGATATCCTGTCATCTGTATTGTACGGGTCTGTCGAAGAGCGTTAGTTTCAATCGATAAACCAGCGGACCAAAAACAACGGCTGAATTGAACGGTACTAGGCGTCATCAGGACTCGACCAGGTGGATCCTGAGATAAGAAGGGACTCGGAGCAAGAGTAGTGAAGAGGACTGGTGGCTCTAGTCGGTGCAATATGTCAAACTAGCATGTATTCGTTGTCTGAATCTGAATCTCTATTTCCTGGTCGATCATCTATTTAGTTCATTCAGTCGACACATGTACCAAGTGAGCACTGATTTCGGTTGCACTATTACGATCTTGCAGTTCAATAATTCACTTGGGTGCATCTATTGTTATCAGATATAGCATTGGTCATTGGCAAAGCAGAATTGTCATACCTTCTTTGACCTGTCTCTAACTAAGGCTCAGTTCATATTCATATCCAAAGAGTTCGCAAACGCGTTTTGATATAAAATGACCGAGCAGTCGAGTAGAATTTATCGATTATCGATATATTTGTAGAGATAGTGTAGTTGGCAGGCGGTATGTTGAAGGAGATGTATAAAAAGAAGATGATGGAGGAGAGTGACCAGAAATAGAAGTACACAAACATGTACAAGCATTGGAACGATCGACGCCAGCAACGTTCAAGCTGTTAATTTCACTAGAACCTTTGTTGATCTTGCTAAGATTTCATATCTCTTGCATCTCCAGTTTATCATGATTCTAAACATTTATTATCACGCAATTTCTTCCAAAAAAAGCGTTCTAATCGATAGGCAACAACCTCTTCCTGTTTTACAGTGAAGATACCGGGACAATTTGAAGGATCATATAATTAGGCCTGGGTCTTCCGCAATTTGGCTGCAAAAAAACACCTCCAATCTACCCAATGGCCACTGAATCCGCTCGTATCTCGCATGCCGAAGCACTCGATTTACTCCTCGATGCAGAGAGTAATGTGCATTCGTTCACCGAATCCAGCTCGAGCGAACAGAACGTGAGGGCGGCGAGCTTCGAGCCCGTCGCAGATTTTGGAACTCAAGCTGTTCGGTTCGCGAACTTTGGCTCTCCCGAACCTGTGGAGACACGATCCTGCAGCACTACTACCCCTCCGCCTCGTCGTATCATTCAATGCGACGTCTTTATTGCTGGAAGTGGGCCTATAGGGTACGTGTATATGATATGTATTTGACATTAGTAACATTCGTTGTTTCAACAGGTGCACCTACGCTCGCGAAATCTTGGAAAAATGTGACAGCAGTGTTCTCCGACCTCGGAACGCTGTATATATGGCTGAGATCGGTGCCCAAGAGAGTCCCGTCGTTGGCGCACATTTAAAGAATGCAGTAAAGTATGTGCTCATCGTATGGGCACTATATAACACTTTGATACTGATTCAAACACTTGCAGGTATCAAAAAGACATAGACGCTTTCGTGCATGTCATCCAAGGCGCACTCCAACCAGTCTCCATCCCAGTTAGCGATACTCATCAAAGCACTCTTGGCGGAAACTCTTGGACCCCTCCTATCAACTCGAAACAAAATCAACTTGTCATCTGCGGTCAAAATCCTCAACAATCCCGCGAAGACAACCTTGGAGCCACTGCCGTTACTAGAGCTGTAGGAGGTATGGCTACTCACTGGACTTGTGCCTGTCGTAAGTCCCCCGATGTGCTCATCGTTTATGAGTTCGCCCATAACCAACCATCCTTCTAGCCACTCCCCACTCTGAAGAAACCACTTCGAGCCCCATCCCCCGAAACGAGCTCGATTCTCTCCTCGCCCGTGCTCGAGACTTCGTCAAAGTTGATTCTACCGTCTTCGACAAATCAATCCGTCACACAACTGTCAAAGATATCTTAACTACCTCTTTCCCCAACCGAAATATTCGATCCATTCCTCTGGCTGTCCAGCCCCACTCAAAAGCTGAATCCGGGTTTGTCACTTGGTCTGGATCCGATACGGTTTTGGGTGATATCATCAACGATCCGCGTTTCACGATTGCATCAGAACATCGGGTTACTCAGTTGATCGTTCATCCGAGTTTCCCTGGGACAGTTGCTGGTGTTTTAATGAGAGATTTAAAGACGGACAGAGATGTTCTCGTACATGCAAGGGTATGATCATTTCACGGGTCACTTTATCATTCTCTCAAAATTCTACATATCTCAGGCATATGTCATTGCGTGCGGAGCAGTGTGCACTCCTCAAATTCTATACAACAGTGATATTCGCCCCCCTGCTTTAGGGCGCTACCTTACTGAACAATCTATGGCATTCTGTCAGGTTAGGACAATTGCCTTTTCTCTCGCTGTTTCTCCCTCTCACAAACTCCTTCCCTCCCGTTTGCTCTCCCAAATAGATTGTCCTCAGCAAAAAGACTATCCAAAACATCCAAAACACACAAAACCCTGCCTGGCAAGCACTTATTGCCCAACACCGCAAGAAACACCCTCTTGACCCCCTCCCTATCCCATTCCGCGACCTCGACCCACAGGTGATGATCCCCTACTCCTCTGCCTTTCCCTGGCATGCCCAGATCCACCGAGACGCGTTCTCGTACGGGGATGTGGGACCCAGGAGCGATCCACGGGTCGTGGTGGATTTGCGGTTCTTTGGCAAAGGGGATATCTTGGAAAACAACAGAGTTGAGTTTAGTAACAAGGCAAAGCCGGAGGAGAGGCCGGAGCATACGGACGTTTATGGGATGCCGCAGGCTACAGTGCGTATTTGTTCTTCGAGTTTGTCTAGTTGATACTGATCATTCTTTTTCGGACAGTTCCATGTAGTGCGCACTGATGAAGATCGCGACCGTGATCAGAAGTAAGTATTTAACTTGTTGCGGTGCTTAACTCGCTAATAATTTCTTAACTCCTCCTTCCAGGATGATGAACGACATGACCACCGTCGCTAACAGTCTTGGTGGCTACCTTCCCGGCTCCGAGCCGCAGTTCATGGTGATTACTTCCAATACTCTTGCTTTGATAATCTTAACATTTTCTCGAACGTACATAGGAACCTGGTCTCGCAATGCACATCACTGTAAGTCGAGACTACTCCGTTGGAAACTCTCTACCTTAATACCGACTTAATATCTCACCACCATACAGGGGACCACACGTATCGGAAGCGACAGCAAAACCTCCGTAGCCAATCCTTGCTCGAAAGTATGGGGATTCTCGAATCTCTGGGTCGGAGGAAACAATGTCATTCCAGATTCAACTGCGTCTAATCCTACGTTGACAAGTGTACGTGTTTCGTTTCGTTAGTGGTGTTTCTCTATTGACATCATTTATATAGATGGCGTACGCACTAAAAGGAGCCTCGGATGTGATCCAGTGCCTTCAATATGAGTACCAGTAGGAATGGGCAAGACGCAGCGTGTCGCGTAGCTCTAAACCGCGCGGGAGCATTGTCAAAATATTTTTGCTTCTTTCTTGTCCCTGTTGATGTAGTAGCACGATGTATGCAGAGACTTCTTCCACATTTTCGATCTGCTATCGTTTTGTATAAGATTAGGCCATCAGGCGCTTAATTTCAATTCAAATTCTGTGCGTTTCTTCATCCCACTACATAGTCATGGCTCAATATCTTTCCCGGCCTCAAATCGAAGGTTTCGGAATATGGCTCGACAAAGCCGAAAAATTCTTCCTTAAAAAAAGGATATCCAGGCTGGAGAATCATATAGATGGTCTTGATGATCAGCTAGACGAGCTCAAACGTGCGTACGAGGCTCGTAGAACCCCTTTACTACAAGAAAGAGCAGCGAAACTCTATGAACATAACTCGGTCGTGAATCTCCTTGCTCCCATCCGTCGACTTTCGCTAGATGTACTCTCTGAAATTTTTGAACAAGCCCTCTTCTCGGAGGAAGACGCGCGAATTCAAGTTCGCCTCCTATGTCGCTTTTGTCGTGTTTCTGCAGCTTGGAGAAAGGCTGCAATAGCGACACCCAAAATTTGGTCCATACTATACTTTGACATCGATAGGTACCCAGAGCTAGTGTTTGAGGAGGATGTCAGTTGGATCAAAGATTGGATCTGTCGAAGTCGAGGTCTTCCGTTAAACGTTCACCTGAACCTTTCTACGGAACTCTTGGACCCTGTGCCCTCAGAATGGACTGCGAGAGCAGGTCAAATTCTGGAGTACGTTTTGGAACCCCAGTGTCGAAGTCGAATTTGGACTCTAGGTTTGCACGGCGACTTGAAACCGTATCTCCCCCTTCTCAACCTACCACGCGACTCTTTCACAGGCCTTGAAAACCTGACCATCGCTTCCACGTCATATAGAGAGCGAAACCCGTCCGAAGAAGTTGCATATCTATTTCCTCGCCAGGTTCAAACATTTATAGGAGCATCCAAATTACGCCGTCTAACCGTCCAAGAGTTTAATGATTCAGCAAACCCTTCTCTATCCCTCTTAGACGTATTTGTGCTTCCAATGGAACAACTACGCTCTTTAACAATCGCCGACAGGCCGGAAGTCTCTTCAAGCGTTTACGCAAGCATATTCAACCAGGCCAAGAATCTCATCGACCTGAGATTCTGTGACACCCCAAGTCGTTACGCTCTCTATCCCGGCTTCTCCGAGACCACATCTTTTGTGTTTCCTGCATTACGCTCACTCGAAATATCGTCCCGCGAAATCGTCGCTCATCGTTTATCCTTCCTACAATGTCTTACCGCACCTTGTCTCGACCAGTTGACCATTCGTCACTCTGGCTACCATCTTGGCCACTGTTGTACGGACATCAAAGCGTTCCTGCAGCGTTCTAATACTACATTGTCTTCGTTGACCCTACATCAGTTTAGCGATGAATGGGGGTCTGAGGTTAGTGCAGACTTGATCGCGATCCTGCGAGTGCTCCCTACTATCACCTCCTTCAGAATTGATTCGTGTCTGTTCAATTTGGATGAACTGCTAGAGAAAATGGTCTATTCCAGCTACCAAGGATCCGCGCTCCTACTTCCAAAACTCACACACTTCGAAATCAGCTATGAAAAAGATATTGAAAACTGGCCCTGGAAGTTAACGGAGATGATTTTTTCGCGGGCAGATGCTGCTGAGAAAGGTGAGGTGGCAGAAACTCCGGATTGGGGCAGCACCGAAATATCTCGATTACAAAAAGTGACTTTACATGGGCTCAATGGTCCAGATAAAGACATTGCTCGAATTTCATCATTGCTTGGCTTAGGGTTTATATATAAGAAGAAAGAGCAGGATTCTGAATCGAAGTCCCTACTTGGGTTCGCAGATTTACCGGGGGAAAAGAAAGAAGAAGAGGATGAAGATAAAGAAGAGGGGGATGAAGAAGAGGGGGATGAAGAAGAAGATGAAGACGAAGACGATGATGACGACGAAGAAAACATGTTCAATGATCCATATTGGTCATCAGACTCCTGACAACTTTGTACTCTGATCTTCTGTAGGAAATCTACTTTCTAAACCCCTTGTCGTTGTATCACTCATCAATGAAGATGAGCAAATTGTACTAACTAGATAGGCAGATGTTACATGGAAATGCTTCAGTATACTATTATTATCAGTTGGAAGTCCTTGTCCTCCCATCATTATCCTAGGTGACATACAAATTTTTGCCTGACATTCATGATTATAGGAGATGGTAATCTTCTTTGGTTGGGCCTCTGGGGTCGTTTTTGGGAACGTCACCGTCAGAACGCCATCGTTCATCGAGGCTTTGATGTCTTCCTCCTGAAATCGAATGTGTGTAAGTATCCCTTCCTTTGTTAATTTGACAATTATTACTTACCCTTACACCTCGAGGTACCCGCAACATACGCGAGAACTTGCCAGATTTTCTTTCGCGGACAGCGTATCCTTCCTCTTGGTGCTCAGAGGAAGCTTTTATCTCACCCGATATCGTCAAGCGACCATCGTGGACATCAACGTTGACATCCTCTTTTCTGAGGCCCGGGAGCTCGAAATTCGCAGTGACCGTGTTCTTCAAGGCATCTTCATGGAGGTCCATTCTGCACCAGATGTCAGTTATGTACCAGGATCGTTACGAATTCTTGATACTCACTTTGGATGTATTGGCCTCCCCGCCGCATTAGAGCTTTCTCCATTCTGCGGGAAAGCAGTCTCGAAGAGCCGGTCAAATACACGGTCAATGTTGTAGAAGGGCTCGTAAAAGTAAATGGACATGATGAACTTGAAGTTGTACTGTATGTGGTGATTTGTGAGTTTCTTGAAACGGCAGGAAGGCTCAATTTTAAAGCACTTCTCATTTTCCAGATTGTTCTACAGTCAACTCGAAGTCGAAAAGACATATTCTTTTCTCGAGAGTGCTCGAAGGTTCGAGAATGCCACACTTCAATTAGCGGACGAGCGCTTACTAAGCTGAACCCTACTTTTTTCTTGTCGTCGTCCAGAACGTTCTGTCAATTCATTTCTTCCAGATGAGCATGACGGTCAAGCAGACGACATTACTGACATCATGAACTCAATTACAGACGGTTCGAGAAAGGTCTTCATCTTTGGTTCGAAGGTATATAAGACCACTTCGCAAGGCCATTCACTATCAACAACTCACAACTTAACAAATAACTTCTACGCTCAATAAAATGTCTCTCTACTTCTACGAACCAAGCTACCAATGGGATCGTTTCTTTGACAACGCCTTTGGCGCTCTCGCATCCCGCGGAAACCAAGGTCAAAGCCAAGCTCTTACCGAGAGATCTGACTTGCCGAGGTTCATAAGGCCCAAGTAAGTTGCCTCACATCTTCCTCGCTTCTGATAGGACTGTTAAGCTAACATCGTTTTGATAGGATGGACCTCCATGAAGACAAAGAAAAGAACCTCGTTACCGCGACTTTTGAATTCCCCGGTGTGAAGAAGGAGGAAATCCAGCTCGATATGCATAACGGTCGTCTGACTGTTTCCGCGGAGACCAAGGTCTCTGAAGAACACGAGCAGGACGGGTACGCGGTGAGGGAGAGGAGCGTTGGCAAATTCTCCCGCACGTTACAGCTTCCTCAAGGCGTCAAGGTAAGTTTAGGTAGTCACTTGGTAGTTCATTGGAAAATATTTACGACAATGTTTCAGGAGGAAGAAATCAAAGCGTCGATGGAGAACGGTGTCCTCACTGTCACTTTTCCTAAGGCCACAGCGGAGGAGAAACCAAAGAAAATTACCATCTCGTAAATCGACATATACAAAACGTCGATATTTGTACTAACTGTAGTAACATTACTGTGTCCGAAACGTCTCTGTATAAAATAGCAAATCTCAATTGATGTATCTTGAATTTTTTTCGTGAAATTAGACTGATTGCAGCACACTACATAATGGAAGTACAGACAGAGTAATGAGAGTCCGTCATTCGAAGAATCGTCCAATGCTCCAGTCTGCTTGAGTATTATAGCTAGCTTTCAAATCTACGACCTTTGGTTGATCATGACAAAATCTTTCAACCCTCTACTCAACCTTCGCATATGCATCTTGACATTTGTCATGCCTCCACGATACACATATCCCTCATCACCACCTCCCACACCCGTCTCACCGCCCACCTTCCTAGCCAAGGCAAGCCGAATCTTCATTTCATCGGATTTCGAAAACGCGGTCTCACTATTACGACGAAACTTGCCCTTTATCGACGGTAATCGGAACCCCGATAACGCCAATGATGATCTCCTACTGGGAGGTGAAAAGTCATGCGCAGACGGCGAAGATGGTACAACTCCAAAAGGCCTAAAGGGAGTACTCGTCGTCGCGCCAAGTGGTGAAAACTGCGAGAATTCGGCTATGGAAAATTCATGGCTGTCATCACAGAATGACGCCGGGTAAGGAGGTTGAAACGCTGGTGAAGATGTCTGAGAGAGCCTCAATGAGGGTGAGGGTGATAACGGTCTTTCAGCTGATTGAGGAGATGGAGAAGCGAAATGAAGTGGCATGCTCGGTGGAGACATGTTTTTCCGAAGGGCAGTGTAATATGGCCGATTCGGATGTCCGAGCTGAAGCTGATGCAAGTCTGCTTGGGTTCGAGGCTGAGCCCACATGTGGTGGTTAAGATCTGTGATGGGTAACAGTACTGATTGAGAAGCAGAGGCAGTGGAGAAAGAGACTGCGGGTTGAGAATGTGGGCGTTGTCGTCCAGGCGGAACTGTCAATGTGTTCTTGCTCTGTGATGGAGGTGTAGACATGTGCAATATGAGATGGCTCTTTTTTCGCCGAAGAGGGGGTTTAGGAGACATATCGACGTGAGGATTTGCACGAATGAATTTCGCCGCTGAATGTTTCGAAGAACTAGATTGGTCGACATGTACACCCGCTTTACCGGAAGTTGCGCCCGATTGAGGCTGGAAGCACGAGACGTTCGGGTCAACTTCGCGTGAAGTGATCAACGAACTGGCGACGAAAGTGGGCTAGCAAAAAGATGAGGTAACGATTAGACTGTCGCAAATGAGCATAATAAGAGAAAACAGACGGACCTGCGCTTCAGGTCGGACAGTTGCTGTGACGACGCCGCAACCTAGACTGGCAACTATGCTATCTCGTCGTTGCAACACTAAGCCATCTATATTCACATATTCTTCAACAGGTGGTGGTGGTCCAAATGAATAAGAAAGACTTGTATCATTTGCCACCGAAATCTTTATTTCGGAATTGGTAGGATAAGATGAATCGGAGCTTTTGTGCAGAGTTCGTGCCGTAGCTATCGAAGGCGTCAGGCGGAGTGTTCGATTGCTGATCCTGGGGCGAATAGGCTGCCAGTACAACATAAAAGCGGGAGCGCTGACCCGACGCCTCCTAAATTGGATATCTAAATCATCCTTCTCCACCTCTGCGCTCGCGAGAGGACACCAGAGACACAAGTCGACAATTACATTTGAGAAATTGCAGTGCTTGCAAGTAAATAGCGGGTGGGCGTTCGGAATCAGAGAAAAATCAGGCAAAGAATCCGATCGCTGGAGATGCTACAGGCAAATTTGTAAAGATGGGGCACTCTAATTAATGCTCGAGGAAGCTCACCGGCTTGAATAACTTCCATTGTCTACGCAGGTATCGTTTTCTTGGGAATGGATCATACTCTGAAGCTTCGCTTCGTTGGTTCATGTTAATGGACAGGTCGTGCAACAATCGTAAGTTCACTATCATAAATGAGTCATAAAAGTCGTGTAGAGCGAGAGGAAGTGAAATCAAAGCCTCTGAGTGGGGCTCTTTATAATTCAGGAGATAAAGAGTTCAATGTGCAGGGCATCACCGTTGAAGGACAAAGAATGGGAAGGAGGACAAAGAGTTGAAAGGTCGGCATTAAGCAAACACAAGGCGCACACATGTTTAATGGCAGCCCACGAGACTGCATATTGCGTACGAAGACACATTTGCATTCGAGTATGAGAAGGTGTTTTGATTTCAGTTGAAGCCTACACTATGAGTTGGAACAGCCTATACTCGCTACAACGCGTGGTTATTTAGTCTAAAAATTTAGTGAATCTGACTGTTGTGTTATGATTATATTAACGACGACGGGTGTGCGAGAAACATGTACCTTTTATCCAACGCCAACTGCCCGATATCACAGTACATAGAGACAAAAAGAAAGCGAAGCACACTGGCGAAGCAAAACAGGAGGTTGCGGGGCTTTGCCAGGGCGGCTAAGGAAATTACTAAGTTAGGTCCGTCAGCGGTCCTTCGGACCGTGCACGTGAAAGTTGTAGCGAAAGCCGGCCCTCCGGCAACCTCATCATGAGGAAAGCTAGGAAATTACCGACGCAAATGCGCGAGTTTGGCTAGATTTGGCTTCGCTTACCCAATGCTGACCATGCCATTGGCTGTTACTCAATTGTATTGTTCCCCACATTCTCATACGTCCAGCAATCACTTTGGATAACGAATACAGTGCCCATCTACATGGCCCCACGTAGGTCTACATACAACAACAGCTCTAAGGTGTGCTTAGAACTTCTTTGTTCAGAGTTGTTATTGTCGAGAGAAAGTCGCTGCAGTGAAACGCATTGCGCCCAGGACACTCCGGGACAGCCTTCAAAGCATATTATTACCGGACCTAGCCTGGACCTAGCGAGTGCGATAAAACCAAATTGCCATTTGGACTTATCAAGTGACCAAAAATCGCACATTGCTTGCACAGGTATATGCGACTTTTTGGCGATCATCATTCGTCCCCGCAGATGGATATAAACCCCACATTATCGTATGCAAGCGTGATCCGAGTCTCTCAGGCAGTGTCTCTTTTCTTCGATCTCTCTGGCAGAGCATCCACTTTATCGTTCGTTATTCATGTATGGGTTTTCTTTCAAGGCTCTCGCTCTCGTTATCGTGCGTATCGAGTGGTTAGGTGTTTGTTGACAACGCTAATCACACCTTCGCCTCAGCTCGGGACCCTCGCTATTATGTCTGTTCAGCCCATGAGGGTTTCAGCTATGCCCCTCATCCAACAACAAAATTCACCGGATGTACTTCACCCTCATCCTTCTCCTCATCCCAAATTTTTTTCTGGCAAAACTTTGATTGAGCGTCGAGATGCTGGTTCGAATTGCCAAAACTTGTCGGTGAACGATCTAAAGCAGCGTGCGTCTCATGAAAATAGTGGCACAGAATATAAACTCACAATTGTTTAGTTCCGGGTTTTAATAAGCTCGTTCAGAAAGCTAAGCACAAACATGGCGATGGCAAATACACAATCAGGACAAATGACGACCATGTACGAATCATATATATGTCCCTGCTATTACTTGACAGCATTAACATCAACTTAGTTCTCTGGGCATTCTGCGCTGATCTGTGTCAACGAACCAGCTAAAGTCACATACAACGGTATGCACCCGGGAACATGGTCTTTTCTCCCACATCGCTGATATCGTACAGCTGGAACAACTAAATCTCATTACTGTCAGCCAACTACGGCGGATACGCAAGGTACACTCACAGGAACTAATGGAACAGGTATGTAAGATATCTATGAACCGACCCTTTCTTCACCTGACCTTTATTTTTGTCATTACAGTCGCAGTCACGGTATTGCAGGGTGTCCAGACTACTGCTCAGTATACTATCAGCAGTATGTCACTTTAAATCTCCAATTTCCAAACTGCTCTTCTAATACTTGGCGATCTATCTTACGTGCGATAGGTGCTGCGAGCATTGGGTTGAGCGACATGTTCCAAACCCAAGTCGGCTTTCCCGCAATCACCGACCTCTTCGACTTCTTCACCACGTCTGTAACTATAACTAACACACAGACCCAGAGGTATGAGCCAACCATCTTACGAGCGTAATTACCAAATCAATTTGTCAAAGCTTCATGACCCAACATACAGCCCAAACAACGCTCACTCTCACAATGGCTTCCGTCGAAGGTGACAAGTGCGAAGCCAAGGTAAGCCATTCATCTCTCTAGGGTGTTAAGGGTAGATTTAATGGACTGTGTCCCCAATCAGGAAGTCGTCCAACAATGTACGATACCAAGTACTGGAATCATACAACTTGTTGCACGAGGTACAGCTTGGTGGGAGTATGAATCCCGGACCGGGGACAAGGACAACAAGGATGCTGGCAAACACTACGCATGTAGGTGCACCTTACTCAGTACGAAATCCAACTAACGAATGAATAGGGATGCTGGATATCAATGAACTTTCAATACCTGATAGGTCGGGTTATATCAAGTTTGAGGGGAATATGGAAGTGGTCACTAAAGGAAACTATAACGGCGTATGCAAATGACCGTCGACTGTACATGTATGTTATATTCTATCCGTATATTGGTGGATACGAAGAGATACATCCAGTTGTATTCTGATGTAGTCCATTGCAATCTGTATTACATTCCAGGCATTTCCTTTTCTTACTCTTGTGTCAACCAAACACAAACACGACCTGGATCTCCACCCATCGGACGATAGTTCAAGTTCGATACTATCCCCCCCGACTCCGGGTCAATAAGATCCGAAATTAAGAATAAGAGAGCGAAAGAGAGGGTATCGAAGTATGAAAGGGAGAGAGCATCGCGAGCAGATAGGGCCGTCTTCATCGATGTCGACGGAGAGAGGATACGAGTATTGGAAAACACGGTAGATGACAGCAGAAAAAAACTTTGATGCAGTAAATTGTGTGTGTGCGAGAGCAAGTGTTTTGAAAGTTTGAGTTTTCAAAATGTCGCTCAAGTTATAGGAAAATATAGGCTTAGCCTTTCCCGCAATCAGGAATGCTGACTTACGGGCTCTCCGTTCCCAATAACTCGATTCTTGATATTCAATGCCTGCAGTAGAGAAAATCTGCCTCTGGTTGCATGGACTGGGGACTGGGGTGTACGAGCGAAGGTGACGGGATTGTCGACGTCGATGTTATCGGTGTCAGCGCCGATGCTCCTGCGCGCTCAGATGACAATTGGATAGATAAAGAGGCCACTGCAATTCGCTCTCAAAGACATAGTTGACGAAAGATGGGCTACAGAAAGGGATGGAACAACCCGAATGTCGTTTAAGGAAACCCAAGAGTGGCAGACTGTGGGTATTAGGGAGTAAGGATCATGCAAGGGGAGGGTGTAAATATACAGCGGGTAAAAGTAAAAAATGGTGATTCATACTATTAGTTTAGTAAAACTTTCAGCACCTCCCGTTCTTATTCTCGCTCGTCAACTTTTTAATCGAAGCACGCTATCCAAGAACATACCTCAATCCCTTTCTCTGTCTTCTTGTTAAACCTCCGTCATCAACTCCAAAATGAATTTCACCAAATGTACATATCCGCCACTACTAAGTAGTTCATTTAGATTGGGTTCATTTTTGTTGTCCTGCCCTTTTAGTTGTCACCCAACATCGATGATCGAAAATTCATTAGCTAGAAGAAGTCAAAGATTCATATAGTACCTACGTATTTGTCGTCTGCGGGGAGTTGAGAAAAAAATACAGCCCTAATATCATCCTGGTAGTCTTAACCCTCTGTCAATGCTCATCAGACCCCTGATTAATGATCGCATCAACGATGCCTCAACTCTCTCGCCAACCGCCAACAAAGAATAAAAGCTATGAGAGCTGAGACTCCACCGACCCTGCCATAAATGACGAGATATCAGCACAAGAGATAGCAAGAAGCAACAACATAAGAGAAATTCAAGTCGAGACAGGGAGATAAGGGTAGGACACACATACCGAAAAATATACACAATAGAGTTCGAGGTTGCCGAAGCTTGTAGCTCCTGGATCATCTCCAGCTCGTCCTCTGTGTCGTCCCGTACTATATATCTAGGAATAGCACCTCCTAATGTCGTATGGTTTAAAGCAGGACCTAACGTTCCACCCGGATGTGACCCATGCAGGACGCTCTTCGTAGGATCTACCAATGCGAATATGATAGAAGAAAGACCTGTGACGAGAAATTGTGGTATGACGACGAATATGTTGTGGATGCCCTGTGAGGTGTGTTGCCATGAGAGAATCAACATGACGACATTTTGTAAGTAGGTAGAAAGAGCGAGATATTGGGGAGAAGAACGTACGAGGATTATCCCAGCTTTCGCACTCAACCCACCACCACTATGTTCATCCATGTCCTCATCCTCCTCACCTTCCTCCTCATCTCTAGGGCGACCAACAAGTAGCGCGCCTTCATCCAATACATCTTCATCATCTTCCCGATAATTTGTTACCGCAGGAGTAACATTCACAGAGCTTGAACCTGCCTCGCCAAGCCTAAGCAACGTTATCCTCCGCTCTTCTCTCTCAAATTGGCCTTTCTGCGCCTGGCCACTATCAGAGTCCGAATCGGATGCCTCGCCAGCGACAAATATCGTCTCTGATTCGTCGTCACCGTCATTACCCTCATCACTGGTGCGACCTTGCTGTTGTCTGTCTAATAGAGCGAGCTCCCGTCGACTCTCAGAGCTTCGCCGTCTTCCCTGCATTGATAACCGTGAACGCGTATCGACTAGTCTAATACCCACTGCTTCATGTACACTACTTGACGCTGGTTCGGTTAGGATAGCTTCGCCGAGCTGTATAGGAGGAAAAGAATGTGAGCTCTGAAAAAGGAATATTGAAAACGGAAAAGATCACACACCAATGCGAACGGAGCCCATTGAGTGATGGCCCATGAAAACCCTGTGATTGTAATTAAGGCTGTACCGCCTGCCACTGACGAAGTAAAACTAAAATAGACAGAATCGCTTCAGTTCCGGGCCAGCACACAGCATGAGCTGACTTACAAAGTAGCTATCATACAAGATGCCAGGACTCCTAGACTGACAGCCCAAAGGCTGACAAGATGTACTTTGAGCACCTCTGGAATTGCGAGGTTATTCCACCAGGAACGGTCCATATTATTATGTCTGGCACTGGTAATCGGACTTCGTACATCTCCAGCACTCGAAAATCCAGCGCTATTGAGGCGTTCCTCTTTCCTCCTCCTCGAACTCGAAGACGCTTCTGTAGTAAAGAACGGTAAAACAACGTTCATGAATAGCGCAAGTAAGGAGGAATAAAAAAGAGCCCGAGATCCTATACGCGTAGCTTCCGTATCGAGAGCAGCTAAAGAATCTTCGGATATTTCTGGTGGAGGAACTAAGATAGCTGTTGCGAAGAAGGCTCGCTTGTAGAGGTCTCCGATGTACAGTGTTGAGTAGAACATAACTGGGAACCAGGAGATCCAGGCGCTGAGGAATCCGGGATTTATTTCGAGTATTAATCGAGGAGGAAAACGACAGGCGACGTTTTGCTTACAAGAACTGTATGAGGAACTGAAGATCATCGTTACTTTAGCATGGGAGGATATAAGGAAATTTGGATAACGTACTATTTGTCGAATCACTCTGGGAAGCGACCATAGATTCTCAAACATAGCTTTGACTTCAGTTGTAAAAGACTTTGCCAGTGGACTATCAGAACGAAGATTAGACATACTAAACGTCCATTCCTAACGAGGACTTACCCACCAGCTCCAGAGGCATTGTTTTTTAAAAGAACACGTTCGCTCACGGATGAGGCCATGATGATATGGCTACCCAAGAGAATTATACTGACGACCACAGATAGAATTTGAAGTTCAGTATGTCCGAATATAGGTAACAGAGAAGGTAGGTCGAGGTTTCCGCTAGGTAAACGGAGTAAAAGGTTAAGATGTTGAAATCGAGCTCTCTTGAGTTTACGTACGCGAAATATCCTACGACGCTCCCAAAGCCTCCCATTCGCGCAGCCCAGGCATTCCCAGAAGGTTGAAGTGTGGAAGGTAGAACATCGACTAGGAGCGCGCGGTCAACTGCCATAACTGCGGAAAAGAATTAAGATGTCGTTAATGGATGCAAGAATGACCGCAAGAACCTGCATTGACACTGAAGTCTATCAGATAGACTGATAGAACAGCAAGCCATAATGTCAGGCCAATCTAAGCCCGGTATATCAGTTCCAACCTCAACGCGCCTTTCGTTCACCACATACCTCGGAAGTAAAAATCCCAGCAACTTCCTTCGTCCAACCCAACAACGACATAGCAAAAACACACAAAATCGTTCCAATAATCATATACGGTCTTCTCCTTCCCCATTTCGACGTGCTGGAATCAGTCAAAATCCCAATAACCGGTTGCATGACCAGGCCAGAAAGAGGGCCAGCAACGAATACTACGGCCATTGCTGATTTGGATAGACCGAGAGAAAGAAGATATGGCGAGGCATAAGCCATTTCAACTGACCAGACGATAGATATTCCGAGTAAACCGATGGTTAGAACTGGCATGTGTAGCCATGATGGACCGCGAATATAAGAGACGCCGGAGAAATTGTTTGCATCGTTGCTCGTAGAGCCGGTATCAAGTATAGCGAAGCCGCCACCGGTCATAGTAGAGACTTTGAGCAAAAGCTCAATCTTCCAAGCGTTAATTTGACAGAGGAGGAAAAGAGTTCAAGTTGTTTCGTGGCGGCAGCTTGTGAGATCGCAGTCGGTCCGGTCATTCGTTGAACTTTATTCTCCATGACCACTTCGATCAGACTTCGATCTTGGTTCCAACCTCTGACTTCCTTCAAAGTTTGTCAACAGATACACCACGTACTTATTGACGACTTTGTAGATATCGCCCGAAATACAGTTGCGCATTCCACATCCTTGTAAACGCAGCACTATCTTAACGCCTTATGTACATATTCGCAGATTCACGAGTCCCAAGCAACTTTTGCGGTCCTAAACACCGACAGCATACCGACAGGGATAAGAGTTGGTTCAACAATCTTTAGTCCACCGAAGAATGTCTTGATCTCATGTGCATAAAGGGCCATAATCCACTCCTCTATCACGGGCTTTCCGTAGCTACTGTATCCCTCGGGAGAAGTTGGCGATACGGGCAAAGCCATCTCCTGCATGTACTTCCATTTATCTCCCCAGTACGCCAATCGGTCCTCCCTGCCTAGAACATATTCCTCAAATGGCATGAAATTTGATTCTGGGTTGTGCTCATTCCGTGTCCCGGCTCCATTTACCCAGTCCGCCTTGGCTTGCCCGTATTTTGATTTATCCTCATCCATACAGTCAAGGAATTGCTTATCAGGGTACGAAGCGAGCGAATCGCGGATGGTGAGCAGGTGCATGATTGGATTGACGATTTCCAGACCACCTTCAGATACAGGAAAATAGCACCATCCGGCTGGAATATCTTTGACAGCAAATCGTTTGGAAACCATGGATCGGATTGTTTCAACGACAGATCCGGAGAAATCCTCGAAGAGCACCCGTTGAATTCGCTCAAACGTCTGGATGACCTCATCTACAAGGACTTGTCCGAAGCAGTGGGCTGGTTGACCGAAATTTCGACGGAAGAATTCAAGGTACTGAAAAAGAATTGTCAGTTCCACTTTTATGTTTACTCCGAAGAAAGAAAAAGTTACCTTGTTCAACGCGTTAACATACCCAAATACCGATTTCGGCTTCTCCAACTGCCTCTTCAACTCTTGTATATGTCCATCAACCGTATTTTGATCGACTGTAAACCGACCTTGTTCCGCATCGAACACCAAGAAACCCCAAGATACAACACCTCGAGGCAGGCTCGGTTCCAGCTCCCCGCCAACACATACCCCCCCGGTTTTCTTTTCATTGAAGGTGATTCCAACTAATTCCGCATATTTCTTCATTTCATGCCATGCAGTAGCGCAGAGTGTTCCAGATTGGTTTAGATACCAGAAATCGTCGTAGATTCGGTAGACATAGAGACCCTCAGCACGCTGGTTGACGGCAAAGTCCATCCCGAAAAGGACAGCTTCACCGCATACGACCTAAAGCCGGACCAAGGACAAGTGAGTTGGTCATGTCTCAGCAAACCAAATTGAGGCAAACATACCGAAAGTACATGGGCGATAGGAACACCTCTTGCCCGAATGCGCACCTCAGAAGAATTATCAAAACGCAATTTTGCAGCTAGCCATCTCTCAAACCATTTGAGCCACTTTTCTTGCATCCCAAAGAAGCGAAACACCGTCAGAATTGCATCATGCGGTAATGAGGGTCCGAACCTGTAGGAACCAATGAATTATTAGCGTCTTTTCGACTCGAGGAAAGTAAATGATTACCACTCCAGATCTGCTCTCATGATGGTACAGCTGCCATGTAAAATCTTTTTCAGATACGTCTCTGTACTGACCAACCTCAACAAAACCTGCTGAGCATTGATTCCTGGATTTGGTTTCTGCGCTCCCCCTGAATCCACCGCCGGCTCCTGGTCGTACTCTGCGGTGCCTTCCATCAAATCTGGTAGCTGAGTCATAAAGAACTGTTTGAGCTGTAGTGTCTTCCGCTGAGCCTGGATGGAACCAACGAGAGGCGCCGCTGTGTTGCTGCCAGTAGAGGGTTTAGCAGGAGTAGGTTCTTGACCCCACAGATCACCAGAAAAGTTGCCATCCCCTGCATCCTCTGAGCCTGGAACATCAACTCCGAACTGCTGACGGCGGATAAGCTGTTTTCTGCTGAGTGGATCGATTTCATTCTTCCAAGCCCGAGACTCAGCGAACTCTCGGAAAGCATTTTTCATCGTTATACTCCATTTCATGCCGATGTATTGGAAAAGAAGTGCTTGAATGATCTCGGTATCCATGTAAGCCCTAGAAGATGAAATGAAGGGGAGTAATTGACAAGAAGCAACCTTAGACTGACCTGTATTTCCCTGAAAGATGTCTCCGCATCTCCACAGGTACTCCTTCCTCCGGCCACTCCCACGTATCAAGCCTCGCCAGCTGCATACTTAATACACTCGCCACTTCGCTCAAGATGACTTTGTTATCCAAGAAGCTTTTCAGTATGGCAGTCTTTTCCGCAGAAAGGAGGTCCCTCGATAATAATGACCTTATCAAAGGCACCATGCTCTCATCTGAGATTGACTCGCTGAGAATCTCGTCACCGAAGGAGCGCAACTCTGAACGAAGAGTCTCTAGGGCATCAGTGGCCTCAGGAGTAGAAGTGAAGAGATCGTTGAGATAAGCGTGCAATGCGGCTGTGTGAATGGGCTTGGGTTCAAAAATAAGATTTTGGATGCGGTCGCGTTGTTCGATACGTTCTATATAGGAGTCAACAACAAACGTAATGAAAATATGAAACATTGAGCCTACCTGTACGCTCAGTCTTGGTGTCTGCAGAATCTGACACGGTAGCCTCATCGTCAGCGGAAGGTTCACCAATCGCCAAAGAGTCACCACTCTGCAGCCATTCCTTGAGAAGATCGCCGAATAACTTCGCATAATCATATCGCGTCACGGCTTGCTTCAATTGTTCCTCCAAGGTCGAGATCCATATCGTTACTTGAGAAGAAGATATAGAAGGGTCGTTTCGTGCCAAGTGAAGCCATCTGGAGACCAAGATGTTAGTATGGATCTGGAAAGAAGGATAATTATCATCTACGCCTTATAATTGTCCAAATGAATATGTGGCGAAGTCAACGGAGTCAACCCTGTACCTGTCCACCCATGTATACGATTCAACAGGATATCCAACTGAGCAACTGGATTCTTTGCGACTTTGACGTCGGCAAGAGTATTATTGACATATTTCACGCAAGTTTCCCGCTGTTTCTCAAGCTCGTGAAGCTTGATAGCGGTTATATACTGGAAGGTTTGCCCGAAAGCGGAGGCTGGAGGAAAAAGGAAGGAAAATTTGAAATTTCTGAACGAAGGAAAAGTAAGAAAAGGACACACCGCTGTTGGTCATCGGGAACAAGCAGATACATCGTTACACTCTCAGCCGACTTTTTATATCAGCGTATATAACCGATTTAATTCTTTGCGGTCCGGCTGTCAAAGACTTGGGTTGCCGAAGTCATCGAGAGAGCTTCAATGCCAGTAGCAATAAGTAGTGACAGAGTAGTGAGCACTTGAAGGTGCTACGTAGAAATTTGTATCAGAATTTTACTATTTACTTACGGTACCGTATCTTCAGCAGAGCGCCGTGAAATGGTAATATCTATTGGTTGGCAGTGGAACAATCCGTACCCGCAATTTCGGTCCCATCGAGGATCCGGGCTCCTGGCGCTGATTGAAGATCAAGAAATTCCTAAGATGAATGTGCGCCTGGTCTCAGTCAATCTCCTTCATCTGCATTGTTTGTATGACAATACTTAAGCTCCGGTTTCATCCTGGCTCTGGTCCGACTTCAGTCTCCCTTCCCTCTCCAAACATGTCTTCACATACTCCAGAAAACCGTTCCCCTTCTCCTCGAGCTCCTGCAGCATCCTCAGATCATTGAATTGGAGCTGATATTCCAACCCGTCACAAAAATCGCGAATGTTCCGGATGTAAGTGTGCATTTTTCGTTGGAAGGTTTCAGTGGAGATGGGCAACACGGGAGATGCGGATGCGGATGCGGAAACAGATGTGAGACCGGAAGCGGAAGCAACAGTAGGAGGTCCAGGAGAAGGAGAAGGAAAAGACGTTAAGTTGCCGGGATTCGAATGGGAAATTTGATTGAAATAGGCAAGCCCGGGATCTGAGGTGGGAGTCATAAGATTGGATTGCAATTGACCGATGGTGACCAGGGGATTGGCGTGAATCGGATGATTTGGATAGACTGGGTAAATAGAATACAGAGAAACAAGCGAAGGAACAGGGATATGATTCATTGAAGAAGATCCAAACAAAGATGCAGATAAGACAGATGGAGATGTAGACGCAAGTTTGAGCATAGATGTAGATGACGTTGTCGAATGAGATGGAGCTATTCCGGGATTCTTGAAAACCTGTTCCGCATACATCTGTTGGCCAGCTCTGGAGACTCCGTCTGGATCAATCCTGCTTTCCTGTCCGAATTCTATTGGAGACAAGATCGGACGAGGAGTATAGGAATGAGGATGAACAGCATTTGTGGCTACTCTTACTCTGTCTTCTTCCTCGACTGAGCCCATCCAGCTCGGACTCGGACCTAGACTCGATCCAACAGGCCATATGCGTTGCGTTTCAGTATATGGTTCATGCGGGAAACGATGATACATTCGCATTGTTACTCGTCGATATCCAGGCGTTTCAGTATCCCGAGAGGAAACTAGCAGCCTGCTGCGACAAGGAAACCTGTTTTTGATCATGCGCGAAACGACGTTCAAGGTCTGACGATATTTACGATGGACGTCTTGGGAGCACCAAAAACGCGTCGTATGTCCAGTCTTCGTTTGAGGGTGATCTTTGATCCTATAATATTATTTCGACGTCAGGTATGCTAGCAATGGAATAGAAACATACCACGCACGTAAATCGGTATCCCGTGGCTCTCCATATTTCGTACGTGACTAGCTGTACTCTATCTCTGTCTGGAATCTCTGGCACGTTCAAAATGTCAAAACTTCCAAAGAATGCACTGTCTTCGGGACATTTAAAGGATTTTGCGAGAGCTTTCATCATTTCGACGCCGTTCTCATAGTGCTATGGGCATAAAATTTAATTTTATTCGGCTTGCACCCACATGGCCATATTTGAATAGTGACAACTCACATGTACATGGGTGACCTTGGGCGATTTTCTCGAGCATCCACGTTTCCGAATAATGTCATCCTCCTCATCCTCTTCATCATCACCACTCTCCGCAGCTAGTGATTTCCGTTTGCCATGCCGCTTCTGAAGTTCAGAAGAACCTGTGCTTTAAGACCCTGGGTAAATGTGTAAGGATCAATTCATTTAGACAAAGCGTACAAAGATGAGGAATCAGGGAGGAACGGTCGCTGAGAGTCCTCGAAGTTTGCCACAGGGTACGTTGAAGTTGAAGCAATGGAGGCCATTAGTATGCGAAGGAGGAACAAACGTGCTTACGTCATGCAACACAGCGGGGGAAAAAAACCTTTATGCGCGGATGTGTGCGGATGCTGTCTGCACTACACTACCTAAGCATAAGTGGGCAGGACAATATCTTCTCAAAGTTTCAAGTTTCCAACATCACTGAAGTCCTGTTCGGGAACCCGAGTCAGGCAACTCATGGTACATAAGTACATAGTCTGTAAGCACCACTGGCAACATACTTGGTCGAAAGCTTTCCAGGGAGAATGCCTTACTTGTTGTGTCGCTATCTGCATTTGACCTTATTGGCCATCCAGTACTGCATGAAGAATGCCAAGCTTTGCCTGAGATTTCGATGCGGAGCAACTTCACACAACGACTTGAAATCTTTGCACGAGATAGTGTCCTTGCACTGGATGGCTGATAAGGTCTATTGCGGGCAAGACTTCTATGTTTCTCCAAACCAAACATATCGAAGTGCCAAATCGACATTCAGAAAGACGTACACATTACAATGTGCCAATTCAAACAAAGAATATATGAGCCTGTTAAAACCATACGAGGGCCGCTATTTTGTGTTCGAAGGAAAATGGAGCCTTTCAGCCACGATCACAGTTCCAAAAGTCCGCAGCGAAGTTCTATCCAAATACAAAGATAGTCAGCTCGATAGTAGAAAAAAGTCATACATCGACGATGAATTTTCCATTTTCAAAGCACTTCCTGAGAAAGATGGCGACTCGTCATCCTCCCGAGTCTCCATTGGATGCCTTTGTGAATTTATTGAGCTCAGTCCTACCATCAGCGCTCACTGCAGGGAGAAATTGGAAATGGACGCGTACATACTCATCTGCGCTGCTAGACCATGAGCTTCGCGAAATTTGGGAGCTTTGGGTTGGGGAATCTTTTTGACGCCAGTTCGAAAAGTGTTGGAGTATCATCTCACGGCGAATGTCCTACTATGTCCTTGTTTCAGCTATTGGCAACGATAGTCGAACAAATGGAGAACAAACAGCGTTCAACGCTGTGTATCACAATTCTGCATGCGGGTGCGATAGTGAGAAAGGACTAGCTCGTCTGCCACGACCGTGCATGGGACACGAAAGAATCGGTGAAAGACAGGGTCGGAATGGGTTCCCATCATAGCAATGCGATGCATGTATTCTAAGATTCGCGCAAGGTCCGTCGAACGTTTCCACGAGTTCTAAGATAGAAGATGGAGCACATGCAATTGTGCTATAGAAATACATTCCTGGCCTGACAAGTTAGAGAAATAGACTGCACGCAACCAATGGAAATACATACCAAAATGCAATATAATATATCCGAAACTTCACAGGTATCCTACAGCCTCACACTTCCCATTCCCACTTCACCGTAAACCGCCTGGGGTCCCTGGGATTGGGGAGGGTGACTGTGAAACACTGAGGTCACCATTGATGATATCCTGAATAGACGATTCAAGAGCATCGACTCGCGTCGACATTTGATCCACTAAAAAGGTTAAACCAGGACATGGTGAGAGAACGATCAATTCAGTGAGTGAGAAAAACGATCAATTCAGTAGAGATACCGAAACGTACTTCTGTCCAAAATTTGGGACGACATTTCATCAAACTTGGTATCAAGTTGTTCCAGTAGCGTCTCAACCTGATGCTCATCAGATTTGCATTCGAGAATCACGGGAAAATTACGCAGACAAATGCCGTTAATTCGTGAGGACTAGAAATGTTGGTCACTCCCATTGTAGGTTTCGGCGTTGTTGTTCCCTTTCTCGCCAGAGGCGTCTTGTCTGCGGTTTCGCTCTCTGTAGAGTTTTTAGCTGGTGTGGCTGGTGTAACCTTGAGAGGTAGTGCTGTCGAAGAAGCCATACAGGTAATCGGTGAATGTGATCAAAGAGGTTGTGAAGAAAGATACTTTGACACAAACAACACCAAACCTCCGCTCTCTCCGTCCCGCGAATATCCCTGGAAGACCAAGCATCAACTTGTACTCAGCTCCGCGGTTAGTTCACGACGGTCACGAAAACAGCATAATGCGTTTAAGGAAATCAATATACCAAGCAATGCCCGACCCAAATTTAATGGTGTACATCTGCTACATACGTATATATATTATCCTAATAGGATAAGCGTCAAGGATCCAGAAGTTCTATGTTTGGAGAGTCATTCGTTGAGAGGGCGAAAAAAGGCGAAAGATAAATTATCATGGTACAATGGATTTCTGTGTGGAGTGGCATGGGTTATGCCCTTTTGTCGCTAGTATGATGAACGAAGCACGACGCACTCCGCGGTTTCAAGTTCGCGTCCAGGTAAGCATATGCCTTGGACGCATGCTCTGTCGTGTAGCACATGAGCATCTTTAACCTTTGAGGGATAGGTGTCAACGCCTGGAAGGATCGTTTGTCTGAATGAGAAGGCGAGACAGCAACGGAGAAATGCTCAAGAGGCGCCACCTTCTTTTATGTTGACTTCGAAAGAGGTTTTTGCGTTATGTACTATTGTGAAGGTAAATTTCAAATTTTCTTAACTCCGTAGAAGACATGAATGGTATGATGGCCGTATACCAGCGATTACCTAGCGATGTCGTTCAAATGAAAAAATCATTCAGGTAAGTGCTTAAGCCTTGAAGGTCTTGCTGGCGAGGGCTAGTGACTTCAACGGGAGTACCTGTTTCCTTTTCCAGACATGTATTGTCAACCTATAGAAAATGGCCCGGAAAAGCCGGAAAAGGTCTGCAGGATAAGAGAATTCGAAATCCGAGGGTATGACTGACAAGGCCGTCTTCGGGTAGCAGCGACAAAGCAGCGCATGGAGGCCCGTGTTCTGCAACCGTAGAGCCGTGTGCGCACTCGGGGACCTGCGATGTGCACTTTTTACGCATACATAGCTGTGTTCAACGCAAATATAGACTAGTCACAGGCAATTTCGTCTCGGTCCGAGCCTTAACAAAGGGCGTGTTGATGTGAGATGAACTGTAAGTAGTCACCAATGCCGTTAAACCGATGTCGATACATTGGTGAGAAGTTGTGGGAGGCTTGATCATCCGGAGGATACGAATGAGAGCAAAAAACCATTTAGGAGGCAAAGAGCTATTCTGATTCAGGAATGAAGAGAATGAATCGGCAAATCCGGCACGCAGCGGTAGAGGCCGAGACCACGTGATTTTGAACGTTCTCGGAAATGATAAGGCTATCTTCCAAAATTTTCCATCTCTTCGTTATATCTTAACATATAGATCGTCCATTTCAATGCCCAACTCTTTGACTTCACAATCTTGTGCAGCTGTAAGTGCTTTCTATCTTGAGATCATGTATTCTAATGCTACTCTCTTTCAGCTTCGCGATGGTGCTCAGATACCCATCATAGGATTCGGTAGATCCTGCATTCTCTCTAACCGTTTTGTTCACCATAGAAATATTGGATCAGGAACATATGAATTGGACTCAGAAGACGCGTACAACGCGGTAACTTGGGCCTTAGAGGTGACGCTGATATCATAGAATGCAAAGCTAGATATTTCAGTATTGAATTCTGCAAAGGCCGGCTATCGCCATATCGTGAGCTTCAGCAAGCATTAAATCGCATCATATAGTGACTCTCCTTCGGTTCTGCATTCCGTATGTAGGACTCTGCCGGTAAGTTTCTCCTCTGGACAACGCCGGTGTCATATCGGCTCATATCAGCCTCTCGACAGAATGGTATGAGAATGAAAGAGAATGCGGTAAGGCCATCATGGACTTTTGTCGTAGCCATGATGTGCCCCGTTCCAGCGTGTTCTTTACAACGAAATTAAAGGAAAATAACGGATACGAAGGAGTCACTCGTTCTATCCAAAAATCTCTTGATGAATGCGGTTTGGGATATATTGATCTGTATCTCATTCATGGTCCAATTGGAGGTCGAACTGCCCGACTCGAGAGCTGGTGTGCTATCTGCGAGGCACATAAATCGGGAAGATTAAGGAATATTGGGATCAGTACATTTGGCATCAAACATCTGCAAGAAATCCTGGATCTCTGTTCGAAGGAGAGCCTCCCGCTGCCCTCTGTCCATCAGGTACTTATCGTATTGATTTACTGCACTGTCAGATGTGAAATTTCGCTCATCGTGGAATGAACACAAGATCGATCTACATCCGTTCCAAGTCCGCAGTGGCATCGTGGAGTTCAATAAAAGACATGGGATTGTACTTGAGGTATAACATGGTTGCTGTTTTCGGACGCGTTCGACAATTACTCACTAGACTGTATCAGGCATGGGCACCCCTAGTTCGTGGACTTCGGTTCAAGCATCCGAGTATCGTCATTCTTGCTCGAAAATATAGCAAAGATTCTGCTCAGATCCTGCTGCGTTACTCTTTACAAAAGGAAACCCGTTTCTGAAACTTGTCACTGACGATCCTGAACTCTTACTCTGATTTGTAGGGATATGTCGCAATTCCCAAATCATCTTCGAAACAGCGTATCATTTCCAATATTCAAGTCTTTGACTTCGAGCTTTCAGACACGGAAATGCAGGATCTTGATGGTCTTGATGAAGGTACGAAATCAGGTCAATGGAACTTATTTGCCAGGCTGATCTCATAAATATCCAGCACTTGTTACTGACTGGGATCCTACCGACTGCGATTAAAATAAACTCGGTCCGCGTGCATACTCGTCGCCTATCAAGCTCTGGAATCCACATGTATCTCGGATGAGAGCCCGGTCGATCCTGTCTGTGTGTGATACCTTCGAACGGTTCAGCTAAATGTACAAATGTCAGCCGTTGGCGGGTTCTTCTTCTTGCCTCTTCCTTTTATCGAAGTTGTAAAGCGCTTTGATGCGTTTTATAGAGTGTCCCCGCTCAGTTGAGGGTCTTCTTGCAATTTACTCCTCCGATCAAAACAGAAAGTTACTTTTCCGAGCCCGTTTGTTTACGCTTCTCAAAAACACAGGAAGTTTATTCCATCTCAGGTACAGGCTTATTTGATGACCACGGCCAACGATTGCGTTTGACTCAATATATTATACTTTGGATCTACCATCATTGAAGACATACAACCAATCGAGATGATGAAGTATGTTGGAGAAACTGGACTCTGGCTCAGACTTCCACTGGCGCTAACTTTCCACTTTCGATTCCAAGGCCCGCCGTACTGCTGGTTGCTTTTCCCATGGCCATGATTTATGTGTTCGAGAGAATTGCATGGTGACGACTCGAATGATTTTAGGAGTGCTACATAATGCTTCTGAAAGGAGATCTGTTTTCTTTTCTGACCGCAGTACCCAATATATGAATCATAAGTTGAGTGTACTATATTGGCGGATACAGACTGTCGTTGTCGTCTGTGTCTAAGTACAAGTTTCCGAAATATTTCGGCCTGAAAACGCATTCGTATGTCTCTTATGGTGCGTTCAAATCGCCGATCAAACGTGTATTGCACCTCACTTTTTGTTCATGTTCGATTTCATACCTGTAGACCTTCGGACTTTGACAAACTGAGTGCTTCTGCCGACTGTACATGTACACAACGACATACTTTAATAGTAAGTATTACTTACCATTACTATTAGTATTAGAGCTTATTAGCAGCACGTCGAAAAGTTGCTCCACGTCGAAAAGATCCTGCGATAAAGTCGAAAAGTGTGACGAGAACGTGATCAGCATTAGCGTTGGTTTGTCTATATTCTATGTACTGTACAACTTCTAGTAATTGCTCGTACGACATAATTTTTTGAGGAGAGGGTACACGAATATGACAGGCTTTGATGGCCTACACGGATGGATCGTTATAGCGCAACCGGAGGCTGGGCAACTTTGTTACAAAGGGTAGAGGGCGGAACATTCTTGAGTTGTGGTCACAATGTCAGTAGCGTGATCAAACCGTGCTTTTTCAAAGCATGACCGTTCATTTTTCGTTTTCAAAAAGTTTTCGACGTGTTGCTAATAAGCTCTATTAGACACGATCAAGCGTAGTCACGTGAAAGTCACGTTGAATACTTTCAGGACCTGCGTAAAGTTTCTTGAAACATGATTTGTGGAGGTCACTCTCTCCTCTTGAAATTCTCCGCATTCCGTAACAATATCGACGCTGACAGATGCAATCATATTCGTTTCTCACACTTCAAAACATTCGAAGTACACGGCGATCATTATACTGATACAATATGGCTGCCCGTGTTGACTTCGTTGACTTAGGCCATACATAAATATGTACCACTCTTGTCATCACCCCCCTCAACACACAAGGTCGTGATTACACCCCGTCATGGTGCTCCCAACCCAACCTTCGTTTATGGAGTCTGTGTCCATCGCTGAAACTGTCCCCATGGAACTTTGGGAAAGAATCATATACTATGCAAACGCCAGGGAAGAAGCCTTCTTAGGACCTCCCAGGGATATAGTGAACATTTGCCTTGTCTGCCGCTTCCTCAATAGTGCTATCAACTTTGGCGATAATCCGAGTCTATACGCTCGACTTTTCCGTTTCAAATTTGATTATCGTGCCCCTCTTCGTCGTTTTGGAAGAGACTGGCTCACCGCACGGTCAATGGCTCTGGAATTCAAAAAAAGAATCATCCTTCTGAAGCAGGTCCGACGAAAAGAATGCAGTACGCAAGATCTTTGGACATGCTACCTGATGTATGTGTAACAGTGCTTCTATCATGGTTTGAAAACTTGATATCAGTAGGATATTGGAGAACGATGGCAGAAACGAGCGGCAGCTCATCGAATGGGCCCATTTATATGGCTACCTCAAACACGAAACCTGTGTGCGGTATGAAGCAACTCTTGACTCGACCATAAATTGGTTTAAAGATACTGAGGCGACATCCCTTTTACTGTGGTTGTGGTGGATGTCATTCAGTAGAGGTTGGTGATCATTCTCCACTTGCCTTTATTCTGTCTCTCAAGAGACGGGTAGATGATGTTCGCATTGAAAATTCTCACGTTCGAGATTCACTTATTTATCATCTACTGCACAACTTGATTGTTGCAAGCTTTCGTGTATGTTTTAGTCTGGTTTGTGATCACACGGGCTAAAGCTTCTTGTGTATAGTATCCCAATGTCTATGGACCGGAGTCGCATTTTAAGATCCCCCCTGCTGGATGTACCTGGTCTTCGACACCTCCGACGCCCGTTGCTCGTGTAAACCATTTCTCAAAGGAATTTGACCTCGCTACACCATTGTTGAGCGTTGCATCTTTTCTTATCTGGACCCTACGGCTAGAGACCATCCGTGAAAACATTGATTTCGACCTTGGCGCAATTTCCTCACTCCCACTGGATAGGGACGATGCCATGGCTCGCAGAATTCAAGGCCCTACGCAGACGGATGTTCTGAGATTTCATCAAAACCAAATTCGAGCCCCTACTCACTGTTCTCTAGTGTTATGCACATTTTTTGAGGAGGAGATACTAACTCAGGAGTGTGAACAATCCGCCGAAAGGCTTCTCCTCTCATCTGACTCTCGGCGTTATGATCAAGACTGGTATCGGTCTTGGACATGCTTTGATTCTCTTTCAATCACCCCCTCGAATCATAACGCTTATGTACCGGGGGCTCTTCTTGGCGACTGGGAAGGCTTTTTTGTGGTGAGTTTGATTGAAATATAATCTTCCTTATGTGCCGACTTTGCTGCTTCTCGTAGCAAACAAGTCTAGAGGATCACATCGCCCTTGTAGATGATCCAAATCATATGCCTTTAGACCCGATCTCTCTATATCGACATCCCTTATATTTCACTCTGAAGGAGCATCACTGCTTTCACCCAGAGGTCCCAATAGGACCTGGAACTGACTGTATAGGAGGGGAAGATGTTCTAAACGCGTGGCTACCGCAAGGGCTGAAAATTCAACAGTACGAGGTCAGTCTTTGCCCTAAGGCCCTACATACCTATTCAATACCAACATTAGAACGAAGTCGAGGTATTCGATCCTGTAGCACAAAGAAACGTGCGTTATCAGACATTTCTCCCCGGGGGCTTGGAGGGAACGAAAGAACGGCTGCAGAGTGAGAAAGGTTGGATCTCCGTCTTTTGACGGAGATTGCCGGTTCTGACCTTCAATTAGTGCCTGGTACAAGCCGAAAATTGGGAAATGGATATAATTACACGAACAGCTTTTCGCTTTCCAAAAATGAATCATTAAATGATATCCTGGTTACTGGAAAGGTCGGTACAATATTGGTGGTAATCTCTAAAAAATTCAAGGTACTACTTATGTTGGGTCCATTTTGCAGACTTCAGAAGAAAATGGTGCAGCTTGGGGTCACTACCTCTTTGTTGGGAGAGTTAGACTCTGGGACGGTTTCATAGTGTTGCTGCGTACTCCAGTGGGCTCAAATTTTCATGTTATCATTGATGATTCTTAGGCTTCTTCTGCCAGAGGGATCCAACACGTTCAAATCTTGGCCGCTGGTTGTTCAGGGGTTATCTACATGACGGTAACTTCGTAGGGCATTGGCGAGAAACAAGCACCTCCCCTAACCTTACTGGATATCGAGGTGAATTCGTTGCGCATAATCGAGATGGTCGAAACTGCATGTAGAACAGCGGTACCGTGCTTCAATCCAAATACATTGTCTCATCGTTAAGAGTTTGAAGATCGATACGGTGAGAGAAAGTTCCAACGGCGTTACACTATCTTGGGCAGGATATTTTCGAAAACTGAAAAGTCACTCACTATGATGGATATTATTTGGCGCGCAGACCTCTACACGCCTGAAGGAGTCAATATAGAAACACCTATGTATGTGGCTTTCCGAACGGAAGCCCAGCGGCTTTTGAGATGCCAATCATGTCCCATCGTACTAGGTTAGCCAGACATCCCTGCGTATGCCTCATATAATGTATCTCAGGTTGTTCATGGAACGCTTGAGGGATCCCGTTTTCCTTGAACAGCGACGACGATCATCAGGAGATTTTAAGGTTTGGTCTACTGTCACGTACATACCATACCGTTCCTTCGGAATGTATGTAGGTGGAAACCTTCGTTTGATGAAAACATATACTGCTGACACGCTTTTAGACTAGGCAATTCCTTGGAAAAAAAGAAGATTGCGAGCAGAAGCTGTTTTGTGTAATAAGAGTGGGTATTGATGATGCGTAAAAAATGAAACTGTCCCTAGATTTCTCTCAAAATCGTTCAACGGACCGAAAAACTTGAGTTGAACTTCCCTCGGAAGGAATTACGGCCCAAGCATTTCGTTATGAGTATTGAAATTGGTATACATAGGAAATCAGCATGGGGGGATTATAAGGAATTTAAACGAAACCTCCTTTACCATGATCACCGATTCAGCTGAGAGGAAACTACTCGGCATCTATGTATGCTTATGCTGACTCGTGAACACAGGCATCCGTGTTGAATCACAGACCTCGAGGAAGGAAGCTTGAGAAGCACTCAAGTGAAAAGTGGCCTGAAGTGGCGCCCAAATTGTCAAGTAAGCCTTACTTCGGTAACGTTACTATTCCTTGTAGTAAACTTTATCCGACGCCGGTGGAATCCAACTTGGAGAGGCCATTTCCGGATCGATAGCGTTGTTCAGATTGGATGCCTGATTATGCAAAGCACTGCACCTCCCAGTAATAATAAAGCAAACCTCAACCGTACACTATAAACTCTCCCCATAACCTCTCGATTGTCCAACAACCTCAAAGTTAGACGCACTAAACGATGACGAGCAACTCCTGTTCCCCAGACGTTCCTCCCTTTCACGGCTATGTAGAAACAACCGTGAATGCTCTACGACTCATACATGCTGCACGACAAGGCGTCATCCCCCGCATTACCCGTCGTCTCAACGATACAGAACGGCGGTCAATGATCAAAAGCGGCGCCGTATTTATTTTCAGCGTCGAGGAAAGTGGAATAAAGCGGTGGACAGGTACTGTGGTCATAAACGGTATAGAGGTCCCATACTAATTCTCTCGCAGACGGGCTTCTATGGTCACCATCTCGGATTGTTGGAAATTTCCTAGTAAGCACGCTGAACTCTCCAAATCATAACAAGCCTCAGTTAGGATGACTTTAATAGGTTTACCGCGAGATCAATGAACGTGCCAGTAGTCGAGGAAGTCACAAAAAGACATACACTGGAGAGGAATCCAGGAACCCTACTATTCAGCGAAATTCCCCTGGCATGCCTTCAGGATACAAAGGAAGCACAAGCCCCCAAAATGGAAGCGACCAAGGGACGTTCAAGCCTAATGGCCTCATTAAAAAGGTATACTTGACAAACCGTCATTACCTATGTTTCAATTCATATTCTTTCAAGACTATAACCGTTACCATCGAGGGATCCGACCTTCACCTCATTTCCTATTATACCTCAGAGGATATCCGCAACGGGAGGCTCAAGGTTCGTGTCTCGTTTGGCTCGTGGGGAGTTGTGACTGACATCGAGCTCAGAGGCCGTCATCCCGGGCAGATATCATGGGGTTATACATGTCCCCCCACATCTTTCGACTGACAAATTTCAGAGTACCACCAAAGGTTGAGATGGGTCCAGATGGAAAACATCGCCTCGTGTAAGTCGCCCGCATACAGGACCTATGCTATATCTCAGACCAACTCAGCCCAGAACCCGAGGAGCAAGATAATGTTGACTGCAAAATAGAAGAGCAAACGTACGGAAGCCCCACCTCTTCAGCATCGCCCGGGCATTCTCCCGTCGATCATCCTTTGAATCCACTATACCCCTTAACGTCTGCGAACGTAGGCTCCAGCTTCGGTTACTCTCGCGCGAGCGATAGATGGCAAGAAACGGTGGGTACTACCCGAACAGGAACACCCGCCTTGCAGGGTCAGGAAATATGGCCGCTATCGCCCTCTAGCTCGCATACACACATAGGAGGATCCCGACGTGAAAGTGGGGGGTTACCGCAAAATGAATCATGGATAAGTACCGGTTTACAATCTGGTAAATCTGAGTTTCAAAATATGAAAAGTTGCAAGACCTTATTCGTTTACAGAACGCTCTCGAGCACGATCCAGCAACCCATATCAGAATGCCATGGCCATGAGAGATCACGATAGCCTGCCCGGCCTCACGACACGATACAATGGAAGTCGTACTGGGCGCGACTTGGGTTCTCAGCGTTTGCCTTGGATGATGAGTCCTGACACATCTGACAGAGATAGTCGCAGCTCTCATTCACGGTCCTCTTTTTCATCCTCCTCCTCTTCCTCGTCGCTTCCGTTTGCAGAGGGGTATCAGTCATACAGTTCGAGTTGGTCTGGCAACGACCACGGCATAGATATACCAACTTCGCAGACACCCTTTTCTCCTAATCATCAGGGATATTCGTCTTCTTACGCTACAGGATCTGGTGAGTTATATAATATCAGGTTCAAAAAAGAGTTTTCACCCACAAGTCCTGCAGATTGAAAAAATTTCATGATAGTTTTTCTTGAACATTGCTTTCCGTTTCCCTTTGGAGCCTATTTACGACCGAGACGTAGATCGTTACTACACGCAGTACATATATGTTATATCATGATTATATCTTGAAAAGGGTTTAACGAACGTAGCGTCCATCTACATCCGGAGGTATCGCTATCTCAACCGCCGAACGTCGTCTGTATTATTCTTCTCTTAGAACAAAACCGAGATAATCGGGATGCTCGTGTAGCGTACCGATCCGCCGAGGCTGTAAGAGTCGAAAAAATACTCCTTGATCACCATGGGACAAAGTCGGCGAAAAGTCTTAATACAAGCTCGAGAAATCCAGAACAGAAAGTTATCGCAGCCAGATAAGAATAAGGTTTTCTATGGATCCTCAGCGCCGAGGGAAATATGAAGCGAAATGGACAATGCCAATGATAAACTCTTTCCGTTAAAGAATCCTACGGCTATAAACGCATCTTCACTGCCCAATTGTGCTTTACAACCGACTTGCTAGGTGGCCCCACTGGTCCTCCGTTCAATGAAATTGCGAATATTTGAATGTCCTTCAAGACTGCCGAAGAAGCAGCGCTTGGCGTTGTTCTCCCACAGGACAACATCAAGTTGTTTGGCATAATCGAGAACGAACTCATAGTCCGCCTGCGACGCAAACGCGGTGTAAAGATACCCTGAGAGGAAATCATCAATTGGTCGAAATGAAGCATCGCCATAAGGAGGGTTTACCCTCTTGAGATTTTAATCTTTCCTTCTCCAACTCCCATAAACGGATTTGATCTTGGACAGTGACAGGTATTAGGGGATTCTAAGGATTGTCGTAACAAGTAAGTTCGCATGAAGAATTGCAGACCCACAAATTTTCGCATTTGAGGGTGCGCATGAGCGGTCAGGTAGCTGATGATCTGGTTGTCGATTAACTCGCTGCTCTCAGGATAACCATCACATACCTGTGCAGCGGAAATCCCATTGTTCAATGCTCGTCTAACACTGTCACGGGTTATGGATCCAACTACTAAGTTGGGGAAACGATACTTTAAGGACACAAAAAGATTAAGAACAGCGGTTTGTAAAGGGTTATCTAAAGTAGGATCAGGGTTGCAAGGTGTTTGGGCTCAACGTAAAGAAAGCATACCTGTGTATGCATACACCCTATAGTTGGTTTCGAGAACAATGAAGCCTTGCTGCGAACTACTTGCCGCACCAGTGCTGGTGGGAAGCGAGGGAGATGACGAGGTAAGGGTAGTGGCCAGTCGAGTGGGGCTGAAACGTCGCGATGTAGCCTGTGTTCGTAAGTGACATTAGGGTGCAAAAGAATACAATGACAGCACAGACCCTACGCTGCCAAATCAGACCGTAATCTCGGAGGTCATCAAGCATTGCTTTTTGAGTTTGACTTAAATTTTCTGTAAGATATTCCTAAACCAAAATTCTAAGGAGCTAAAAATTGACCAAAGGAAGGACTGACACGACCGAGTTCCATCGTGGATAACATGAAAAAAAAAGTAAGGACCTCGACCAAATCCATCTGTCTTTCCTGTTGAACCGCAGATTAGTTTTCTCTTCATTGTCCGCGAGCATAAACCATTTTGCCTCGGCCATGTGCAAGTATTGTAGTAATAAATCCCAAAGTTGAGCGTGCGGGGGATGAAGCAAAAATTGAAATCCAGCGGACGTAATCTGGGGTAACGATCCACTAAGCAATTTATGATCAGGGCAAGGACAAGAAGGGAAGAATAGCCGAAGTTCGCACTGTTGGTTACTCATAAGACCACTGCGTTGCAAAAGGTAGAGGACTCCCTGAGAAGGCCGTGTCGGAGTCTGCCCTGTTCCCGATGACACCATGAAGTGAAGAATAGTCTAGAGCTCCCCATCATCAGGAGTTTCTCTGGGAAGACAGAAGTCTCGTACCTCCCAACGTTCCAATGCATATCCATCGAGGCCTTCTATATCCATAGGTGGGCGTTTTTCATCTTTTTCAGCAGGTACACCGAAACTTCCGGTAGTTCCCCTGAAGGTAATGAGGAGAAATGCAGTCCAACAGAGACAGAAGACGTACCCTCCGGTAATAGCGTGGCGCAGACTCGTTTTGAAGGTGGTATTAAGAGATAGTTTACCAGAAATATGTAATATATGGAGTTTGGATAACATGTCCAGGGCGTCATCATACACTCTGGTTCCGTGGATGTAAGCAATTCTTCAACGTTGGGCCGTAAAGAGAGTACTTTTTCTTGTCCTGGACAACCCATGCACCCATAGTGGTAAGCGAAATCGCTGATTCGAGCCACAGCAGATTCATAACAAGTTGGCGCTCTATTGAATCCAACAGCCTAGCACCGAGGTCAGAATGTAGAGACTGGTGTTATGAAAGTATATTGACCGAAAGATCGACAAGCATGAAGAAGGACTCTGATACAAGCGACTCAGAGACGTCGCAGATTGTAATTGAAGAAATGGCAACAAGGCGTGAGGTTTGTTCAACACTGGTGTCAAGTCCCTGATATCGTCGACGCCATCGGAGTTATTGGAAGGCATATGTTTCTAGGCGTTCAGACCGCTTTACGCGTAAGGTACAAGCAGCGTTTAGAACATTCGAATTGATACGATTAAAGAACGAAAAGTGACACAGGTCACGCGTATCCAGCTTACGCGTCACGGTCTCGCCCGCCGCTTCTTGGCTTTTACTTAACATGACCACTCTATCAGTTCATTCCGCTGCTCAAACACGCACGTTCAATTTGCACAATAATATTTTGACTTGTACTGACAGCGGACGTAGATCAAAGCGGATTATTGCGCACCCTTGTTTCCGAGAATCCAAGTTTAGTGAACGCTGTAGACGTAGTAAATACATTTCCAATCTTAGTACTCAAATTTCTCACTCACTGAGAGTACAGGATGAACGAACTCCACTACATTGGGCTGCATCATCTGGAGACTTGGATATTGCCCGATACTTGATTGATCAGAAAGCGGAAGTGGACAAGGTGGATGGAAGCGGTTGGTCTGCCTTACATATCGCAGGTATAATTGATCTCCTTGATATCTGATGATTACTTATTGTCTACCAGTAAGCGCCGGGAATGACAGCGTTGTCGAAGAACTCATTGGTGCAGGAGCCGATGTGAACAGGTAGCAGTGCATGTTTCTTCGCTCGACGACAGTATAAGTTGTTAACGACGTCTTCGTATTCTATAGGAAGAATAGTAAAGGAATCACCCCCCTGTAAGTATCCACCATTTAATGATCACAATCCGAAAAGCAAACAAGTCCGAAGACATTATGCAGCGTCAAAATCGCGTTTAAACGTAAGAAGTTCTTGTTCGGAGCCCGTCGCATCCCTTACAGCTGCTTCAGATAGGAAAACTCCTGATATCAAGAGGTGCCGACGTGCGTGGATGTGTAGTACAGGATTGATACTGCAATTTTAATGAATATGGTTAGATAAATGCGAAAGACAAGGCAAATCAAACCCCTTTGTACGTGACTACGCATGCAATTCTATTCAAATTTGCCACCCTCACATTACCTTCAGACATCGCGCTGCCACTACAGGGTCTGTGGGATTCATCCGACTACTGCTAGATTCCTCTACATCTACTACGAAGACACGACTTAACACACAAGATCGAATCGGTGAGCATTATTCATCCATGATTAGGCTGGGAGGGCGCCACCACCGAACAGAATTAATGTATATTCGTCCGACCTTAACAGGTAATACACCATTGCATCTCGCGATGGATTCCGCCCATGCTGAAGCAGCAGTCGTTCTCATTGAGGCTGGAGCCGACCGGAGCAGGGTATGTTCTGATTTTCTAGCATACGATTCACGCGTAACTCGAGAACACAGTTAAATCAAGACGGGGAAGCTGCAGAAGATATGGATGGCGTTGGAGGTGGGCCATTCAACTTCATGAATCTTCAGTCCAAATGCAAATGAGAGAATTCTATTCACCAGGTGTTGAGCAACGGCGTGCCAAGCAGCATGTTGTGGACTCTTGCGGGAACCCGTGAAGGAGGGAATCATATTTTGAGTAAGCGGCAGATATATGTATTCATCCTAGGTGCGCAATGAATCCTGGGGTCAGTAAATCTCCTTACGAACTTCTATGTGTAGAGTAATGCTTGAAAGTTGAAATTGTACCGATTTTTGAAAGTGAAGATGACATTTCTTGAGAAACTTATCGATATCTTGCTTGTACATTGTGCGCTCTGCAAAGTTTATCTAATTTGCGTCTAAACTGCGGTTTGTTAGATCAAAGCGTTTTGGATGCAAGCATCTCCCAGACAATATCTATACTTGCGTACTGTGTGGTGTTCAGATCTTGTAATGAGATGAACTTCCTTGAACTTCCTTCCCTTTCCTTCCTGTTCAACCACGGATCCAAAGCGACCACACCGTCCCCGGCGTCAGACTCGCCAGTTGTGTCGCCAGACGCGTATCAATGATGAAGCATCATGATGGTAGAAGATGGTCCGTGCGCAGTCACGTATCAAATGTTTCATGATAGGGCCGAAAATTTTCGTATAAAAAGCAGTCGATTCTCGTCCGGCGAAATCAAGCTAGTCTTCACTCCCTCAATCCCATTTTCTTTCCTTTGTCAACAAGCAGGGCTTGTTCTCATCGCACTCTTTACTCAACCTAACTCCTACTCTCACTCAACTACTCTGTCACAATGCGTTTCACATTTGCATCTGTCATGTTCGTCGTTGTCGCAGCCCTCTTCACCATTTTCACGGCAGAGGCTGCCGCAGTCCCTCGTCCCCAAGCTCGTGCTCCTGAACAACCTGTCGAGGTCGTCACCCGAGCTGTTCCAGAATCGGGACCAATTGTTGCTGCGCGGATGCACGCCAGGGATTTCCATGCTCACGCTCGTTCTCCGAGTTCTGTCGAAGGCGCAGTCTCAGTAGAAAAGCGTGGACGTGTTCATGCCAGAGACTTTCGTGCAGTTTGAACGAGGTGGGTTTGTTCTTCAGCTGATCAGAACCAATTTTAACTTGAAAAAAATTAGGTTACAGGATGGGGTGGTTACAGAAGTTGTTTGAAGGATTTGATCATGGAAGACGAAAGATTGTACTCTGGATTGTTTCGTGTATTGAGTGAGATTTGTTGATCAAATTCAACTCCCATTACCACGGGTTATCTTGAGATTGAGGCGTATCAAGAGTTATCACTGGATGACTGCCTGTAAGGATCATTGGATACATTCTTCTGACATCCTAAGCGAGCTCGTCCGATCAACGGATTCTGAGAGATTCTGAGCAAAACTCCAGCAGAAATCTGTACTTACCTCTCTTCATACCGCTCATATATGTATGTGAAGTGACTTTGTCCGAGATCTTCAGCTTTGCAGTTGAAACGTTTAATGGGTGAACAGAATTCTCCATGCTTCTACCACTAACTAAGTATAAGTGCTCTACTCTTTTGAAATAGGGAGTGTTAATCCCCGTTCATTCTAAATATTACAGGCCTAACCAGATGTGACTGGCCATGGAATGTATGTACTATGATGTGCTGACACAAACATATGGTCTTTTGTTCTTGATTCCACAATGTCACGCGAAAGTCAAATGACTAGTAGTAGATCGAGCGGAAAAAGCTTGGAACCACCACACCACCACTCGCAATTTTATCATCTTCTATGTGTACCCCATGATACATTTCATACATTTCGAAAGCTCAGACAGAACAATATTTTGGCCTCCCTGTGACTCTTATAAACAGTCGCCTCTCAAGATGGTGTAACCTCTCCAAATGCTCCTGGCTGCTCTTTTGCTTTTCAAGCTGTGCGCAAGCATCGCACTCCCAAGATCGACTTCAGCTTCTTCAATCTTAGCAGGGAATGTCGTCAACACAGGATACGCTAAATATCAAGGGAATCGTTCGTTTGAGAACACTGTCGCTTACCTGGGAATTCCTTACGCAGAGCCGCCTGTTGGAGATCGACGTTTTCGCGCCCCATTACCTCTGAATATAGGACGTATCGAAGCAGAGACTAGTGGGAAGATTCTGAATGCCACACAGTATCCAGACTTTTGCGTACAAGGAAATACTGGTGGTGAGTTGTGCCTTTTCTTTTTGTAGCATGTCCATTGACTGCGATATTTCTACTTCTTAGCCGGCGATGCTGGAGGTGCTGGAACCGAAGATTGCCTCAAATTAAACGTATATGCGCCCTTCGGTGCAAAGAAGGGCGACAACTGTGCGTTGCGGACTGATTTTGAGAGGCCAAACGTTCGTCTGACTTTCTCATAGTTCCTGTACTTGTATATTTTCATGGAGGAGGTGAGCAAATTGTGAAGTGTAATAAAGCTTTTTTTCGAGTGCTTTTCCTAGGCTACGTTTACGGCAATCCTGCCAACTGGCCGTTCGACGGATGGATCAATCAAAGCCCAAATGTGATCGTTGTATCCGTTTATTACAGACTCGACTCATTCGGGTTCCTTGCTGTGCCCGAATTCGAGGATCCCCGTATCGGTGATTTCAACACTGGGTTCCAAGACCAAATACAATCTTTGCGATGGATCCAGACTTACATCACCTCTTTCGGAGGGGATCCCAGTAAGGTCACAATTAATGGGCAAAGCGCCGGAGGGGGATCTGTTGAACTTCACCTCATCGCCAATCATGAAGGAGAACACCTATTTTCCGGAGGAATTGTGCAAAGTGCCTACCGTGTTCCGACTGCGACTCCTGCACAACAACAGGTGCGACTTCTCAGGATAGATCAATGTCAGTGAAATTTAACGATCTTCTACAGTCGTTGTTCGCCTTCTACGCAATTCATGCGGGTTGTGGAATTGGCTCGGTTGCTGTTCAGGTGGCATGCTTGCGGAATGCCAGTATTAGTGCTCTGGCTCGCGCTCAGGACGCAGCAGCGACTTCTGGATTGTGAGCATCCAACTTTAACAGGTGTTGAATTAACTTTTTGACTTCGTACTAGGACATATAATGCTTTCCATCCGGTCCTGGATGGGAAGATCATCACCGATTATCCTTCGAATCTAGTCTTGAAGGGAGAATTTGCTCAAGTGCCGCTCATTGTTGGGTATGAAGTTTGAATCAATGAATTCAAACGTTAATTTGTCTTCCAGCGCTACCTCGAATGAAACTGTCCTTGGAGGCAACAACTTTACACAAGCATTGCAAGAAGCCTTTCCAGGACTGACTTCCGTCGATCTAGAAGAGTTCGTTAAAGTCTGTCATTAAGTTACACTCGAATTTCACGCTTACATACATGCATCTCGGACAGGAGTATCCATTGAGCGAATTCGACTCAACTAGCCAACAATTCCAAGTGGCCACAGGAGAATCTATCTTGATCTGTTCCGTACGCGAAAGTACGCATAACAGTGCCGATGATCTTGCTGAACTCTACCTTCTTATAGCGTGAAATCCTTGGAGGAGCATATGCTCATGCGACCAAAGCCTGGACATATCGATATAACCAACCCAATCCTACGTCCGGAAGCCCGGCTGTGGGGCATGCAGCAGAGAATTGGATGATGTTTGACGGCATAAATACAGGGTAGGTATGCTACAAGTCATGTCGACTGTCCTATCTTCTCGTACTCACCCTCTCATCATAGATTCAATGGCACAGGAACATTTACACCAATGTCTCCTGTAGAAAAGGCCTTTGCAGCTGAACTCGTCGCATACTGGCTCTCCTTTGTGCGCTCTGGCGACCCCAACACGTTCAAGCTAGATAGATCGCCAACTTGGGAGGAGTACCTCACCACTGGCAATCATCCAAAGCAGAGAATCGTATTGCAGCAACCGATAAACAATTCGACCACAGTAAGCGGGAGTTTCATCGAGATGGAGCCAGCGGTTGAAAGCGGGCGTTGTGCCTTTGTGGCAACAAAGATTCGACAAGAACAGAATTGATTGATAGGTTATTTTCATATGTGGTCCATGGACAGCATTAGATGACGAGTGATACACTGAAATATCATGGCTGTAATGCCGTCCGTACTCCGAGTCCAGCCTTCAACTGAGGCACGGCGACTCCTTATCATCTTATCCTTGTCCTCTACTTATTTTCTTCCTCGCGTCCTATCAAACCTTACGCAATGATATCTGTCCCAAGAATGCAGTGAGTGCCTGTCCTAAACCCCCTTCAATTGCGACATGTACAATGTTCGTAAGTACCTATCTGACGGGGGTAACTGTCCATATGCATGTTGGCAGCAGTTCAGTGGGTACCTCGGTGTCGCCGGATGTACTCAATGAATATCGCACGCAGAATTCAACGTCCAGGAACGAACTCGACAAGAAGCCACTTCACGTCCGGAGAGAAATGTCGGATGCCGATAAGAAGCTTCTGACAATTTTTGATCGTGGGCCTCGAGAGTCAGTACATAAACGAAGCAGATTGCTGGCTGGTTTCCCTCTTTACGCCCCTTACCTCTGCCCGTCGCTCTCTTCGCAATGTCAGACCCACCCAAGGTTGATCCGTTTGCGTCTCCCAAAGATGGCGCTCATGAAGATATCCAGGTCGTACCACCAACACCCGTCGTCGCCGGTGCAGCACCTTCTTTTCTTTCCCAGGCTCGAGACAATATTGCATCGACGCTTGCAAATGCAACTGCTTACGCTGTTCGACGTGATTCTAGCGCTCTCTTTGGCAATCACTCAAGGTCTTCATCGTTTATCGGGAGTTATCCCAGCTCACCAACGATGGGAGCTCAGTTCCCCATAGGAACTCCAAATGGGTCCATGTACCGCTCATCGTCTGCAATGATGACTGGGCTAGCCTCTGCCGCCACTTCTACTGGTGTCAATTCGACCGCGCCACGGACTGCACCTCGTTTGCGGACAACTCTTTTACCTTTTCTTCTACGCCCGTCTTCAATGACTTCATTACCTCCTGCCCAAGTTAAAGCATCAGACGGCTCGCTCGTTGAGAAACCTTGGCGTGAAGGTCCTTCCGCTGCGGAACTATCCAAGACGCCATTCATGAAAAGGATATTCACTCGAAAACGAATTTCTCGTATGCTTCCACACCTTCTAGCACTCGTTGGTCTTGGACTAGGCGTTCTACAATGTGTACTTACGTACATTGATGTCAGCACAGAGAGAATGGACAGACAGCCGCTCTGTTTGGTGATGGAAGAGGATTTCAACGGTGGCGAAGATGTTGTATTTGGTTCTGGGCCGGGCGGTGAAGGCGGCAGCTTTTGGAGGGAAGTGAACATGGATGGATTTGGGTATGTTATTGATGCCCATTTCGAACTATGTTTCATTGTTGAAGTTTTGCTTGAAGAAATGGCGAATTCGAGATGACCACTGCTTCATCCAAAAACTCGTACGTCAAGGACGGAATTCTATATCTAGCACCAACACTAACGGCGGAGGAAATTGGGAGCGATAACGTTCTTGGTACGTGACGCTTGATCGGGACAATCACTCCTTGACGTTCTTTGACGTTAATACAATCTAGGCAACAATGGTGCTTACATCTACAATATCACTGGCTGCACATTCAATGAGACTGCGGTAAATGGAGGCTTCATTGCAGATCCAAATGGGAGTGGAGGCCAGGTATGTATTCATTGACTGTGAATCTGGAAGAATCCCTGGTTGACCTTGTTGATCAGGTTTTCGACTACGGGGGATATTATGCGGCTTGTTCTGCCACAGCCAACACCACTGCAGGAACGATCGTCAATCCAGTGCAGAGTGCCAGGATCTCCACGTTGATGAATGCTCGGAGCGGATCAGGCAATGGCAGTACGAAGTATGGGAGAGTGGAGATTAGAGCAAAGATGCCTACTGGGTGAGTTCTGAGGATTGTCTTGGCAGTATTGGGCTGCCTCGTTTTGTTCTCTAATTCGAGCTTTCGCTGATCCTTTCATTTTGTAGAGACTGGCTCTGGCCTGCCTTATGGATGCTTCCAGTCAACAATACGTATGGACCATGGCCCCGGTCCGGTGAGATAGACATCGTGGAGTCCCGAGGGAACGGGATATCGTATACAGCCAACGGTGCCAACTTCGTGCAAGGGGCTCTCAATTGGGGTCCCAGTCCACAACTCAACAGTGTATCAAAATCCTACTCCTGGTGGTCCAACAAACGCGTACCATTCAGTAACGATTTCCATACGTACGCTCTGGAATGGACGACGAGCTTCATTCGGATTTATGTCGACACGAGGCTGCACACACTTTTGGAGTATCGGTTTGACGAGCCATTCTTTGAGAAAGGAGATTATCCGCAGACTATCGTGAATGCGAGTACGGGACAGGTGCAGGCGCTGCAGGATCCTTGGGCTGACCCAACCACTGGGTTGCCAAAGGAGAGTGCAAAAGGGAGATGGTCGTCACCGTTCGACCAAGGTGAGGACGTTTGGACAGTGCGACAATAACAGCTATTCACGAAAATTCCACACAGAATTCTACCTGATTATGAACGTTGCTGTTGGAGGAGTCAACGGTTGGTTCCCGGACGGACAGGGAAACAAGCCGTGGTATGACGGAGGTGCAGGTGAGTCTACATGCATCATTGATTCTATACAACTCGAATCATGACGCTCATTGGCTCATGTGTACATAGATGCCATGCGATCCTTTGCTGAAGCACAATCCCAATGGTATCCCACTTGGCCAGAAAATCTTGACGACAGAGCGATGGCGATTGACTACGTGAAGATGTGGAGGCACTGTGACGGGAATTGATGATTGGTATGACTGGGATGCTGAGTCGACGTCCAAGGATCTATCATATGATGGACATTTCCATTCTTTTGTAATATGAGCTCGCGCTACCATAAATGCTTCTAGGATTACTATTTACACTGCCGACTCTGTGTCTTTCTTTTAATCAAAGTGTTATCCATAATCTATGAAAATGTCTTCTTGTCAGTAAGTGCCCTCGCAGAAAGGTACTACATGCAATCAACCAGGAACTACATAAGTTCGCGGTCATGCTAAGTGTGCGTCAGGTAATTGATTCTGGTGTCCCAATGTCAATATGCTGTCGCCAAGAGCTGCACTGAATCCAGAAGCTACAGGTCATATCAGAATATCAAATCACAATGAAAAAATGAACAGGCTAGCACCTTTTACCCTCCCGTAGCACAAAATCCTTCCATGTTGAGATGGGGCCGAGGACTTCCATCTTGATTTCACAACAAGTCGCAGTCTAATCCTAGTTCAATCCCACCCTCCTTTTGCCTTGCCCGATCTATGCTGCTTCACCGCGCTCCTCTGGGCCTTTTCTTTCCTATTACGTTCTTTCTGCGCCTTCTGGTGTCCTTCCACGCGTTTCTTGGTTTCTTCTGAGGTTTCGTTCTTAATCGAGGCTGAGGCAGCGGATAGGACTAAGGCATGAAGCTGCGATATCAGATGGTTATTGAGATTTGGATTTATTGACACGGGAACGGAGAGATAACCTTAGCCAGACAATCGTCAATATTCTGCGATTGTGAGCGGTATATGGTCGACGTTACGAGGAGGGATTTGGTTGAAGATACGTATTGAGGCTTGACAATTATTCTCAATCCGTATTTGACAACCCGAGTTGGTATGAATGCTAACGTACGGATTTTACCAGAGCAGCCCGAGCCCACAGCGGGATCCAGTAGGCATTAGCTGAACATCGCACGGTTGCTTTTGTGTTGACTTTATTCACGTTCTGCGCTTCTAGTTAGCCTCATGTAGAGAATAGGCGACAATAAACGTACCTGTCCACCAGGTCCTGAGCTTCGAGAAAAACTCAGTTCCACCAACGTCTTTGGAATATTCTCAGTCTTAAACTGAGTAGCCCATTTTCGCGCTTCAGCCCAGTCTGTTGGTCCTTCAAGAATGCCGATATTGGGAGGAGTAGGAAGAGAACGGCCCGTATTAGAGCTCAAATTGCGGCAAATTCCTTGTAGGTTCAAAGTGAAAGGTCTGAATCCGTAGATAGTGCTGAACATAAGAGAGGATAAAGTGGGAATCAAACGCCAGCCTCAAAATGCACTTATATAGATCACACAACTGCAGATACCTCACAAACGCTCATTTATACATATACGGTTATTCCTATGTGCCAAAGATGCAAACTAAATAAACAACGGGATAGCCCCTTCCCCCTTAACCTTCTCCGGACCCCATACCCCTTCCAACCGCACACTTGTATGAACCCGCCCACAGTTATTCACCGGACATTTCCATGAGTATGTTTGTTGGACCCTTGGTTTCCGGTGTGATTTGGATTTGGGCGATGTCGATGAACTACCGGGGCCGTGACCGAATAGATGCGCGATGGGTGTCGGGAGGTATCGATGAGCGAAGGTTGAGAATTGTGGAGAAGGAGTAGTCGAACCACCACCTGTGGAAGTCCCGATAGTGGCACCACTGACACTAGCGCTAGCATTATTGGAATGGGCAGCGCTGCGAAGTCTTGAACGGATAGAGTTAGACTCAGACGGCGGCACCAGACTGGGATGTACATCCTCATCTGTTGCCCCTTTTGCTTTTTCCGCTTCGAGCTCCCCATCGCACGCATCTGCCAGATCCACCTCTTCCGAAAAACTCTTTCCTTTCCCCTTGCCTTTGACATCCTTTGGCTGCGCGTCAAGCGCACCTGCCGGGTAGCCTAACGCGTCAAGACACTTTCCATCGATTAAATGACCACATTTAAGACCCCAGACTTTACGAGCCTTACGCTCCATCTCAACTTGCTCTGCGGACGCGCCGGCTGCAGCCATTTTGAGAGCAGTAGCACTAGCACCTTCACCTAGGAGGAGCGGTTCGAGGCATTTGGAGCACACAAAGGATACAACTGTGGGTGAAGGAGCACTCGATTTCATGTTGCTAGAGCCGCCAACATCAACATCAACTTCTTGGGGTTCGGGTTCTTGAACGATTTCGCCATCATCATCTAAAACGAAAGGGTTATCTTGAGAGGACACCGGTATTGGTTTATTGTACGAAGAAGGGTCAATGGTCTCTGCCTTTTCGGGTGGTTCGAAATCGAAACAAAACCCGGGTGTAGCAGGTTGCGGATGAGTGTACTCAGCAAGATAATCCGGCTCGTCAGTTTTTCTCTGAACGATAGGATGCACAAATCCAGGGCCGTATCGTTCGAAACCGATGTTATTGAATGCAGCGTAGTTGCGGGGATCGAATGGGTCGAAAACATCGTATCTGATGAGGCCAACGAAATGCATATTGTCACCTGGAGCCGCCGTAGGTCGACGAGCTCTGAAGCGAGGTCGGGCAGCTCCTGAAGCACGCAGTTGAGCATTTCGCTCACGTTCTGCTCGGCGTTCTGCGGCGTGTGCACGAGCAGAGGTGATAATCCCTCCACCAGCTCTGACAGCCGCTCGACTAGCCCTGGGACTAGGAGGTGCTTGAGAATTATGGGAGGATCCATTTGCGTCGGCTGTAGCAACCCCACGTCGATTTCTAGAGCCACTCGCTTGAAATGTCGATGAAGAACTAGGTCTAGGTATGATGTTTGTCTGCAAAAACCGTTCGTAGTCCATTTCCACAGGGTTCGCGGTGACTGGAGGAGCATTTGTAGGAAAAGGAGGGGGGTGTCGGCGCATTGGGACGGATGAGCCGTCCTCCATACGTGGGAAAATAGAACCTGTCGGACGAGCACTGGTCCGAGCAGGGGACAGAGGAGAGATGTCTCGAGAATGTACTACAAGCATATAATACGTTAGAAAATACTTGATAGTTTTCTGTTTCGAGTGTGCCATGTAAAAAGGAGGAGGGATACCCACCTTGCGAAGAACTCGCTTGACTTTGCGTAGAACTGGTACCAAACACAGAGGGATCGTAATCTTCATCGTCGCTGTCGAGCACAATAATTTCGCCAGGAGGAAAAGAGACATCGAAAGCAGAAACCCTTCTTCTTTGCGAGGGAGGATTCTGCAAAGGACCAGCTCTGGGTCTAGGCACATACTCTACTTCTTCCAGCGAGTCGACATCGATGATTTCAGGACTCGTCTCTCTGCGACGCCTTTGTGGAATCAATGGCGTGGGGGGGTGGTCGTGAATAGCTGACGAGGCTCGGTGGACGATAGTCGCCATTGTGGTGGGTGGTGAAAGAGTTGAAGGAAATGCCGACGGCGCTTTAGTGATGAGCGTCTAATTGCTTACGTGATCGGTCTCAATAACTCCTGAACAATTTCAACCCTTGAAGCTTGAACAGCAATCAATGTATACTACTGTGGGACGACAAGCAAATTTCAACGATAGCTAGAACTAGATACTGCAAGATAGCACATTAAACCGACTCCGTGGAAACTAAAGCGGAACTGAGTAGGAATAGGTTAAAGAACGGATGTGACAAAAAAAGTTACATACCCGGCTTAGTCCAAGTCGGCACCATAAATATTCGACAAAGCACGAGCGCAGTGGTTTTTGCTGGCGCTTTGATTTGGAGTGCTGAGACGGATATACTCTTGGTTTAGCGTTTCAAGCTTCTTGGCATATTCCTCCGGGGTCGGCGCTTCTGAAGGAAGAAGAGTTCCTGCGGCAAGCTGGGCATTATATGCTTTCCGGTATATCTCTGTCTCTCTTGGCACATCCGCTAATATGTAACCATGAGCATTGATCCCATGGTGTGGATCGAGCATCGAACGAACACGGCGACGGAGAGCATCATGACCATCCGCGTAAATGGATATACCAGTGACACCACCTTGACTAGAAGGACCTGGTTCATCGCCGGTTCCGCCTTCTAACAACATTTCATCCCATTGCGCTACCTACGAGCACACATGTATATCAGCGGAAGGTCAAAAAATTCAAGAGAATCAACTCACAGGTGTATTGCTGTGATACTGAAACAGAGTCGGCTACATAGAAAAGATACTTCTTTATCAATCCAGTGGTGAGGTTGGAGAGATCGAGGGGAATTCACCTTCATATGGACCTCGCCAGGCCCAGTGAGAACAAGAGGCTGTGCAAGAGATGGGACAGTGATAGAAGCGATTTTGAGCTCTTCGGAACGTTGATCATCAAGCTATTCATGCCAGAAATCCGATTAAGGACCTAAGAATGCACGATTGACACATGGTACTTGCCTCATCGAAACGATACTGACGAAATGGTAAATGAGAACAGCGAATGATGAAGAAAGACTAGTATACATACATGTTTGCCGTTGTCATCGACCAGGTCAAGGAGCGTATGAGTGCCAGGTGGGCCAGCGGAGTTGAAAGCGCCAGTTTCCGGAGGTACCTCACTCCCCAACTCAGTGACAACAGTACTAGTGGAAGCCGAGTACAGTAGTGGGTGGATGGGAACAGCGACAGCCGAGGAAGCGACTGCAACAGCTAAGTAAACAGCGGACATACAAGTATAGCGATTCATGAGCGTATAGATGATGGTTCAGTGAACGTTATTGGAAAATGCGGAAAGACGACCAGCGACTTTTCGAGACCAGCACGAAGAATTTGTGGGAGATAGAAATGAGCATCTTTTGTAACTTATTCAAGGCGATAAGAGTTTGATACCCGAGAAACTGCATATGTATTTTTGCGAGGAGACCGCTGGAGACCGACGGCTTAATCGGCCTATTGAGCGATTTTGTTGACATCGCTGGATACTCACTAGCACTGCTCACTGCCGTTAGCAGCAATAAAATGAGGAGTGAAATGGGGTTTGTGGGCTGATCTTCAGGCACAAGTTCTGGCGGACTGCTTGTAGAAGAAAGGAAGTGTAAATGTCTTCTGATTCGAGTTCAGAGGCAGTCACTAATAGCCACGTGATTACACTAAGGTATACCTTTCAAATTGCTTTCAAATTCGAAGCAACTACCACTACTTGAGCGCAACCAATATGCCAGCGTTACTTCCTAGCACTAGCTCTACATCCCGCGATGCAATACAATTCATGTCTATTCCTACTGCACTCGAACCAGGCCCCTCACAAAAATCCTACGAAGTAATGTATCTTCCTATTCCTTTTCATCTTACACTTCAATCTTCTGAGTATAAGGAACAACGCGTCTCATCGTCTCTCAACGATTGATCATCCTTCTTCGCCCCACAGGAAGTCCGTGTCGATGACTATCTACTTGCTTACCAAACCACCGGAAAGCCTCCTTTACCATGTCCACAAGAACCAGTTCTTCCTCATCTGCGCGCCGCTCGAGGGCTTCCACCCCTATTTCAGCCCACCGTAACAACAAATTCGTCTACCGAGGCTCCGACAACGAATGAGCTGCAAAACTCGCTACCAGAATGGCAGTTATTCGTAGAGACAAAGTCAGCCTCGGGTCCGGGTTCTTCTTTGATGGATAAACTACAGAGTATAACCGCAGCTGAACAGTATGCTGGATTCAATTTCGAGGTCCGTCTAAAGTTTGAGCCTGAGCTTGTGTATTGTAGCTTATAATTTCACCGTAGGAATTAAGATGTCAAGCCTACCTTGCTGGTCGTGTGGCTCCACCACCACATATCCTAACTGGAATAACATCCATCGCTACCTCATCCACACTACAATCTAACGGCATACAATGGGGCGGGGACACGAACGAAACCTTCCTCAGTATCAGCAGTAAACCAGATTTCGCATCACACAGTTTCGAAGTACGTACCGTCCTTCCTACAGAAATCACTGCTTGACGTAATTGGCTACTGGTATCTTTAGGAATTACGACTCGCTTCGGTGAAAGGTAACGGCCGGGATGTCACTTCGCAAGAAATTATGGGCATTAGCATCCCGGGAGCCGCTCCAGGGGTTCCTCTGAGTAACATTTCCATTCCGCCATTCGCATCCTCTGCCGCTTCCAGTATTTTCAACCCAGTCTCAAAACCTACAAGTACTACTTCTACTACAACAACTCCGAGTGCTTCGACTCCCAGCGGCACGTTCTCGTTTTCACCTGCGATCCGATTTTGAGTGACTGGATCGTTTGAAGATTAACGTTAGCTCGGTCGGCTCGGGATGTGTTCCAGATGATATAAAGGACAGAGAATAGTTTCTGGATATTTTTGGACAGTGTGTAGAGGATTCAAATTCTTGTATGAACTGTCAATGTAATTATATAACCCTCTTGGCTCTGCAGAGTTTGTACAAGATATATTACCCTTTGTATCTGCAATACAGAAATGTTCGTGTTCTCTTTTACTACTGTATACTATAAGTAGAACCGTGACGCACAGGACAGTATGTACATATGGTGCAATCGGGTATAACACAACCAATTTGGAACAACTGAATTATCTCACGTGAATTTACCTCAATTTTTTATCCCTATTACAGAAATGCATATAATGATAAAGGGAACAAAACTGTAAGACCGATTTTTGATACCTTCAAAATTGATGAAGTAAGTTCCCACCAAATGGCGCATTTCCAAAATGGGAAGCTATTAGGGTTAGGGTTGTGCTTATAATCCATTCACTCTTTTTATTGTCCTCTCATCGTACCTTGATAAATATTACTCTCACATTATATTCAAGTTGAAAGCTTTCAACTGCATGCTTAGGCACTATTTGTGACTCTGAACTATTGTTTCTGGTCAAAATAAACAAGTGTAGGCATAAAATTTTTTTGCTGATCCCAAATGGTGCCTGTTCCTGATTGGTTGTGTTATACCCAATTGCACCATAGATAAAAGTAAACCGACAGTACATCAATTCAAAACGCATCCCCCGTCCCTGCAGGTCCAGGACGACTCTCGACAGTTTACAGCGTGTTCGGAAAATGATGACATTCGTGAAATTTACATGAGCTCATAAAATAAAATAAAATAAAAAGGTACCCGAGCCTTGACGTCGGCTACTTGAGCCCCTCTCCATTTACTCGTCTCACAATGGTCTTCCGGCACATCAGCGAAAATATGAAGCAGAGGGCAATCTGGCTCCTAGACCACGATCTGACTATTGAACAAGTCGGAGCTATTCTAGGAGTTTCCGAGAGCAGTATTTACTGCTGGAAAGGCAACTTGGAAATACATAATTCCGTCATTGCCCCTCCCAGTCATACCCGTGGACGTCCATCGAAACTTAATTCTGAAATGATTCACAGCTTGGTGTCTTTATCACAAGAGGCTCCCGAAATGTATTTGGATGAAATACGAGATTGGCTGGCACTAGCCCATGATGTTGGCATTTCGAAATCATCACTGTGCCAGATCATTCAGGATGCCGGATTGACATATAAACGTCTTTGTAAAGCTGCGACCGAGCGAGATGATGTGTTGCGGGCAGAATGGATGGCAGATATTTCTGCCCATTATGTGGCTCAGCAAATTATAGTTGTCGATGAAACAAGTAAGGATGAAAGAACAATATACCGACATTATGGGCGTGCACCAGCTGGTCAGCGCGCTACTATCTCTGCAAACTTTGTACGAGGTGAACGGTACAGTTTGGTAGCAGCCATGAGCACAGAGGGATATGAGGCATGTCGAGTTGTACCAGGTTCTGTTGATGGAGAGGAGTTTTTCAACTTTATTCTGGATGATGTTGTTGTAAGACCTGGGTCAAAATAGGTCTTAGGGTAGGTTTTGGTATGTGGAGGTTTATGTTGTAGCGTGCTAGGAGCAGGCTGGAGCTCGAAGGGAGCTACGAGAACCGCGACCGAGGACGGGAATGACCTAGTAGTGATTGGAACGATGAGATGGTGACCCTTGAGGGGTTCCTAGGAGGTCCAGGGAGGTCCCTAATGCGTAGGGAGGTTCGGGACGAGTGCGGGACCGTAAGATATTGCGTAGTAGGAGTTGTACTCGCTAGAACGTCAATATAGAGTCGAGTAGGTAGTTTATGCAACGGGGTCTCGAGGGTGTAAGCTCCCGAGAAGGGATATGCCAGGGAGGGTAGGTCCCTGGGGACTAGGTTGGAGGATGGTCGTCCTCGAGTGTGGGAGGTGGTAACGGAGAAGCAATACGTAGTTCGACGTGAGGGGTAGCTTCGACGTTACCTAGATCGAGGTCCCGAAGCTTACGAAGTAGCTAGGGAGCTCTGGGAGGTTTGGGGAAGAGTAGCTCACCAAGCGGGTAGGCGTTGGGGAGCTTTAGTAATGTTCGAGGGAGCTCGGGGACTCACTCGGAAGGCTTAGACTTGAAGTAAAAGCGTATATTCGATCGTACAGACGATCAGAGAGACAATAGACAGAAGTAGAGAGAAACAGAGGTAGAGAAACAGAGAGTAAAGAGAAATCCGTATGGTTAGCAGGTACAAAGGGACAGGGACTGGACCTATGCAAAAGGGTGTGTGTTCAAAATATACCAAGCTGGGGCTTCAGGACATTGCGGCGTTACTTAAATAGGTACGGGAAGTGAACAAGGGAACATCTGGAGGCATGAGGTAGCTAATCGGAGGGAAGGAGGTAATCGAGATTAATACTTAAAGGGGTTATCGGCTAGAGGGTTCTCGTACGCGTGTCGGGGTGAAGGACGTTTGGGTAGCTGCGTCAGAAATACTTGGGGAGGTGTCTGGTGGTACTTGGGGAGGTGCAGAGGACATACGGGAGGTGGGTAGGACGTATGGTAACGTGCGGTGGGTACTGGGACTGGTCTGGTTGTAGCCAGGGCATGACATTACCCCCCCTTGTAACCCCTTTGCACCCTCGCGATGGGTAGGCGCGTTTTTTCTGGGCAGTCACCTGACATTCACGTGGTACCCGAAAATTTTCATGTTGAAGTCCGTCAGATCCTTGCTTCTCCCTTTCTTCCACCGCCTCAGTTCTTACGAGTCAAACTCTTCTAACTGCGATGTCTCCTATCCCTACTCGACCTCTTTCACGCACACCATCTCCCTTGTTACCCACCCTCACCGCTTTGGGAAAGGTACCTTCCCCGGCTCCTGAATCCGATGGGGAGGTGGAGTTGGATCAGCTGGCATTTACCATCGAGTCGCCATCTCGTCCCCAACTCCAGTTATTCGAGACAGTGTTCAACACTGGCAAGCCATTATCGGGTTATTGTCAGGATGACCCTTTGTGGCCTCTTCTTGCGGAGGTAGCTTCTCCTTGTTCCAACTGTGTCAAGTCCCCGGGCAAATGTAAGGTTCTGCCGAACTCCCCTCGCTGTACCAACTGCTCTGCGAAAAAGACTTGTAGTCTGGGAAAGGTCCTTCGGTATCGGTATTTTGCTCGTCGGTGCAGTCAAGACATTGCATACAGCCGTAGGTTTTTGGAGCTCCACGGGACTCCCACACATCAATCGACATGGGGTGTTCCTTTGAGTACCTGGCGCCAATACGATGCTGCCCTTCAAGCTCGTACCTCCTCGACCTCCATCCTCCTAGAACTCAACATGCTTGACGAGAAGGATACCGCTGAGACTGACCATCAAGAATTACAGAAGTTCCTCGCTTTGCAACAGGGTGAGGCAGTCATCGCGGCGAATCGTAAGCGCGATCGTTCCCCTTCGCCTGTGGCTGGTCCTTCCAGCAAAAAGGTTCGGTCGGACGGTTCCAAAAAGCGTTCTCGTCGTAGGGTCCCTGTAGAGGGGGCAGCTCAGGAGTCTCCCCGTCGCGTTCGACTGGTGGTTCCTCCAGGTCGTTCGATGGGAGCCTCCACTTCCACTCCTGCTCTCCCTCGTGCCCTTCCCTCCTCCATGGAGGTATCTGTCAGGGACGAATCCGTGCAGGGTCCCAGTAGTTTGGTTCAGTTGGCAGCTGCTGCCGAGGCCCAGTCCGGTGTGGCTCAGCGGTTTGTTTCCCCTTCCCTTGTTACGTCGCCTATAAAAGGTACTGGATCCGACTCCCTTCCTTCCAACATGCCGCCCACTTCGCGTTCGTTATTAGTACCCCGCACCCTCATCGCTCATCCCTATCGCGCTGAGAACCAGCGTCTTCTTGCTCGGGTTCGATCACTAGAGTCCCAGCTTGCCGATTCTCAGCGGGAGAATTCTTCTCTGACCACTGCCCTTCGGGATACCTCCCACGCCCTCGATGCTCATCAACGGGAGGTCGAACAGCTTCGGTCCTCCAGCCATGAGGTCCTTCAGCATGAAGTCGAGTATCGCAGTGTGCTGGACCAGTTCCATGCCATGGATAGGGCTTTATCGGTGTTTCCTGGTCAGGTAAGTCGTGATTTAACTGGTATTCACCTCCTTTTTAAATTGACTTCCCCCTTGTAGACTGTTGTTCAACGTCTCCAAGCATTGGAGGAGGAGCTCCGCGTGGTGAAAAGGGACCGCGATGTCGCGGTGGAGGAGCTCTCCACTGCTTCTCATAAGGCTTCTGAGTTGAAGACAGCCCTACTGCAGCAACAGGGTCTGGTAGACGAAACCAATGCTTTGGCGACCCGTCAGCGTCGTCGCTTGGAGGAGGTCCAGGAGGAGGTCCATCGTACTCAAGATCGTGCCGCCTTCGTGGAGCAGATGATCAAGGAGTATCCAGACGAGGGTTTCTACGAGGTGGTTCTACCTCCTCTTTCTCAGCTGGAGGAGGACCTCAAGGGGGCCCAGGAGGACCTTCGTCGCGTCGCCACCTATGCACACCGCCTTTATCGTTCCGATCCCGCCACTGTCCTCCATCATCACAGTCGTTATATCGGTGCCATCATTGAGGCGGTCGTCGCCTTTCTCCGACGTGGTCTGGCCTCCGACGACCCCGACGTCGTTGCCCACAACTTCCAACTTGCTCTGGATTACATGCAAACAGCCCGGGGTATTCACGGGGATCTCTATATGCGGTCTATCAGCAGCATTCAGTGGTTTTTTAACAACGCGGTGGATGAGGACGAGGGTCTCCATCGCCTGGTGCTAGAGCACTCCCGGTTTGACAACGATGGTCCTATTCTGACCGCGGCTCAGCATGCTGGTTTCGCAGCCCCTCCCGAGGGTTCACTGGAGCCACCCCTCCATCGTCGGATGTTGGCGCTATCGACCGCCTTCCCTCATCGTGATGGTTCTGGAAGGTGGGACGATATTGTCCCCGCCATTCCTAGTCTTGACCAGTCGATGGTCGTATGGGAGCAGTTAATGCTGGAGTACCTTCACCACATAACTGATACCCCCATGTCCCTGCCAGTGCCATCGGGCGAGCCTCCCGCGGCTGTAGGTGAACGTGTTTCTTCTCCCCCCGCTTCCTCTCATGTTCCTCTGTTCCTCCCTGAACAGGCCTCTCCGACCTCCCCTTCTCCCCCTCCTCCTTCTCCCAGTCTTCCTCCCCTCTTTGGTTCAGTGGCTGATCTCGCCATTGATCTTACTGGGGGTGACGACGAATTGTACGAGCCGGAGGAATCGCGTCGTGCTCGGGTCTCTGAGGCGGATGGGATGGATGCTGTCCCAAAGGAGGAACCGTTGTAGTACTTCGTTGTTATTTCTTGTAATAGATCCTTGTTGCTAAATCGTTTTTTTTTTTTTTTTTTTTTTTTTTGTAATTGTTTTGACCTTCTTCGTTAATTAAAGGGAACCTTCTTTATACTGTGTGAAAAATCAATAAGAGTGAAATCGTCGTGCATTCAGGTCTCGTAAGCCCTCCAATGCAAGTTGTCGTAGATAGTCGTAAACATGGGCTTGTCGTCCCCGTCGTGTCTTCATTGTCCTCGTTCCCCCCTCTACTCCCTTCTACCTTCCCGGTCCTCCTCCTCATCTTCCCGTGCTTCCTGTTCCAACGAAGCCCATTGCAGACGCGATGGATGGCGTTTCCTCGGGTGGTGTTTGTGCCAGCTACGTAGGAGTTCGATCGAGCCCACCATACCTTCCCATCCTACCCAAGAGTTGAACTCGTCATTATACCCCTCCCATTTTACGAGGTATTCCACTTCCTCCGGTTGTCCCTTCTTGGGTTTGGAGTCAAGGATGTCCTCGACAAAATGCTCCGTCTCCCCTTTTATGAAGATTGGGGGAGGCGGGGAGGTCTGGCGTTTGAATTTGTCGTGGAAGTGAGGTTTCAGCCTGTCGACATGGAACACATTGTGAATCTTGTGGAGGTCCCCAGGGAGGTCCAGTCGGTAGGCATGACTTCCTACTTTCGACAAGATTGTATAGGGACCTGTCCACTTGTGGTCTAGCTTCTTCATAGGTCGTCTAGTCCTGACGTTCTCCATATTTAGCCAGACTTGATCACCCTCCTTCCAGTCCGGGGCCTCCTGGCGTTTTTGGTTCGCGTACTTCGCATAGGCCTTGTTAGCTACCCCGATTCGTTCCTGGAGGTACGCATGTAACTCCTTGAGGTTGGACGCGTACTCATTGACCTCCGCTCCCTGCACCTGCTCCAGTGTAATGGACAACTTTGGGTGATAACCCTTGTTGGCGAAGAATGGTGAGACACCTGTCGTCGTGTTTGGGGTGTTGTTGTATACGAATTCCGCCATCGGTAGGAGGAGGTCCCAGTCGTCCTGGTCGTAGGAACAATAGATCCGAAGGTATGCTTCCACAGATTGATTTACTCGTTCTGTTTGTCCATCTGTCTGGGGATGATATGCAGTAGATAGGCGGGATTCGATCCCTAATGCTCTACAGAGCTCCCTCCAGAATTG